TGCCCAGGATAGTGGAGTTGCATGCCACCATTGTAGGCAACAAGCTTGCCGAGCAACTAGGAACAACGAAGGACTGTGTAGGCTATCCCTGCATGTACAAATGTGAGATCTGTCGAAATGCGGTTGTAAGATGATGATCAATACGAAGAAATTTTACCTAATTTCAAACTCTTTTTCTTCGGAAGCATATCATATGACGTCCAGCATCTTAATTTTATTATTATACTACATACATGTTTTCATCTTTTCGAAAGTGATCGATGTCGACCTCTTGGAAGAAACATGTGTTAAAGGTCATGTCAAGAAAGCCCACCTGTCTACAGTGCCCAGTTTACCTGTTTCCCTTGTTGGGTGGCTGTATTGTATGTAATAGTGCTGTAGTCAAACGTTTAACCGTCCGGTATCCGACCGCCCATGGCGGATTCCGTTTTCAATTGGACGGTTTCGTTTTCCCGTTTTTTTTTTTTTTTTTTTTTTTTTAATAATTTTTTTTTTTTTTTTTTTTAAAGTTTCGATTTATATATGCCCCTCCACCTGGTACTATGCCTGGCAATGTCTACCAGCTCAGTAATCTGTGCGTTGACTCACCACTCCGAAACTAGAACAACACTCCAATTTGTCTGTCATCTTGGTTTGAAAGTAATCTTTGTAATAGATCTCAATATGTAGTTTATAATAATAATTCATCCAACTTTTACACACGACGTACCACAAGGTTCTATCCTAGGTCCTCTAATGTTTTTAATTTACATAAATGATCTTACACATTCTTCTAAATGTTCTTTTAAATTAATATCCTTCCCGCGTGGGTTTTTTTCACAGTCGGTCAAAAAAATAACTAAAAAAAAAAGATTTTTTTATTTTTTTTATTTTTTTATAAATCGTTTAACTGAAAACCGTCCGGTTTTGACTGGCGGTTAAACGGAATTGGAGATATCCGTGATGTTACAGCACTAGTATGTAAATCTATAACACAATTGACTACCACCTATTAACCACAATTAGAAGGACTGTTGAAGCCGGTGTATAAGAGTACTTGAACCTAGCTATCATCCAAAAACATATCTTACTGTGTAGTGTCCAGTGTGTGAGAGGTAATTCAAAAGTTCTATAGTCATGATAATTGGTTTCTTGATCAATGATCAAACAAGGAAATCAAGGTAGTACTAGCCCCGACACCATGTGTGTTGTCCCATATGTAGCTTTCTATGTGAGTGCTTGTTACTTTACCAAGACTCGGTCAAATTTATTATGATTTTGATGACTCCAGAACCTTGCAGTGCACACCAATACTTACATGCTACATGATCAACTGTTTCTGATCCTTTCCACACCTTTTCTTTCACAATGCAATCGCATTACCAGTACTAAAGTTTATCTTTAAGTTATCTTCAAATATTGAAGACTTGTTTGATGATGGATGGTGAAGTATTACACTAGGTTAAGGGGAGAAAAGCTTGCATATAGAGAAAGGACAGATAGAGATGGGTTTAAGATGTTAATCAAACACATAGGCATGATAAAAGATATGAATTTAAGGTGCTTCTGCTGATTACAACATGCCTCGATCAACCAATTCAATCCTTATTGGAATTATGATGCAGGTAAAGGATGTAGGATTTTAAGATGGAGAGAATAATAGACTCAGACAGAGTTGATGAATGAATAATAGTCTGAATAATATTTGTATTTATTTATTTTTGCATCCAAAAGGTTGGATTTCAAACTCAATTAAAAATACATAGAGATACATTCATACATAACAATGGTATAAATAATGTACACAATGTGACTGAGTGTCTACATAATTATAAATGAATAACCATGTTGTGGCTATACAATCAAGTGATCTGATTACATAATGAATGAATGAACTGGGAAAGATGGAGGAATCAAAAAAAGCACCAAGATTTTGTTTTCTGTTTAATTTTTGTGTTTGTTTTGGATTTTATGTTTTTACGTTTTGCTTAAAACTCAAATCATATCTCCTTGAGGCTGGTATTATGGAGTACATGTATATCGTCTTTATTTGATACTGTCAAAGCAACTTTTTAAGTACATGTTTATTGCGGAAAGACCATGCATAATGTTTGTAAAATAGTGAATGAAGATTATAATATCAAGGGCCATAACATACATGATTATATAATTGAGGGTCATTTCTAATTGTACCCCCCCCCCCCACTAAAAATGTGAATTCTTTGTAATTAAATCAACATTTGTTATAGTCACATTTCTGATATTATCGCATATTATATACTTAAGAGAATATTATTGCTGCATTGTAAGTGCAATGTCAAAGTGCATGCAACAAAGTATCTACCTCCCAGAAAAAACAGATCTTACAAATTCATTAAAATCATCACATATTTTAGCTTCTTTTTGTAGACATAAGAAATGTGAGTAATCAGCTAGTGTGGAAAGCAAAGATTGTATCTAATTGTTTTGCCTAAAAACAATATAGGTGTCAGAGTGTATTGTGTTTTTATGTGACCTAGAATTCTGTAAACACAATAGTAAAAGTTCATTAAAAAATACAATTAATATGCAATCTTTGGCAGCCATGCAATTCAAAGTGCTTATATAAGTATTCCTTTGTGTGAAGTTACAAATTTCTTGGCTGAAGAAATTAAATGAAGACATTTTGGAAACAATTCCAGATTAATAAACCGATGAATATCACAGAAGAGGGTATGGCACCTAACAATATCTTATTATTATTATCATTGTTAATTCAATTTGTTCTGTTTTAAAAAAAAAAACATTTATTGATTAAAAAAGAATGTTTCAGGCATTGGCTGCCTGAATGCACAGGACCGTTTGAGAGAGAAATGAAAGAACAGTATTAAAAGAATTACAAATCTAATCCATCTACATTTGTCATTCTTAAGTTAATTACCATTACAAATAAGGCGATGTCACACAGAAAAATCCCTTGAAAGAATTTTCTTGCTTTGTTAGAGAATTTTTGAAGGGATAATTGATGACGGACAGCAATTAAGAGGATAAATAAAATCCGGACTTTTGGCCTCTGTGTGGGACCGCCTATAGTGTAATTCTTTAATTATATTTGGAAGGATATGTTCCAATAATTATGTAAAGTGAAAATTTATATAATGACATCTATATACCTCAATATTATGATATAACCTTTTTAAGTAACGAATGAATATAAATGTGGGTATTCAAAATTCTATGCTCAGAGTTCTAAATCTGTATTATGATTTATGAAACCCTTTTATTGTATTTTATTCGTGCAAGAGTAACGTGTGCCAACCTCTGATAAATATCTTTTTAATAAACGGAGGAAATTTTATATTTGACTGGTCATTCTTTTCCTATAAACTATTAGACTATGCATGGAATAGCGAGGTATTAAAAATAAGATGGTGGCCATCGATCATAATAATATAATGAGAATAATAATGAGGAGGAGGAGGAGGATAATTATGATGATGATAAAGATGATGATGATGATGATGATGATGATGGTGATGATAATGGTGATAATGATGATGATGGTGAAGATGATGATGATGATGATGATGATGATGGTGATGATAATGGTGATGATGATGATGATGATGATGATGATGATAATGATGATGATGTTGATGATGATGATGATAGTGATGATGATGATGATGATGATGATGATGATGATGATGATGATGATAGTGATGATGATGATGATGATGATGATGATAATGGTGATGATGATGGTGATGATGATGGTGATGATAATGGTGATGATGATGATGATGATGATGATAATGATGATGATGTTGATGATGATGATAGTGATGATGATGATGATGATGATGAGGATGAGGACGATGATGATGATGATGATGATGATGATGTTGATAGTGATGATGATGATGATGATGATGATAATGGTGAAGATGATGACGATAATGGTGATGATGATGATGATAATGATGATGATGTTGATGATGATGATGTTGATGATGATGATAGTGATGATGATGAGGATGAGGACGATGATGATGATGATGATGATGATGATGTTGATAGTGATGATGATGATGATGATGATAATGGTGAAGATGATGACGATAATGGTGATGATGATGATGATAATGATGATGATGTTGATGATGATGATGTTGATGATGATGATAGTGATGATGATGATGATGATGATGAGGATGAGGACGATGATGATGATGATGATGATGATGATGTTGATAGTGATGATGATGATGATGATGATGATAATGGTGAAGATGATGACGATAATGGTGATGATGATGATGATGATGATGATGATGTTGATGTTGATGGTGATGATGATGATGATAATGATGTTGATAGTGATGATGATGATGATGATGATGATGATGATGATGATAATGATGATGATGTTGATGATGATGATAGTGATGATGATGATGATGATGATGAGGATGAGGACGATGATGATGATGAAGATGATGATAATGGTGAAGATGATGACGATAATGGTGATGATGATGATGATGATGATGATGATGATAATCAAGTGTTTTTGTTACAGATTTTCTACATTTTGTTATATTTCTTCTTTTTAAAGGACTTGAAAAAGAAAAAAAATAATCAGATTTATCACCAAAATTAGATGGTAACCATCGCAATATTAATGAGGAGGATAATTATGATGATGGTGAAGATGATAATAATGACCGACAATTTTTGTTACGGATGCAGGCTGTAGCATAACATTTTCTACATTTTATGTATACTTTTTTAAAGGAAAAAAGAAAAAAAATCATCAGCTTTTTCAACTTTCCAACAATTAAGGCCTGATAAACTTTACATTTGCAGACAGGAATTTGTAGGCAGGAAGGGGAACCATGGTCACTCACCCCTCAAACAACTATCCTGTATTAATGGATTCATTTGGTTCTAATTTTTTATTCTGATAACAAGCTATTATCAAAATGTACATACATACAATATAAACAAAAACAAGAAAGTTATAACAACTACCATAGATGTTTGTTTATTTAAAGTCTGATTGATTTATTTCACAAAGCTAAGACATGTACATTTAGTACTGCATACACACTTTTTGAAAAAAGTATAGAGGGCAAACACCAAGTCAAGAATTTGAACAACCTTGGTATGTTACATCTACATATATCTATTTCAAAAATGATATTCATTTACAAATTATGGTAAGATACATTAACATCTTTAACATAAGTTTAGCAATACTGTATCTCACCGAATATAATTATAAGACCTATATGTCAGCTTAATGCTACAATATGATATCTTGACTGATTTTGAAGCAAATATTGTACGCAATATTAAGGAGTCCATAAAATCATAAACCAAAATACAAACTAACCTACACCTATATAATCTTGGTTTTAAACTTGAAACCAAACCAGGGCCCCCGTCTTATATAGAGTCAATATGATTTGCGATTGATATCAATTGCAACTATGTACATACATGTAAGAGATAGGAGACTACAAACTTGCAATTGATTAGAGGAGCTTGCAGCTGATTTGGATCAATCACAACTCTTTCTAATACGGATCCTGGCCTATTAAACTAACTCTTAGAATGTTTTTATGAAATTTGACTAATATTATGAGACCCCTAATCTAGCCACTGCATAACATTCCCTTTCCTAGCTACGGGTACTAATGACTTTTTTTTTTAAGGGAAAAAAAAAGTGTTGATCTTGGTTCTGTAGGCTTTCCAAGCTGCTAGCTTATATCACTACATTGCCACTATCTAATACCTATACTAATATGAAATGAATACAGAAATAATAAGCATTCATCTTCCTTTTATTCAGTATTTGTGATGAAATTTGATTACAATATGTACATCTATATATATAAATATACATTTAAATGGAAATCATTCAACATTTTTAACGTATTTAAATTACGATACAGACCATGTAATTACAAGGAATAAATCTTTCTCCCTAATATGATTGATACATGTATGTATCTGACAAATTTCATGTTCTCTACTAAATTATGTATAATATTATACTATCAAATAAAGAGAAAAATCTCACATTCTTCTTTTACATCGACAGCACTGATGACAACAAAACATGTACAACAAAGTGAAGAAAAATCTTTCAGAATTCATGATAAAATCAATGAACACCCTAGTTTTACATGTACAATTTCAAACTTCACAACTGTAAACTTATATCACTATATACATGATGTTTGTTGATATTTAACAAGTGATGCATGAAATACATATGTGTGCTGTATCAAGCTTTTTACACCAAAATGAAGATTATTCCTACAGCATATAGCATCACCCTCAAAAATACAGACTTCAACATTTACATATTTCTTCTGTTTAATATACATGAGGATTTATTTAGCTCAAACTTTGGAGGAAGCTAGAAATAGAAATATAAGCAATGAATGTAAACATACAAATTATGCATGTGTACATATCACAATAACATACCGGGTACGATAATATTTTAACAAGTGTCAGAAATCTATTGATTTGACTACTGAATTTTTTTATTCCTATAGGTTTAATACATGAAACCACTCGGTTCCAGTTAAGACTACATGTATTTGTATTGATATTTGAATTTGTATTTGTATTGATCCATTCATTTACCTCTTGTCTAGTCATAATAATACATACTAATTTCCCAATATCTGACATTCAATTTGATATCATCTTTCTGATATACATATAAATATGAAGCTTGCTTCTATAGCTACGTATAGCTTGACAAAATTGAAAAAATAATACATGTTTTAAAAAATGTGGCACAGGAAAAAGTCTTTGATGGTGAAAGCATGAAAAATGTGTTGTTCTACTTTTTTTACCTTTATCTAGCCAAAATTTACGGCAAATGGTGAGCTGGATACTGAAAAAAGAATTGACTGCTATATATGTACATGTGTTTTTCGTTCTATTGAAGGTAAACGCGACACAGTGTTAGTCTCTGTAATGGATTTTGTAAAAGTTCTTTTCTAATTTGAATCCAGAGGGTCTATGACAACAACAGTCAATAATGGCTTTAAAATCACGACCACAGCTGAAGAAATGAAATCTTTGGAAATTAGGACCAAAATTAGTTTTATCTAACTGACGAGACTAGTATGTGCAGCCCAATTGCAATTCACTTGTCGTATTTTGAAATTTGTTAGGACATAAATTAAATTCAAGAAAAATATGTAAGGTAGGAGATGTATCACAGAGAATTAGCCGCAGTTTCTGGTGGTATTTGATGGAAATTAAATTACTTCTTTAAACAGACTATAAAGCAAATGTATTTTTGAAGAAAAAACGTTTCTGGTCATGTTTTAATTTTATGATCTCTTCCTGAACTGAGGTTTATCATAAAATTAGAAAAAAGTAGAAAAAAGACAAAGTTTAACCCTAAGACTTGCACCAACATTGCAAGCATTTCAAAGATACTTCACGTATAGGACCCAATGCACATAACCATTACCTAATTTGCCAGAGGAACCTGATGCTACTAAAGTTTCACAAAAAGTTGTAATAAAATGAATCTGAGAAGTAATGCATGTTTGTAGATATGTGCACACAAATTGAAATGGACAACCAGAATGTAATTTTCATTTACATTTGGTTAATAATGAAGTGGCTGGAAATGGTTAACACTGCAAATCAACCTAAACAAATTTTGTATTCACACTTCCTTTAAAGATTCATGTAAATTCATTAGGTTCATATAATTAATATTATGGCAAATGATATAAGATACAGTTTATTTATTTTACCTCACTGCTATTAAAGAAAGAAGGTGCATGTTTGTGGATTTGTATGGTTTTAAGACCTATCTCAAAGTTTTATTCAGAAATTAATGCCTTTCATACCAAGGAGCACTAGCACATCCACTGTATCGACTCTGTCTCTAACCAGTGTTGAGACAACTACTCTACCACTTAGCCATCAATCCACCACCTACATTATACAATTTCCAATAGCTGCTCCATAATTTATGCCCACTATAAGAAGGAATTTATCTCAAATTATTGATTATTCCCCAAATGTGGAGCTTGTTCCAATTGCTCTCAATCTCAGGAAGTCTTAGTTCTGAAGGAAGATAGAAACTAAACTAATATGAAATGCAATATTTTATGAAAAATTAGAGTAATGATTATCAATATTTTGCAAAATAATATAGATTTGTACAAATTTGTACAAATTAGTACATACTGTAAGGCTTGTTTGTAATAAATTATTTTTTAATTAAATTTCATTTGAGGTGGGACATTTACAACAGTTAATCACTCTTCTTCTGTTTAGAGATCCCCCTCACTTGCTTGAAATGTAGATTTCTGTGGATTCAATTACAATAGCAGTATCAGTAAGTGAAATAGATCATTTTAATTTCATAAGACTTCAAAAAAAAATTCTTCAGCTTTCCCCAAATCACTTTCATGTAAGATTGTCATTATTTATATGGCAAAAACAACAAAATTATAGATATGGTCCACAAGTACAGCTTAAATATACTAAGGATTCATAAGCTTTTGAAAGCAACCGTTACAATATCCACGACTATGTGAGTTACCATAGTTTTGGCAGGTCTCCATACGGCATCTACGTGCCGATATAGGGATGAGATCATCATCTCTCATGACCGGCTTCTCTCTCTTGGATGATGTGCCCGAGGGCGGTGCGGACCGATCCCGCAACCCAGAGGATGACCGACTCTTCTTCTTGTCCTCTCTGGACTTGTAGGCCGGGTAGCACTTGTTGCAGTAGCCGTCCATGATCTGCACGTTCGCCTGTTGGAGGCAGTCTCTGCGGCTACACTTCTGGTAGTTCGGTGGATGTGAAGCCACTCTGGAGGCGGTGCCGGTGCTGGAGATGACAGCGGACTGGGACCGGGGTGGCGGGAGAGTTTGACTACGAGAGGCCTTCTTCAATGGAGCAGAGCTGCTATTGGATGTCTTGTGCAAAGGAACGACAACCTCCCAATCAAAGCACGTGGCGCAGCGATTGCCGTACTCTGGGTTCCCGTAACTGTTGAACGGGCATCCTGGAGGAAGAGCAGATAGATTAATACTTGTAAACAAATGCTCAAATTAGAGTTGGTCAGATTAACCACCACAAATCCTACCAGACAACCAAATGGTCACGCCTCTGTTGTCCCCATAGCAAAAAAGATAAAAGTATATCATTGCTACTTTACTTCATGTTTACTTGTAATTTACTGTAAATATGACATTATAGTCTTTTAAACTTTTGATCTTTCTTTTTTCTTTAAACAATGAAATAAAAATTGAATTGAAATTGAATATATTTGCGAGGCAACAAATATATACATGTATCATTGGTCCCTGTGCTCTTGACTCTCTTAATTCTACAAGCATACAGCCAGCTTTTCACAAATATTAATCAGAGACTTGTCTCTAGTCCAAACATACTTTTACTGAAGAAAAAAGACAATGTACACATAGTTCATTAGAAAACCAGCCCAGAACAATGACTCAAAATTACCTTTGAATTTACGAGAAAGATAAAGTTTACGTAAAACTCACCTCGTTTGGCCTGACATTTGACCCTTTTGACATGGTCATACTGGAACTGACCCTTGATCCCAGAAGAGAGTGTTTCATGGATGTCCAGATCTGTTGAGGATGTAAATGAATACTGGTAATACTAAGTCACATCTTAAAAATTACCCAGTCAGAACGAAAATGCTTTTAATTTGATTTAAAAACAAGTGGGAGGGCCTAATATTCAATGTTAAAGTCAATATCATCACATACCACTTCGTAAATTATGTTAATAACAATGATACTACTACTAACAATAACAATATAACAATAATAATAATAATAATACCCCCAAAACTTCGTAAATTGATAATAACAATAATATAATTGATCTGAAATAAGTAGTTTCAACATATGCTACAGAATTGAATATCATCTGTGATCTTCTTTCCAATGTCTCCTGAAAAGGCCATTATGGTGGTAAGAATATTTGAACTTGTAAGTGGGTAGATTAACTCCATTGGTTGTTTTTTGGTTGACATTGGGATATGCCAGAGAGATGTGTTTAGACACCTGTCTTCAGGTGGTGACATAACAGTTTTCCATCTTTTGAGCAGAAGTTAAAATGAACGTGATAGGTACATGAAAACTTACTCCTGACTGTTTCAGTGGGTGGATCATTTGGATCTATCTCAGTTTCGAGGGCGATTGGAGACATTTCATCATCCTCTGGAGCTCGACGGACAGCAGTGGCCTCAGCAGTGGCACCCTCTCCACGGACAGACTTAATAGCAGCCTCCACTTGATTGACCTTATCAACAAAGTCCAGGCACCTTCTACAGGCAACAAAAGATGGAGGAACTGCAGGATTGTCACATCCTGGATGTGCGCAGAACTGCGTGCTTGATGCCCTTGCCACATGGCTTGGTTCACTGGCTTGCTGCACCTCCCTGAGGTTGGTAATCCCAGGAGAGCGGTGTCCAGGCCTAGAGGCGTAGATGCTCTGCGGTGGAGCTGAGGGCTGGGCTCTCCCACCTACAGATGGCATGCCAGCTCTGGTGACGGCTCCCGGTGGTGGATTTGTGCTGGTTGTCGGACTGTATCTCCTGGAACTCTCTTGGTAGTGAGCACGACAGAGGTCACCATTGCCTAGCTGGAGACGAACACCGTTGCAGCCAGGAATGGCACACATGTTCTTCTGCACCGTGAACTGCAGTATTGGTCTGAAGGTGCTCACTTCTTGACCTTTTGCATGTTTCAGTTGTGGTGAACTTGACCCCCTGCTGAAATCATGAGGACTAGACCTGCCTGCTATGGATTTCTTGTAGCATGCGGAACAATATCCGTTTTGGCTGGGGAGAGCATACATTTCACAGTTAGCAGTACGGCATGGCTGAGACGCATTCTCCCACAGCTGCTTTTGCCTCTCTGTGCTGAATCTCCTTGATAATTCTGGAATGTCTGTATCTGGAATCGGTGAGGGCTTCTCGCCCATGGTCTTCAAAGATAAACCAGCTGCCTTACCAATTTCTGCCTGTTTGTTGAAGCAACCACTGCACAAGTCTAATTTCTCTGGATGACCAGTCAGTGCACATTCTGGCATCAAACATTTCTTTTTTCCTACAGTCACTGCGATCTCTCGAGGGGGTGAAGCGTCAAGGAATCCCAAAGGTTCTGCTCCTCCAGTGCTCTGTTTTCCAGCTCCTGTCTGTTCTTGAGAGCACTTGCTGCACAACCCACCATAGTTAGGATTGCCTGTGAAGTCACAGCCTGGACTGATACACTGCTTGCTTCCCACTCTGAATTCATTGACAACATTGGTGTCCAATGTACTACCACTAGTCTTGTATTCCTCCACTTCCATTCCATTGCCATCCTGTACGGTAGGTGAATCAAAGTGAACTGGACCTCTTGCACTCAGTCCAGAGAATTTGGGACTTGTGCTCAGGTCTTGTAGGTTTGTTGGGCGGGCAGCAACAAGAATGTCGTCATTCATGAATGTGCTCTGGTCATAGCATACCTGGCAAAATCCATCATATCTTCGATCTCCACCATTGAGACAGGAGTCCACTCTGCATCTCTTGAAGGCCTCTTTGCCTGCAGAAGACCTAGCCTTGTAACACCTCTCACAGTACTCGTCACTCTCCAAAGCTGTCACGTAGTGACACCCTGGGGTCTTACAGGCAAGGGATGTGCTTCCAAAATAGCCCATATGCTCTAAATTCATTGACGGTACCTTAACACCACTGGACTGTAGCGCGGTACTTGATATACAGACACTATCTTCAGTGGGCACCTTAAAGACATCATTCCCAGAAAGTGATCCTCCGGTCTGAACAGCAGATGGATCCTCTGTGGAAACACGTCGGGGTTGTCCTGGTTGCTTTGGGTCACTAACTACGGCCATTTTCTCGTTCAACTGCTGCGTGCTCGTTGCCGACATCACCCCAGCTGCTTTCAGAGCTTCAGCATTCTCAGGATTGTGCTGCTCCTCTGTATACATCCTGTACCTCATCTCAGCAAGATTCAGGTAGGACTGAAAGACATCCAATTCCTCCTTTGGGTGATCTGTGGCCAGTCTGGCACACAAGACGGGTCTGTCTCTAAACCGGAAAGTCTCGCAGGTCAGGTACCGCTCGAGAAGCTGGTTTACCCTTCCTTCTTCCCCCTCTTCCAAGAAATGGATTGGAAAGCTTTCAAATTCATGGTCAACCAGAGGCACACAGTACACGTCTTTCACCTCTTTATCGGTGGGAGGACCGGTGCAGAGCAAGGGGGAGAAATGCTGGTGATGGTATCCCAGCAAGATCGGATGGTGAAAGCAGTCTTTGGAATCCCATCCAAGAGGCAAGTAGATACCACTGAAGTTCAAGGGTTGGAGAGATTTGCCAGCTGCATCGCGCCACATGTTCTCGGCCAGGACGATGATCGGACGTCGCAGGATGTTGGCCATGACAAAGATGTGGAATTCCTCAAGACACTCGTAGGGTAGGCCCATCGTCTGATCAAGCCGGCGTTCAGGACTGGAGATATCCACCACAATCTGCCACTCAGCTGACCATTCCTATAGGAAAGATAAGAATAAATGGATACATTTATCTCATTTACGGATACTTGTACCATTTTACTTTAAAAATAATTCAATTTTATTCATTTTACTTTAAAAATGATTCAATATGAACATGTTGCAGAAGTTTATTGTTAATACACTTGCCTTCACCTATGAAAGTACCCCACATGTAGCTATACACAACTGGCTAAAGAGAGAAGACACATAAATCAAGCTTTGTACATTTGTGTAAAATCACATGACATTTCAGTGTCTTTTGCATTCATTATAAACTCTAGATTGTTTCCACTCCTGAAGCATTATAAAATAGTAATGCAACCTCAGTGAACAAACTTTTGGGGAATCCTGCTTGAAGTTCATCAAGAACATCAAGAATACCAATTTTAATTGACAGACTCAAAGTATTTCCAGCAATGACCACTTTTGTTGCTTGTAATAAAACATACCTTAGTATTGTATCGAAAACCTTGACCAGGAATGTGCGTGGTATCAAATTGGTTCCTCTCCCGCCTCCATCGCCGCTCGTTCGCCTCTGCATACTCTCCTTTCATCACACTGTGGAGCACCTTCCGCAGCCAGAGGTCAGTGTCCTCAACGCCCCACAGGGCAAGGGATATGGCATGCAGGAGACAGTTTCCATCACCTACATGTACAATGAACAACATTAATAATAATAATATTGGGTTCTTTTTTTAGCGCTCGTATCTGTCAGACTTGACACTCAAGGCGCTTCCGATTACTACCCTGGCTTTAGCATGGCTGCCATTACAGCGCTCTAGCATTTCAAGGAATTAACTCCTGCCAGGTACCCATTTACATCACCTGGGTTGAGTGTGGAAAATGTACATGTAGATCAATGTCTTACCAAAGGACATTAGTGCCGCGGCGGGACTCAAACCGTGGACCTTGTGATCGACAGTACGGTGACATATCCACTCGACCACGGCACCTCTAGTTGTAGTCGATAAAGATGAAGATGATGATTAAAGCATTTGCTTGGTGCCATACATTTTATTTTACATTTTAAGGCAGCGGCTACCAAAGAAGGGCAGTAATTTACATGCCAGCTGAAATAAGTGAGTTTTAAGACAAACAAAAACACGATGGAAAGCCTCACTTGGAAAGCAGAAAATAACAAAAACAGATTAATGACAGTTTGATAAACTCGGCCAAGGAATAAGTTACAAATTTTCAACAATCAAGATTTATAATGATATGGGGATTCTCCCATTCGGCAATTACATGTAGATCACAATAAGTGATGAGCATGCAGGGATAACTCTCTAATTCCTAAAAACATAATCAAGATGAAACCCCCATAATTAACCACTCATGAAAGTTCAGGGGGTGTTTCACAAAGATCCTAAGTTGATCTTATCTCTAAGTTGAACTCTAAAATTATGGAAAGCTGTTAGCATCTTCAAAAATATTTTGTACAAGTTATTTAAAAAGGCATAAAATGTCTACTCATATCATTCATATTTTCTATTGTCAAGGAGATTTCAAAATTCTAAAATAATTGAGTTTTTGCTTTTGAATATATTTCATTTAAAGGCTACGAATGGCTCTCCATAATTTTTAAGTCCAACTTAGAGTTAAGTTCGACTTCGGAGCTTTGTGAAACACCCCCTGGTTTTAAAGTCACTGATTCAACAAACCTGTGGCATTGAGCGAGTAGAGCTTGGTGAACCCTGGACACCAGTTCAGGACCTTCTTATCCTCCAAGAACTTGCTCATGTGAAGATCACAGAGCTCCTGCTTCAAATACTTGGCAAAGTCCGAGGGGTAGAGCTGCCAGTAGTTGGGCAAGATCGCAGTTGCGTTTTGCATCTCCTGAGAGGAACAAATGTATGGCATCGTCAGAGAACACATACATGTACAAGCAAAACGGGGAGTCAGGGAAAAAACCTTGGACTCGCGCGAATTTGCCCCTGAAATGCCAAAAAGAGCCCCCGTAAGTCATAAAAGAGCCCCCTAAAATTTGCATAGAGTTCACTGCAAAACAAATTAAAGAGTGTTATTTTCATGCCAGCAAGCTTGAACAGTGGCCCACAAAACTTTTTTATTATTTTTTTCCTGCTGGGAGTCGATAACAATAGCAAACAAGTTTGTAGCAACTAATTTGTTGCAATGAGTGTACCGATGAACAATGGACATAATAAATGGTTCAATAATATAGCAGTCTGCTAATGACCAACTGGAAGAGTTGGCATCAGTCTACATTTTTCTCTGATGCAATTTTGAAGATTTTACTTTTCGAATGATTCTTTAAAAGATCCAAATTGTTAAGTTATTTGGCAAATCCAAGGTAATTGGTCATTTGGTGTCCCATATGTTATATACAAGCACTATATGAAATTATGGACACAAATTGACATCAAAAGTATCTTGATCCTATAATAATAATAATAATAATAATAATTACATTTATAGGGCGCTTTATACAGGCGTTTCTAAGTGCACAGGTGGTACTGTCTAACTTTAACATGTTCAATAGCTTAAAGTAACAAAATAAAATAAAATATTACTAATACAATACAATTCAGTTGAATGAAATTAACTACTTGTGTAGTTAATGGTTTGATCCAAGCTCTTGTAGCCTATGGCTTGCAAGTTAATACAGTCCTCAGATATTTATACAAAAATGTTTTGGTAGGTAACTTACGACACAATAGATTTGACTTGCCCTATTGGACTATGATTGTCTATATATCCATAAGCAGTTTATTCAAAAGTACATAATGATACAGTATATTTCACTCCCAAATGTTCCCATAATAAGTCATAACTACACAAATAATTATATCAACCAATTTAAAAGCTATATTATGTCACTCTATGACACACAGATAGCAAAGACCCTATTCATAACAAATATAGGAAGAAAAGACGGGTTTATGAATTTCACATTCCTTTTTTTTCTTCCCGGCAACTTCGGGAGGTGCAGCAGGGAAGCCAATTTTATTCTTTATACTTTGTTTCCTATGTGCCATTCTATTGTAACTTCTATTGTATGTTTGAAATGCCAAAGAAATAATAATAATGAAGATAGAAGAGGGAATCATTTAATTTCATAACTTACTGCCAAGAACGCTGGTCTGTGCGGCCCTTGAGTCCTGTGGAGATTATTCCTCACTTTGTTCCATATTCGGTGGGTCTTGGTGGGGTCTGCATCCCCCACCTTTAGGGGGAGAGCCAGGGGGGAGCGCTTGTCACCGCCAGGAAGATGGTCTTCGGGATAGGGTGGCATCTCGGAACTTAGTTTCAAAGAGTTTGCGACAGAAAGCTGTTGTTGGGCTTTGGGGATGGTCAATGGTTATATTCTGCAATGAACAAGTAGAGGCGACACCGATGCTGCATTTAAATAGTACCTGTGTATGTTATACAAAATTAGGAAAGGGCTGATAATGAGAAAAATTGGAAGATAATATAAGCACAAAAAGAAATTCATGAAAATGTAAAGAGAGAGAGAGTTGGAGGGGCGGTGTTGAATTTTTTGAAATATAAATGAAAATTGGATGGTTGATTTGATTTACTTTAAATTGAAATTAATAATGCACATCATGTATATTTCCACACCTGCAGATGGGAGGTGGAAACCTCACCAGAAATGGAGAAAGAAAAATGTGTCGTATCTAGGGCCTAGTAGAAACAGAAATATTAGAAGTACAAACAGTATAATGAGAAGAAAGTCACATTTATACATATATCTAACATTGAAAACATTTAGCAATTTAAGGCAAAAGTGCAGAGAAAGACATGCAATATCATATTTTCAAGAGACAGATTACATGTACGGGTATAAGTATTGTGGTATCTTATTTATCGTGTACTTCCTTAACAGTCATGTACACAGTGATTCATTTATTTTTCTGTACAATACATACATGTACCTTATTGAGGGTTTAGAGCCCATATATTCCATTTAAAAAGCAAACAACCATGACGAAAATTAAAGATTCAGAAAAAATGCTTGCAGGCCACAAAATTATGTATGTACATACCACACAAGTCCAGATATTCTAAACAAAAATTATCACTGACCTTCCTGCCTGCATAGATTCTCCTACATATACTGTCCAAAGAATATGACTAAGAACTGCTTCTAATTTCAATGACGATTCTACTTGCTGAATTGTGGTTTCCCACAATTGTGGTTTCCCAGATATTCAAAAACTTCTAGTCATAAGAAGCTACTTCAAAATGTGCAACTCCATATGAGGCCATAAATCACTGGAATCATTCGCCGGAACAATAACAAGAAATAATCCCAAAATGTAAATAGAATCTCACCGAATAGAACAGGGGATTCCCCTAAAGATTGACATCATCACTTCTATTGTATGTAATAGTTGAACTGCTAGTATCCTAACAAACTTGATGCCCTTGAATGGACAATAATGCATACTGTGATAAGGCCTTTCACAGGAAATGGAAGGGAAAGAATACTTCCCCTCTTTTTGGAGACTTTTCTTTCTATTCACTAACTTGTTATTTATACCTTTGAATCAATGAACAGCGAGAGCAGGGAATTTCTTGAACAATTTACGTCTAAATTTAACTTTTGAAAACGGTGCAACTTTTAATCTGTTACTGTAGGTACCCATATAATTCTATTTTGGGGGTGAAAGAGTGTGGAATAAACTTCAAAGTGCACATAAATTAATCCTGTCAATTTTTATAGCTTTGATAATATTCTGTTGTGCTCTTCCATTTTGGGAGTCATTGATGAAAAATAGTGACAGCTAGTTCTAAAGGGAAGTATATATACAAAATATCTTGTAGAAAGGGTGAAAAAAAATTCCTTGTTATATTCTCTACATTTGGCATGTACAGTATTTAGGTCCTGAAAGCCACATCTAATTATTACTTGAGATATAATACGTACATGTATGCTTTAACATTCAGGGGCATATCCAGTATTTTGTAAAGGAGGGGGCGTAATACTTGTAACATTTCTGAATGTATTAAAGCAAATTAAAAAAGTTCATTAACTATTTAAAGGGGACACATTACATAACAAGTAGTTGGGTATGGCACTTGGGGACATGGGTTGGATGTAAGCCCCTCCCCCATCTTAGACTTTATCACCAGTGGATTTTTCACAACTCACACACGCAACACAGCAAATTTGCATAGAGTTCAATGCAAAACAAATTAAAGAATGTTTTTTTCATGCAAGCAAGCTTCAAAAGTAGCCCCCAAAATGTTTAGAATGTTTTTTTCCCTGATGTACATGTCTGTAAGTGATACTGTCTTAGACTTTAGAGGTATACATGTATTTTCCAAAATCTTGGCCAAACCGATGAAACGATTTGTATATTTGCATCATATCTCCTTGTGCACGGTGCTATGCAAGTGTCGGAAGTCTAAGGAGAGATAACCTTTGCTCATATGGAAGAGTCTTAATCTCAGGTACCAAAGCTGTAGCCCTTCTTTGTACAATTTATTTTATTTTCAGAATGTACAAGAACCCACATATGTTTTTAAAAAAATTATGATTTTCATTAAAAAAAAAAATTATTTTCATATTGTGGAACAAATTAAAATCATGTAGAGCCTATCATAAATGGACGAGTACATGTATATTTCAAAAGGAATTTCATAACAGCATCCATATAAATCTTCCTTTAATTTCAAATAACAGTATTTAATTCTAGGACTTTGTTTTATAATTTATCTCAATGTAAAGCAACATGACTGCATGCGCTGTTACACGACCTTTTCATGAGTGTTTAAATATAATCAAGCAGTACGTCTCAATACTCTCATTTTCATGTATAGCTTGACAGATCTATCAAACTAATTGGTTGTATTCTAAAATAGCAAAAACGATGTTATCTTTTATGTCAAATAAATATATTTGTCTTCTTGTAGGCCTAATACTAGCTATTGAAATAACTTGATCAACAACTTAATTTGTAACATGTACATGTATTTAATTTCCTTTCGCTTGAATATGATTTACACTGGATTGTTTTACCGGTACACGGAAAACATGGAAAACACGAAAAATACAGAAATATGGAAAGCAATGAACTGAACTGAAACTGATAGCAAAACAATGAAATGTCAATTGTCATAACAAATCAAAACTAGGACAAGTCATCGCTTAATGTCTTTGCACGGCTCAGGTGACTGCATTCGCTTAAAGTTAAAACTAAAGGAACATCCATGCACGCACCAATCAATAGTAAGTGTTAGCTCCGCACATATTCAGTTTGTTATGCCAATCAACATCATTTTCCAACATCAAACTTGAAAGATAACATGGTTTTCAGAATACAGCCCCCCCCCCCCCCAGGCTGTACATTATGAAGCATAATGACCAGATTGTTGTGCTGAACAAACAAAATTATGGATCTCACACATACAATTTATTTTATTAACAAACTCCCACGACCTTTGGACTCAATACACATCATCTATTCAAAACCTAAAAGAGTGAGGTGAGGTGCGAAGGGGACTTTGCACTCGCCAAGCGATCTCCTCTTGCTTGCACAATCGACTAAATCACACGGTAAAAACATGTCAACGTGTGACATACACTGAATACCCTACACTATGTCTATGTGCATGTACACAGTCAACGAGCAGTGCAGTGCTAGTGCTAGTGTGCATTTTTTTTACTTGGTTCTTTACTCAATTATGATGCCGAAAGTTACTAATCCATACGTATTTCAAATAAAAATTGATACAATAAATAAACCATTGACATGTAACTTACGTTTATATGTTAAAATCATAGTAATTCCATGAAAAAATTGTGAATTTCGGACGTAAAGATTTCTTCGCGTAGTCAAGTGAAGGTTCCTGTAGGTAATAATAAAAAAAAGGGGAATTCCCGATGAAAAGCCCCATTTTGCAACGTCATTACGACATTTAATGGGTTATGTTGTTATTTATTTATAATTTGTTTACAATAATTATCAATTATAGAATAATATTTTTACTTACAATACATAAAATATATTTTACATATCATTATATGATAAACAAATGTACCACATGATAAATATTTGTGTATACATTTTTGACAATTTTTCCTTAAATTACCCCATTTTGATAATGGTCAGTTCCAACTAGTTGTGGCCGGAAGATTACGTCATTCCTGGCTGGCGTGGCTTCAGCCTCATTATAGGAGAAGAAGAAGAAGTTTCGAGTCAAAATGTGTTTCCGTATGATTAGTCGATGAAAGATGGGATCGAGTCTGGCAAATCCAAATATAGCCATAGACCTAATTAATATACAAAAAATGAAAACGAGAGCCTAACGTTGTAATCGTTGTACCCCCCTTCCCCCGGCAATGTGGACCAAACAGTTTTCCAAAAACTTGTTTTTAATGAATTAAGAGACCCTTTCAGACTCGTTTCCCTTCTAAGAGAATCATGTACTATACTACTGGTATGAATCCGAAAAATAAAATTAAATAGGGCCTTTGCACCCCCAAACGAATAACGAAATTTACAACAGCAGCAACAACAACAAAAAAAAGAAGGGAAAAAAAGAAGAAGAGGTGGGAAGAAAAAGAGAGAAAGAGAGAGAGAGAGAGAGAGAAAGGGAGGAAAAGAGGGGGGGGGGGGGGGTGATGCGACATTTAAGTTCCCCCTCGCTCACTGATCATGTCATGTGGTCATTATGACTCAAGAAAAGATTTGGTTTGTTTGGTCTTCGGTCTCAGGAACCTGCTAAGATATCTGCCAGACTGCAATATTGCGTAGGCCTTATCTAGAACTTCTGATTACTGAATAATGACAATAATAGTAGGCCTACTCATCCAATTGTATATGATATTGACTTCCTCTTCCTCCCCGTCAGACAGAGGTATATAGGTCACATCCTTAATTTGACGAATAACGTATAGGCCTATGCCCTTGCCTAAAAGACAATGATATTGGGGGAAAATCTTCCCGAGTAGGGTCGGTACGAGGCAGGGGCAGGATGTAGGCTTATCTATCCTGTTGATGATAATATTATCATTTGCTGTCATTTTCTCCCCGATGCGATGTGACTCCCCACCTTCTCACCCCTCAACAGGATACGTGATTTCCAAATCCTGTCACAAGGCGGACTGTCAGCCCTCGCCAGGGCCGTAGCCAGAGTTTGATGTTTGGGGGGCACATACATTGTAATTGATCGACGTCCTGGGGAGGGGTCTAGTTCAACCGATCTTGATTTTTTTTAATCTTTTTTTTTGTTGGGGGGGGGGGGGGGGCACGTACCCCCTCCCCCCCCCCCCCCCCTGGCTACGGCCCTGTCCTCGCATATTTCATTTTAATTATCACTTCTTTCTTTTATCCTTTTATCCTTTTTCTCTCAACAAACACGAATCGAATACATTACAGTGTACAACTGAAATGATTAAAAAAAAATATTTCGGGGTGGGATCAGTTCCCAGCCTTGATCTACCAAATCCCGATCATCTGGTAAATTGATAGGACTTGGATTTGTTGTGTATCATAGAACAAACTTCCATCAAATGAATAATTTCACTGCTTTTGGTATATTGCTCTTATAGTCTTTTTATTTTGGTTTTTGATGTTTTATATTAACTACAAAATTCTATTGATACAAATCGTGCGGTAATAAGTTAACAGATATGAAAACGGCTTATCCATATTTTCTGGCAATTAAAATAGGCCTTTACTTACATGGTCGTCTCATACTTGTTTCTTCCTTTTGGTGATGTGGAGCAGCAGTGTGTATAGAAAATAAATCTTCATGCATGCGTTTCCGGTACCAGCCTCATTTTTTTGTTCTTCTTCTCCTCCTCCTCCTCCTCCTTCTGTTTCTTTTTTTCTTCTTGTTAAGTTGTTCTTATTCTCTTCTTCCTCCTCCTCCTCCTCCTCCTCCTCCTCCTTTTTTTTTCTTGTTCTTTTCCTTCTCCTTCTCCTTTTTCTTGTTCATCTCCTCCTCCTTCTTTTTATCCTCCTCTTTCTAATTTTTCTTTTTCCAGTGTTGTTGTTCTTGTTCTCTTCCTCCTCCTCCTCCGTCTTCCTCCTCCTCCTCCTCCTCCTTTTTCTTGTTCGTGTTGTTGTCGTTCTTCTTCCTTCTCTTCCGCCTTCTCCCTTTTCTTGTTCTCGTTCTTGTTCTTCTTCTCCTCCTTCTTTTTCTCCTCCTCCTTCTTTTTCTCCTCCTCCTCCTTTTTCTTGTTCGTGTTGTTGTCGTTCTTCTTCCTTCTCTTCCACCTTCTCCCTTTTCTTGTTCTTGTTCTTGTTCTTCTTCTCCTCCTTCTTTTTCTCCTCCTCCTTCTTTTTCTCCTCCTCCTTCTACTTTTTCTTCTTTTCCGACTTCTTCTTATTCGTTTTTCTTCTTTCTTTTGTACAGCCCCATCTACGTTGCATATTTTACATTCATACCGACCACTCAACAAAATGTCGTCAAAATCTGACTCTCGAAAACAACGAAATTTCGACGATAATGACAGGCATAGTCGAAGTCATAAACCACGATCTCGCAGTAGAAGCCCAACAACGAGTCACAGAAAGAAGGATAAACCACATCGTTCTGAAAGATCGGTAAGTAGACTTTATGGATCATCGACTTCGAGACCGAAATGCCCCTGCGCTAGAGCGCAGGAGCCATAGTATTGGCATCGGCTTGGCCTAGGTTCTGTATGCGCCGGGAGTGTGGGCCTGAGGTATTGCATGCGACCGCATGCCATGATGCAAGCACAATGCGATATGCGGAGACTAGACTATTCTATTTCTAAGCTAAGCTAAGTAGATCTATGACTATGTTCATTTGTTTTCCTGAGTTTGCTTTGGGCTCTAGAGTACTTTTGCGTTGCCCCTGGGTGTGTGTGCTTCATTCCGTTACACACAGTTGTTTTCAATTTTCCTCATTCCCACTCTGTTGCATTGTTTAGACGTCTACTTTGATTTTTTGAAAAAATGAAGCGAGCTCGATGCATTGAAAAAGCATATCAGCTCTGTATGGACTGAAAACTTCAGTCTAGTCCCTGATATCGACGGTTGTTCCGCTGACAAGTGACATCGCATAGTCTAAACTGGTATTGGAGGGACCTACATGTAGGTCAAGAAGTCAAGAAGTCTGTTCAACATACCGAACCACTCTAGCCAGAAAATACAAACAGAAACAAACAAATTTTAATGATGGCCTGTTGAGAATCTCCAGAAATTGCAGAAAAATTTGGCAGCATATATTTTTATCCTTTCTTTCTTCCTTTCTTTTTCTTCCTTTTATTTTGGTTAATCATTAATGCAAATAGATTTTGGCATTAATGTTCACAACCGAATGATACACACCTAAAAGTAAAAACTATAAAGAAAAAAAACAACAGCATATAGCCTAGACTCTATATGATGCTGTGATAACATTTTCCTTACAATACATATAGTCTAGTACTAGTAGTAGTTACAGTTCCAGATCTCAGGAATTTCTTTCATTGTTTTTCTCTTCAGGATGATGTCCACAGGAGGCCAGAGAGACAGGATGATGGTCGCAGGAAACCAGAAAGAGAAGACGATGTTCGCAGGAAACCAGAAAGGGAGGACAATATTCGCATGAAACCAGAAAGAGAAGACAATGTTCGCAGGAAACCAGAAAGAGAGGACAATTTCCGCAGGAAACCAGAAAGAGAGGACAATGCCCGCAGAAAACCAGAAAGAGAAGATGGACCACTTCCAGGGAAAGTCAAATCAGAACCAGCTGATAAAGGCTACAAAAAATATGAGTTTCCAGGGAAAAAGGAGAGAGAAAGAGAGTCAAGGAGTAGGTGGGATGAAGATGATAAGAAGCAAGAGCAGGGCAGGACCCATGAACAGGGCAGGACCCATGGAGGGGATAGGAGAGGCAATAGGCAGGAACAGCCACAGATCAGGATCAAGCAAGAACGTCAGGGAAACGATGACAGGAGAAGGGAACACAGGGCGCAGGTTGGAGATGAGAATCCGTTCCAAACAAACGATGAAGACGAAGGTGAAGAAAATGCACCTGCTGCACCAAAAGAGGAGCCTGATTTTGGTCTGTCAGGGGCCCTCGCAGAAGACACCAACACATTCCGTGGGGTCGTGATCAAGTACAATGAGCCTCCGGAGGCTAGGAAGCCCAAGCTCAGATGGCGTCTTTACGTGTTCAAAGGAGATCAAGAGATGCCCACATTGTACATCCATCGGCAGAGTGCCTACCTCCTGGGTAGAGAGAGGTTAATAGCAGACCTGCCTATCGATCATCCCTCGTGCTCCAAGCAGCATGCAGCTATCCAGTACAGGCTTGTTGAGTATGCCAAAAGCGATGGCACGACGGGCAAGAGAGTGAGACCCTACATCATTGACCTTGAATCTGCCAATGGCACTTTTCTGAACAACAAACAGATCGAGGCCAAGAGGTACTATGAGATGCAAGAAAAGGACGTGCTCAAGTTTGGATTCAGTTCAAGAGAGTACGTTGTCCTCCATGATAAGACAACTGCAGGAGACTTGGAAGATGAGGGAGAAGTATAACAATGTAAAAACTTGTTGAAAATTGAAATACTGAACTTGTATAAGCTATCTTTTGTCTTACTGTATTAAAAAGGAATTGCTATTCACCTACTTTTGTGAAACATACCTCACTTTTATAAGCCACAGAACTTGTTTGATTTACTCAGTTCACATGTGTATTGCTTGGATGAGTTGCAACATTTAGAAAAGAAAGAGTCTAAACTCTAAAGCCAGAGAGAGTTTGTCAAATTTGTGGAAAGAAAGGACCAAAACCTAAACTCCATGGAAACCTCAATCAGGGGACATCACTAAAAAAATTTACTTTCCGAGTATATCTAACTCAGAGAGGAGTGTGATGTGAACGGTGTCCTGTTAAATGTTGTGATAAAGTTTATTTATTGGTCATTCGTATTTCAGAAGATTATTTCTCTTCAGACCGAATAAAGTCCATTTTGATGTCTTAGATATCCATTATCCAATGTAATGACAGGGTTAGTTTCAGTGGTGAGTAACCGTGAGTTGCAGTCTGAAAATTAATCTTCTACCTGCAGTTACATACTGTATGAACTTCCCTTGTGTCCTCCGACAAGTAGAATCAATCAATTGCAGACACTATCACAGCCCCTTCTTTTTTTAAACAATATTTCCCAATCATGGCCCTAGTATTATTTATTCTACATATGTATTTGTTCATTCATTGAAGTAGTTGGTACATGAACCTTCAGGTCGACCGACCAAGTGATTACATATGATAGTTTTAAAACATTGGGGTATTGTTTTACAAAACAGGTTGGCTGAAAATTCAATTGCAATGTGTACTACAATATGTAAATGTAAAACACGTTTCAATGGTATGTCTGCAAACTCGTAGTTTAAATATGTCTGGGGAGTGTAAGACTAAGATCGACTTTAAGTTGGACTTAAAAATATGGCAAGACATGCATGCCACTGGTTGCTCTCACCATTGGTCTCTTAATTATGATCTTTAGATAAATTTGTTTCCTTAAAAGAAGCTGAATTCTGTAGATGCGTGACCATGATTTGTACGCCCCTTGAGAGACCATTGCCAGTAAACGGTTAGAGCAAACAGTGGCATGAATGGCCTGCCATAGTTAAGTCCAACTTTAAGTCAATCTTAGTCTTTGTGAAACACTCCCCCGGACTTTCAAACCCTGGATAACAGACTATTCAAGAGAAAAATTAATGTTATTGTAACGTTTTTTTTTTCAATTGCTAAAAAATCTGCAAGTTTGGAAAAATTAAAAAGACCTCTATTGGGTTCATTTTTTGTAGATTTATTGTTTGTAAAAAAATTGACTGGCTGGAGTGGGAAGTGTACTGTAGATACCAAAGATGTGTCAGAAGTCTGTTTGTTTATAAGCTTTAAAACATTTAAATTACACTAAAGTACCCATGGCGAAGCTGAGCATTATTTTTTGATGGGCTTTGAAAATGAAAATTTTCTTTGTATTTTGAAAGAGCCCCTAATTTTCATGCTGAAACCAGACGAAAATTAATTCAGAGCTGTGCTGAAATGAGTGATAGGCCATACATTTTCTGTTTACTTTGTAAAAGTCCAAGTCAACATTTCCGCAGCAACAACACAATTTCCTTCATTACTTGACTTCAATTCACCTGTTTTGGATATCAAGAACATTTTATAGTTTATCATTGTACATGTAAAGTACATGAAGTACATTGTTTGTGCTTCATTTTCGAAATTTTTCAATATATTGTGTATTTTTGTATTTGTGTAATAATACTGTACACAGTGTGGTCTGAATGAATAAATGTTCCATTTTGGAAGTGAACTTGTTGTGTTACATGAATGATTTATTAAAATGTTCATACATTGATAAAAGTGATTTACATGTATTTGGTGAATGATCTATAGATATTTTTAATTGAATTTGAATTTTGAAAAACTGTGATAGAAACTTAGGGGTAATCTTGTGCTCTGGTAATTAATAGAAAAATGAATATAAACATATAATCCAATACGGAATGATTGATACAGGACATGAGCATTTAATCTGCAAATTGAATTTGATAGGAGATTTTTGACCCCGGCATATCAAACTTTATCAAACAGATTGGGACTGAAGCTACACCACCAAAACAGTTACGGTATACTTTTAGTCCCATTCTATTTGTGTTCCTTTTTAAACTTTCTGCATACAATTTGCTCACTTCATGGGCCAAGATTACCTCTATAATCTAAATACATGTATTTTATTTTGAACTGTAGAAAATGTGTAATGAATTGTTTATACGTAAACACATGTACATGTATACAACACTTTTACAGAACAATCGATACAACATAATGTAAACTTATCAGTATGTATTTATTACATTCATATTAAAATGATAATCACATTGGGGTAAAAAATGAAATGACTTGCAGCATGAATAAAATTAAATTGGAGTGTTATTGTTTTCTCTATACAAATACACTAGTTATGTTGCAAATCCTAACAAGTGTGGGGGGGGGGGGGGAATAAGTCTGCCCTATATCATGTTTGCAACTATCTGTTTAAAAAAAATCCTGCTAAGATTGAACTTATGTACACTGCATGTTGTTGTAATTACATGTACCAGTAGATTTGTTATAATGATACTCGGTAGTTCAAAACAATACAAAATGCAGTGTATAAAGGAGACATAAACATGTATCCCTTATTTTTCTGATCATATACTGGTCATGAGACCCTTGTTATCTGAGGAAAGCCCTGTACTGACATGCATATGGGAAGAATACCAAATACATGTACATGTACACTTGACAACTAAATTATTCATACCCTTACCAAGTTTTTTTTTGATAATGTAAGTACAGTATGTGAAAAATCTATTTGTCCGATTATTGTTTCTTAAGAATGTGACATATTAAAGCTTACATCTAAAAGTATTAGATAAATACCCCAATTCAACCAGTCCAAGTTTAATTCTTAAGTTACAAAAAACACTAAAAACATCAAATTTACAAGGGGTATGAAAAATTCAGTTGATAACTGTAATTGTATGTGAATAAATTAATTGATTCACACATTCTTGCAGAGCACATGTGTATGTAGATGTACATAAAAACAGAATTGTCTGATTACATCCAAATGTACAAACATATAATATAACCCAAGAATATTATTATCACATGAGCATAATTCACATAGAATACTGATACACTTTGGTCATAATATAAAATGAAATACGGATATTTCTTTTAACAATTTCTTCACTACAATATAGCATTTGATGAACAATAAATGCTCAAAAAATCAAGTTCTTTCATTAAAGGCATGATCTCTCCATTTATTTAAATATTAAAAAGCTTAATAATCATGGTACATCTAGTGTGTGCACACCTTCAATATTAATTATTTTAAATTTTGCAATCATATTGAACATGGTGGAAATATTTGCACCATTAAAAAGGAAACATTACACAAATAAACCATACAGCACTGATACATCAGTAAAATGTTGATATGCCTGGAAACTATATTATTCCATGTAAATGACTGTCCTTAACCATCCCCAAATTTACTGGCTTTTACATAATTGACAATCCTCATCACATATGTTAAGACAATAATAATAATAATAATATGGACATTTATATTGCGCTGGTATCCGCCAGGCTCTGACGCTCAAGGCGCTTTACTCATATTACCCTGGTTGTAGCCGAGCTGCCAAAGTAACTAGCGCGAGCATATCAGGTACCCATTTTGAACTGGGTGGAGAATGGCAAATGTAGATTAATGTCCTGCCAAAGGACATTAGTGCCGTGGCGGGCCTTGAATCCCATACCTTGTGATCTGCAGCCAGGTGACTTATCCACTAGACCACAACACCTTTACAGCATGGATATTGCTTGTATATCCATGTATTCAGTGGCACTTCAGTAACTTGATGTGATCAAGAGCTTCTTCAATCTCCTTTGATTCGCTGTCCTGGTTGATCAAGCTCTTCTCCAATGCATGAAGCACTTTGTCCATACCATCTACAGCACTGTATAAATAAAAGAAAGAAATACATAGAGGTAAACATGAATTAATAATAATAATAATACTTTGTTCTTTTATAGCGCATTTCATGTCTGTTGACATTTCAATGCACTTTACAAGTTACATATATAAAGTATAACCAGATCATAAAAGGATTAATTAATGCAATCATTTCATCACCTGACGTCTTACATTTGTATTAAAGGGAAATCCTACCTTGATTTAAAGAAAAGTGCTCAAAAAGAAATCAGAGGGTTGATTAGTGGAGATAAAACAAAATTGGGCAACTTCTAAGTAAGTTATGAATTATTGAGAGTTGTTCACTATACATATGGGAATTTCAAATTGGCTGAATCAGTATTGCCATCGTGATGTAATGCCAGACAACTTTCCCATTAATTTTTTCCAACACAAAATGCCACTTTTTCAAAATATACTTCTCAGTTCTCACAACGATCTTTTCTTTTTGGAGGATCTATAATAATATGCTATCAATGATATATTTTGGGTAGTGCCCCAAAGGAAAAGGAATTTATAAAAACAGAAATTGATGACAGTTTAGTCTACAAAAAAGGAAGTGTTGACCAAGTATAAGTCACTGACCAAATTGCCCATTCTAGATTCGCATGGATTTAATGATCCCATATTTATAACATTCATAACTTTTTTGTTACTTTTCAGATTTATTTCAAACTTTTGCTATTCTGTTTCACTTTAAATATCACTAAATATTACACTTTTTTCACATTAATAAGAAAGGTTGGATTGCCCTAGAAATGATGTTGAAAGAACCAAGTCTTTTTTAAGAGGCTAAAACTAAGAGAGATTAAATGACAAACCTAGCATGCTTCTGGGCTTGAATCCAGATCAGAATGTTGCGTCGCTTGACAAGTTGTACAGCGCCCTCTGGAATCTCACAAGCCTTCACCAACACACCAATGATCGGGTCCTTTAGGAAAAAAGATAAAGATAGAAAGCATCAAAAGTAAGCACAGCAATCAAAAAATTATTTATATTCCTTGTACAAAATCATTGGAATAATTTCTTTCTTTTTCCTAATAAGTATCCGATTCTTGCAATTATAACAGCGGACACTGACATGTTGATACATTAGGCAAATACCGCATAACTGTTGTGCTGACACCTGTTTCGACATAGTGACAATGTCTAGTGTATATTATCAAAATACAAACACTCTAAAGCATGTCTGCACTAGTTTGGCCAGGAGGGATTAGACCTCTCTGCAAGGTCACTAACAGGTAGTTATCTCATCAAATCAGCTCTCAATTAACATAAGAAAAAGAGGATCATGGGGGACCATCGGTCACCGATTAGGCATTGTTTGCTATATAGGGGGCGCAAATTAGCTACAAGTAGTGCAGTCCTGCTTTAAGATACAATGGCCTGTTTAAAATCTCTTACCCCTATAGCCTTTTCACAGAGAGGTGATGCATAGAAAGCCAGAAGGGTTTGGAACACATTAGACTTGGCACAGAGCTTGAAATCAGCTGGACCACGCAGACCATCCGTCAGGAGGGACAGGAACCAAGTCTTCTCAATCTTGTGCTGCAAACATTAAAAAAAAAGAAAAAGAGATAGGATGACAGTTATTCCAGATTTATACAAAGTTTATCATTCCTTTTGAATAATACTAAACTAAGAAACCACTAACATTAATACTACAATTCTTCATAAGCAGCAATATTTATGTTAACAAGCCCACTTTAAAAGATTGAATACATCATCGATCAACAACTTCTGCACCACTGCTCTCAAATAAATTTAAGAACTATTCCCTGTACATGTCGGCGGTAGGAGTGAATGCATAATGTTCATGCACTAGTGTGTTCACAAGTTTTATATGGCAATTTGGTTCTACACGTTGCCAATCATATCAAAGATTTTTAGCATACCAGTGTCCCGTCTTATAAACAGTTGCAAATGATATCAAACGCAATTATAGTATGTACATATGACATAGGAGACTGTAAACTTGCAATCAATAAGTCTTGCAATCGATTCAGATCAATTGCACCTCTTTATAAGGGGGCCCAGATCATCGTATTCAGTAAATAATCCTTTTACAGCTTCAATCAGACCAAATGTGATGTGATCTCACCTTCTGTTCAGACATCGTAATGTATGCAACACCAAATTACAAATACCTTGGACTTGCTGCTGTTTTTTCTCTCTTTTTTTGACTGATGCTACCATCTGGTGTTACCAAAGTTCGAAAACTTTGATTTTAAATCATGAAGACTATATGAAAATCAAAATAAATGAGGTTTAAAGGTACCTGCATTTCAGCTCCCACAAAGAGTCTTGGGAAGAGCGGGACCTTGTTGAGGTTGAGCTGAGGCTTGAACATGAGATATGAGATGAGGATGGGATAGAGAGAGCTCTCTGGCTGTAGCATCTGCTGGATGGACCGAGCCAAGAACACCGTCAGGAGGGGCGGGATGTACTGGGTCGGGGAGGACACCGAGTTCCGTAAGATCTCCAGGATGAAGGCAATCTGAGATGGAAAGCGATGCTTGTTTAGATTTCATACTAAGGAAACAACTTTTAAAAAACAATCCCCTCGTTATATCAGGGCTAAAAATCATAGTATACAATGAGGTGACACTTTTCAGAAGTGTTCTACATAAGGGGGTTCCACTATTAATATTTTAGTCCCACGGTCTAGGATGAGAGTATTACTTACTAAACTTGGGTTATGGACAAGTAATTTTACACTGTTTTTTGTTTCTTGATCTAGTAATATCAATGCAAAATGATAATATGACCTATCAAGAGAGAAAAAAAGTAGTATGTCAATTTCTACATATTAGCCTTTTTGTTGTTGTCTTTCTTATATCAGCAACAATACAAACTTCAGCAGACCCACCTCTCTCCTTCCTCTGAATCTAGCGCCCTCTAGATGCTGGATGAAGCAAGACAGAACGTGATACCCTGCTCGTCTCACATCGTCATGGTGACTGGACAAAGAGGCTAGCACAAAGCCAAGGGCATTGGACTCCACAAAGGTCTGGCAAGGCACAAGATTCTCTGCAATGATAAATGAAAGAATGAAATGTTCATTGCATCTACCAAATTGATAACTACATAGAGACAAAATATGGGATACATGCTCATGAAAGTTATGTAATCATTATGCATTCATGCACAAGCAGTGCACTCCATGATACACAAGTGGAAGTATTCTATGAAAATGGGAAACAAAGGCCATTTATGGAGCACCTCCATAGCTTTAGGAGTGATTATCTCAAAGTGTACATAGTGGGACCTCTTCATGTTTTGAAGATCTGTGGATATTCGGGGTCATTTGGGACATGCGCTAACCGTGAACTGGTCTAAAAGAACTGTAATGGTCTACACATTTACTTTATGTATTTAGGGCTCTGTGGTAAACCTTTTTAAAACTTTTTTTTGTATTTTTATTCTTACAATTGTTATTGTTAGCACAACAACAGAAACAATAGAACACCATAATCATACATTTATATAAATAATGTAATAATATAAATACATTACCTGGTTGAAGGAGGTGACTGAAAAGAGGCAGCAGGAATCTAGGATCATACAACTCTGCTTGTATCTCAATATCTTCTCTGGAAGAAACCTCTGTCACATCAGGCTGCAATAAAAAAGAGAGAATAGAAAGAAGAGAATCATTGCAGCATTAGGCTCCAGAAAACAATCAATTTTCTTATTATTACAGAAATATTAGGACTGTCATAACGGACCACTGAGAGAGGGGGGGGGGGATGAAAGAGGAAACGGGAGGATGGGTGAAAGAGAGGGGGATAGAGAAAGATAGAGAGAGAGATTTTTTTTAAAGAGAGAGAGAAAAGAGAGAGAAAAGAGAGAGAGAAAAGAGAGAGAGAAAAGAGAAGAGAGAGAGAGAGAGAGAGAAAGCACAGGTAGTAGATAGACCTAATAGCACTGGCAAGAGGATGTCCAGATTGGAAGAAAAGTCAGATTGCTACTGGTCTTGCATAAGACATAAACTATGTTTACCTAAACTGAAGCACAGAATGTAAAGCTGCAGTTCCCATCAATGTTATCAAATTGATATTAGAAATAAGTGGTAAAATGAATGAACCAATATTGTTTGTTTCAACATTATTATCACCATTACCATTATATTCATCATACAGTGACAACCCAAGCTTTGCCCCCTCCCAGGACACTTGGAGGAAACATGTACAACAAACCATCCAACCTCACTCTCAGTGCAGTAAAGTGGCGACATGCTAGGAGAGTGTAAATCACTTACATGTAGTGGTTGATCCAGGGGGAACTTCAGCATAGAATCATAGAGGGCCTTGGCATCTAGAAGCTTCAGGACGTCTTCCACACTGGGCTGTTTCCAGAGTGTCCTTCCCAGTGCTTTCCTGGCTGAATGCTGTGTCACTGCTTCCTTGCCCCATATGTAAGGCCTGAGATGAGGATGATAACAAAGAATGCATGCATTTTAATTGCTTCTGCACCTACACCTGGATGATCCTAAGATTCCATCAAATAATTTCAATTATTGGTATTCCCATTAAAAATACAAAATGCAAAATAACTTGAAAATGTTATGGACACAAATCAATGAGTAAGAAAAAGAGGCATCAAGTTAAATTTGGAATATTTGAAATAAATATAGAAAATTTCATGTCACATTCTAAGTCTGTTTTACAAAAGAAACATCTCTTGAATAATGATTTTGCTACACATACATGTTTGATTTTAAAACATTTAAAAACAAATTCATGCTCAATTCGTATCTAAATTGATCAATAGCACCTTCAGTTCTCCTCTAGTTGATTTACAAATCAGTTTCATACAACAAACACATCCTTTTTGTCACATTGTTAAAACTAAGAATATTCATGTTTAGAATGACACAGCAACAATCAAATCAATTAAATGTGAAACCAGAAAATGACCAGGGTCGCCGACTTCAGTCTCACCTGTACTCCCACATATGAGCATTGTTCTTCTCATAGATGTGCATCAGAGAAAGTAGTCCCCTATCACAAACTGTCCTCATTGCACTGTAAGCACCCAGGAGAATGGTAAAGTGGACAGTATTACAGCAGGTCGGTTCTCTCTGCGACACTGCTAGAAGTAGTCTCACCAAAGCACCTGCAAAACGGAAGAAAGATACAGTGACAAGCATGGCCAAATATGGGATGATAACGTAGAAATTGATGTTTTGCTCATAAAAGAGGAACTAGCTTTAATTAAAAAAAAAAATTGGTGCTAGTTTGTTTTCCTCCATGTTTTTAAAATTGAAATGAGTGCCTGGAGATCTCAACATCAAGGCAAATTAAGATAGTCACACCAGCTTTACCGACCACCTGATGAAGAAAATCCACCTGTTTATAAAGACAACTTTTTAGTTTCCTTAGAACAGAGTTTCCTTTGATACATGTATCACAGAAACATAAGCACCATCTGCCCATACAGACTGCTTTTTTGGTCTCCCTTGGGCGAACTTTGTATACATGTTTCAGAGTAATAATATGATAATTATTTATTAGTATCGCACATACAGTTGCTAGGTTCTCATGATCAAAGAGCTCTGAATTTCACAATCATAATTACCATCAAAATGCACTACAACACTGAAATTTTATATTCATAAAGTACAATGCAACACAAAGTATGGAATCACTATCTTTAAATCAAAGGACATTGTGATATCAACTGTTGAGAGTTAGAAGGGTGTTAACTCATACACTTTTAATGCCCTTCTGGCTCTCAAAGTGATGATATGAATATCAACAACTTCTGAGTAATCTATACAGTACTAGAAAGCATGAGAGCACAACCTACCTTTCACTTCTAATGGTACATCAGTAGACTCCTGGCCAGACCCCAGCATGGTTGGAAGAAACTTAGAATGCCCAACCACTGCATGGTAGAGCTTGCTCAATGGCATGAACTTTCTGCCTGAGTGACTGGCAGAGTAGACTAGCTCAATGAGCTGGGTCAGGAGATCCAGAAATGCAGGGTTTTGATACTGGGACTTCAATCCCGAGGTCACAAACTGCTTCCAGGTCACAGCAAGGTCACGGTCATACTGGAAATCTTTCAGGTGCTTTTTAAAGAGAACAGAATACTTTAAATCAGTTATACTGGTTTAAATTAACATTCAAGTCTAAATGGTTGATGTCATGTTTCATGTACACAATAAATATACCATTTCTACTAGACACCTCACAAATCTTTGTAGACAAGACTGATTTCATTACATATCATGAGCATCTCATTTGGAGTCTCTTACCAATTCAAGATGGTGTGATTATATAACAATCCTACCTTTAATATCAACTAAATGATACAAACTTCATGTTTGTAAAGCTCCAAAAATTGAAGACGTATTTTTTTTAAGAAATTTACATGGGGAAATACCTTCATGTCCAGTATGAGAAGCTTGATAAGAAATGTTGATTATATTTAAAACAATTACGCATTATCCAGGTTAAGACTCTGTTACATTGCCTTTAAAAATAACAAACAACAAGGAAAGTGCTTCAAATTATTAATATTTCTATTGGGCAATTACTAGGCAATGGTTATTGTTCTTGTTGTTTATGTTCATACATTGTCAAATTATTTTTATTTTGTCATACTGTGTTCTTGGAAATTAAATAAATCAAAATGAAAATGCCTTTAACAAAAACGCATTACCTCAAGCATATATTTAATCGGAACAAATAGATCCTGGAGCTGGTCTTGGTTCTTTGCTGAACCCTTGAATTCATGGACCAGACTCTGAAGAATGGTAGCAAGAGCTCTCTGTTGCATTATGTTTTTCGTCTCCACCACATCTTGTTTCAGCATAATCTCTGTGACTTCTTTGAAAACCTCCAGTTGGGACCTGATAGAGAAGGGAAGAAATGATTCATTCATTCATTCATTCATTCATTCATTTCGGTTTTATTGTGTCAAAATTCCATGTTAAAACAGTCAGGAGACTGATACAAACAAAGATTACAAAGCTCAAAGAAATAAGGAGAAATTAAAAATACATGTACATCAATATAGAAACGTTCACAAATTAGTTCAAGGAATAAATTAACATAATAATAATGGAACCTTCAATATATTGCACATCAGACATAAAATAAATCGAATTTACATACATGGATGATTTGGGAAAAAAGAAGATAACAAAGAGATAAAGGACAAAGTATGAATGATGAATGATGAATGAAGGTTTCCAGCTCATTTCCACATGACATGGTTATATAATTTATTTAAAGACAGAGAAATGAACCACAATTTCAAGAAAGTACAAGATGAAATGGAAAATGGTGCATCTGGTTGAACGACAATTGCTCCACGATAATTTCCTACACTAAATTCCTAACTTCAACCCTGGACCCAACACAAAGCCTAAACCTAAAATAAAATTCTCAATTATTACTCTTACCCTAACCCTATACTTTTGAATTAATAAAACGGGAGCAATCGTCACCCGAGCAAATATTGAAGCATCGGTGCATCCACTTACAATATTCAATTTTACGGATGTACACACCAAGCACAATAGGTTACTTGTACACTACTACATAGTATAGGCCAAATAACATTAGATTGTAAATTAGTACATGTTTTGTTTAAAATTAAATTGAGTACTCGCATTCAGTAAACAGAGAGCAGAAAACAAAAATAATTATTGAGACCTATAGAAATAAAACTAATATATTATTGCACAACTTACTTATTCAACGACTTATTGAGAGATGTTGGGAGATCCACCATCGCATCAAACAACCCTTTCAACTCCTTCTGTGTGGCATTCGGTAAGAGGAGACACAGCACTCGGGAAGAAGAGACACCAGGTGCTCCACCTCTTGACACGGCATCTTCTTTGACAATGTCTCTTTGGTTGCCTTCATCTTGTATGATATCATCCACCAGAGTGGTCCAGCATAGCTTCTGGAGCTGCTTCCTGCATCGGAGACCTTGACATACATACAATATATCAAAACAAAAAGAGAACATTAGGGAACAGCTACACCATGAGGAAAGATCCAGGGATCAGTGATTCAGTTCGCCTTAACCCTTCCAGGTGCAAGTGATACTTAATACCTACATGTAATAATAATAATGATAATGCTTTTTCTTCGTCTTTGACATTTGACGGGGGAAGGCATGCCACTGTCTTGTTTTAGACTGGACCTGATTAAGGTTGAATAACTTCACCTTGACAGGTCAGTCTCTTGAAAAATAAGGTGATTGGACAACTGTCTCAGATCTTTCTGTTTTCAGGTTAAACTTGAAGAGTGTGCAAATTACTTCTTCACAAAATTAGTTAAAATCAATGCTTTTGACCCAAGCTGTTGTGAACTACGCTAAATTTCGCAATTTATATCCGTCATGACAAAACCTGCTGATGACAAGATACAGTCAAACCTGCTTTAGTTACCACCTGTCTACAAAGACCACATTTTTTGTTTACCTTCAAAATAGTTTCTTATTGAAACATGTACTTGAGGAACCGGTACATAAAGACCACCTGCCTATAAAGATCACATTTTTTGTCTCCCTTAAGTGGTCTTTATAGACAGGTTTCAATGTAGCATGGACTCACCTCGCTTATCCCCTTCTCCTGGGGCGTATAGATAAGCTGCTATCGATGGATACAAATCAGCTAGGTTTCCTGCTTTCAGTTTCTTCTTGGTGCTGCCCATGATCCACTCCTCAAATTGGCAAGGATCGGTTCTGACAAGGATCGGGATGATGTCATCTCCCATCTAGATAGAGAGAAAAGAGAAGGGGAGAGAGAGAGGGGGGAGGGGGAGGAGAAACGAGTACATACATAAATTGGATCAAGTCAATACATTTATACGGGTAGATAACTTTATGAAGGCTGTATATAAAATTACAATGTAAATCTAATTCTTGAGTGTTCTTTTGATACTGCAACAATATTTGTCAAGATTTAAAAATAAACTGGCAGATGATTATATCCATTTTCATTTCTCTGCGTATATATGAAACAATCTATCAAAATTAGATTCTACTTGCAATTCACATACATTTAATTAAGTCCTTATGATTGTCAATTATAGGATGTTCCTGTGAAATTACTGTGAAGCAAGATTGTAAATGTAAATATAAACAATTATCCTATATGGACACAATAAAGAAATGAAATGAAATGAAAGCTATAATTAGGATTTTCCCTTTGGAGATTGAAAGGAGGCATGTGAATGTATCTTTTTACCTCTTTATGCTGCTGTTTTGAAGCTACCAAGCAGACAGAGAGGGCTCCCTTTACGTCAGACTCTGAGGGTACCAAATGAGGGTGTTCCTTTAAGAGTCGACCAATGGAATTGAACAAGGTCCATGACTTCCCCTCCACTGCTATGGTCAAGACATCCTGGACATCTGCAATGTTCAAACAGTTTGACCCTGTGGTATCTTTATATGGCACATCGTTGACAGCTGCAGCAGTTTCCTTGGAGAGTGTGCCCTTGCTGTGATTTGAAATTGACTCTCTATGCATGTATTCACCCACTAGAGACAGAAGACCTCTGGATTCAAATCCACAACTTCTGGCTCTGTTACCATTACCATTGACAAGTTCCTCCTTCATGAAGGACAAGACTTCCCTGAGGATACGGAGACATCTTCCTGGAGGGATGTAGCCTTTGAGACCAACCAGAAGACCAGCGATGACTCCAGAATGCTCCTCATTCTCAGATGGCATCGAAGGCTCCAGCAAAGTTCTTAGCTCACGTTCAGCAGCTCCGACTAGTACACTCAGTTCTCTCTCAAGTTCAACCTGCGGGATGAACTCCTTCAACACGGCCAACATCTCTCCGACCCTCTCTGTAAATGGATCATATCTTAATCCACATACGATTGGATGCCTCAGGATCACGTTACTCAGCTTGAGCCAATCACAGTCCTGCTCACTGCCAGCATCCTTCTGGTCTGTCTGGATATCCATGGCATCATTCTGTTCCTGTGATGTGTCACTGTGTTCTTTTCCCCCCTGCAACACATCTTTTGAAGATCTTGACATCACTCTTCCTTGATGAAGTACAGCCATGAAGACTTCAGTATAGAATTGTGCAGCGTGGTGGAAGCCCTATAATAAAGAGAAGGATTACATTAGATGAAAAAGCACAAATCTATGTAAAACTTTTGAGTTGTTGTAATTGACAGAATCTAATAAAATAAAATAAGACTCCATCACAATTGAGCTTTGGTAAATAATTTGAAGATATGAATGGCAATTGATAATAAAAACAGAAGTATAAAAGATAAAGGCGCATTTTCAAATAGAAATGAATGAAAATTGAAAGGAAACATGGCAAACGTCACTCACCTCCGCTTTGATGCATGATCCCACATAGAGTAGGCACTGTTGTATGATGGGAAGAATTTCATCTTGTCCGATAGAGGGCGCTCTCTCCAAGATGTCCTTCTTCATCTTCCCATCCCCCTCCAGCTTTGCCCTCTTCATGAAGCTCTCTTGGAGTAACGATGCCAGCGTTGATGATGTCGATTGCTGGGCTTTCTGTTCAAATTATACAAAGGGAAGTCTTATTAAATCATTATTTCCAATGATAATCATCAAAGCTAACACAATATAACAATTTCATTTCCAAAACTGATACATGCAAGCATGTGTAACCTAGCCAAAATGAATATCATGCAATTGGAATGTGATACATATGCAAATAAAGTACATAAAATCGAAAAGTAAAACAAATTTATTAAGAGACTTTACACAGCAGTTGAAAAAATGTGTGGAATGATTTATATGTAACAGAAGAGGTGATTATAAGAATGAGGTGGATATAGAGACCAGAGGGTCACAGTGAGGTTTATAGTGAGGGTCATACATGCTGAAGTATAAATGATAATACCATCAAGCCATTACAGTCCCAGAATGGGGGGGGGGGGGTAAAATATTGATTGATTTTATTTTTGTATGATGAAGAATTCATTATATGTCAAAGGCCTTTTATACATTATCAGACCCGCATAAATTTACCTTGGGTACTTTCATTTGTCTCAACTTAGGAAGCCACTCATTGCAGTAGGACAGCAGGCAGTTCCAGCTGGATGTGACCGGTTTAGTCTGGTTCTGATGGGATTGGTGTAGCAGGCTGCAGATGACTCCTGGATCGTGCTGTGTGTTGAGGATAGATGTGAGTACTTGGGAGAGGTAGTCAGCAACTGTAAGAAAATTATATTAAAAATAGATGCATGGGAGTTAATTGCTGAGGGGTTGGAACTGAAGACAGAAAAATAGAGACAACCAAGAAAGCTAATGTGACATTCAAATCAAGAGAGAGCCAAAGAAAGAGTGACTAAGAGCAAGCGAGAGAGAGAGAGAGAGAGAGAGAGAGAGAGAGAGAGAATAAGAGAGAAAAGGATAAGAGGGAGAGAGGACAGAGAGACAAACACAGACAGACAGAAACACAGACTTAAGGAAATCCAACACATTTTAAAAAAAACCCTCTCTTCACAAACAAATTAAGTTGTACCGAATCCTACAAACATGTATGAATACTGTCATGTGCCCACTCTTTGACTTGTGACCCATGTTGCTTTAGAAAATTATATGAAAAATCACCCTTGCACATATACAATGCGACACAAACCCATACCTTTCTCACAGTCTTTTATAATGCTGAACTCTTCCAATGCTGCTGGTACTAGAGCACTGCATGGCAATGACCTTGATTGACCCAGGTCAGGGTTCATCTCTTCCTGCTGTGATTGGTCAGTTCGGTCGACAACGTCATCTTGACTTGCAGCGACTATTGGTATGTCATCCATATCAAGGATAGCTGAGATATAGAGGAGACAGAAAGATTTATTAGTGAGCAAAGGGGAATTCACAATCATACCGTCTTGTGCTCAGCAAAAGAGTCTTGGATACTTCATTCATTTAGTATAACTACAATACATGTCTAATAGACCCATTTGCGTATGTTGTATTATTCTAGTTGTAAATTGACCCCTTCAGCCTGTGCTGCTGGTCAGATTTTATATACCGATAAATAAGATAAATACATAAATTTGGATGTTAACCCTCTTTGGATAATTGTCATATTAAATTTACCAAATCTGAACAGGGGGGTGTTTAACAAAGACTAAGATCGACTTTAAGTTGGACTTAACTATGGCAGGCCGTTCATGCCACTGTTTGTTCTCACCATTCACTGGCATTTGTCTCTTAAGGAACGTACAAATCAAGGTCGCAAATCTACATTATTTACATTTTTTGATAATTTATTATGGAAGGAAAAAAATTATATAAAGATCATAATGGTGAGAGCATGAACGGCCTACCATAGTTAAGTCCAACTTAGAGTCGATCTTAAAGGTAAAGACCAGGTCTGGTCATGCAATTGCATTGTGAAAGAAACGTGAAAACATTCAGAAAAGGTTGATCATCTGTGTACTGCAAGGTTCTGGAATCATCAAAATGATAAGAAATTTGGCCCAGTCTTGGTAAAGTTGCAAGCACTGTACACAGAAAGATGTATATGGGACTACGTGACACATGCGCGATATCCGGATAGATATAATAATATACCAAATATATCAATTAGTAGGCGGTTTCCTGGCAAAATTTGTAACGTCACGTATTAGTTGAAAGAGCTTCCATTTCATTTTTTTAAAGGGGGTATTTCTTAAACTGGTCTATACCTTTAATCTTTGTGAAACACTCCCCAGTTCTCACCTGCAATTCCAGCTTCAGACACACTCCTAGAATCATCCTCCTCATCATCCATCCTCTCATCCTCCTCCTCATTCTCCATCTCAGCGACAGCCTCCATGATGCGATCATTGAGAGGGTACGGGTTCCTCACCACCTTGCTCAGGAGGCGCTGCAGGAAGCCGGCCACGACCTTGGGGTCATGGGTCGCAGAGGTCGGAGCGGAGAAGGCATCAAGCCAGATTATTGGTTCGTCAGGGCATTGATCAAACTGACCAGTGTGCTTCAGGACCTGAATGAAATAGAAATGCAATAAAACACAAGGATATTATGAATGATTGATATTATTTTGAAACAATTCTTCTGTTTTCATATTTCGGTCATTATCCATTTGCGATTACCGGTATTTACATATTGATCTCATGTATTTATTTGCTTTCATCAAGTACATTTTTTGTGTTTTTGTTTGTTGGCTTTTCTTCGATACAGATAATTTCATTGTAAAAAGATTACAAAAATAAATTCTTATTTATTACATGCATGAAGGTTTAAATTTTAAGTTACATATACACATCAGGACAAATCAACATGGTTATTATAAAAGAGAACACATTGTTGTATTGCTTTTCAATATCCAGAAAAAAATGATAATGGAAGAATTATATATTTTCCAATATAGCATAAAAATCAGATGCTCATGAATGATTCTTTTTGTTCTATATTTTACAACAAAGCAGTATTAAACCTTGTGAGATTTGGAGTACTGTTATTGACATGTTCTTCAATTAGACTTACTTGGCAGATGAGTTGCTTGGATACGTGGATGAGTTTGGGATCAGAGGAGGTCATCAATACAGTCAGCAGCTGACTCATGGCTGACCCTTCACCTTTGACCTGTGGAGAGACACAACCATTGTTGCAGAACAAAAATTAAAATTAAATTGCAAAAATCAAGTAGACATGGAAGCACAAGATCAAGATAATAATATGATTTATCCAATCATTGTAAATACATACCTGTAGTAATTGTGTTTATGCCATAATACATGTAATTCATTTTGATGTTCCGAAACAGGAAAGAAAAAAATCTGTCAATTCTTCCAAAACCATGTTCAATAATACTCAACCGGAATAGCCATAACATTTCTCCAGGACTTACCTGTATATTATCACATGCAAGCTGATCCCAACTTCTAAAACTTCATTTTGTAGATGGCTTAAATGCTACTGATGCTTGAGACTAACATGATATTTAAGTGATACAAGTCTCATTAAGCTAGGTATCCCAGGTATGAAACAGAGAAAAACTGGAAAATGAGCAGAAGCCTTTTTCAACTTGAGAGTTTCAATCTGCATACATCTGCAAATTATAGAAAAATCTTATATCCAAGACTTGTAATAAAAGAAATGTGACTGGAATTTGAATCACCAACTACCCACCTCTTTAAACCAACGGAAGCGGCCGACATCGAAACCCATCAAGAGTTTCATGGTCTCGTACTGAAGCTGCAAGGCATGCTGGGTAGATGTAATGCTGACCTCTTCAGTATTAATGTGATCTGAGTGGAATATTCCATGGAGGAGTCTGCTGAAGTCAAATGATGTTTGAAGAAAGGCCGTTGGGAGAACGTCGGTGTATGAAGTCAGGATTCTCATGATGTGTATGAGAATCTCTGCTGGTTCAGGTTGCTGTAATCCTGTAATTAAAAGTAAATTAATAAATATATGATGAGAATTCTGAATCAAGTGATTCACATATCACACATGTAACATAAAAAAGCTGAAATATTATTTCAGTCATCAAATTGGCAACATTCTTGGTTTATCACATACCAAAACTTGTCTTATTCTGCAATTTATTAGGATCAATTGTTGACAAAAGGATTTTATGAGAAGTATTCAAGAAAAGGGCATTTTTAGCCAAGACATACAATCCTTGCCTACTTTTAAACAACCATTACCTCTCTTTAAAACAAATATGTTCATGAGTTGGCAGAAACAGTATTTTTAAAAGACAAAAACTTGCTCTACAAATTGAACAATGTGGTAGATGTTTAATGGACATGACAAATATTTTACATTCATCTCTTATACGAACATGATATTGCATACCAAATACATTTCTTGGGAGATACATAAATGTTTCAATATCGAATGATCTTGAAATAATCTATTACCTGTGGAAATGTCTTGATCCCCTGCTTGTGCTTGTGTCTGATCTGACACCATCTTCTCTGAAGTTTGTCTGCTGCCCTCTTTCATTCTGATGAGATACCTCTCCCAGCATGAAAGCAAGGTGTCTACATCAGGTAGAAGCTGGTAATATAACCCAAAAAATCCAATCACAAAAAAAATTAGAAATGATCGATAGTAATGAAGGAGAAACTTTATGGCACTGCAAAGTTTGTGTGAATCTCTGCTGTTCTAATGGAATATTCTAAAGTAGTGACTCACTAAGAACATTTGTAGCACACATTTATAGAAGTAGGAAAGATCCTTAACCTCTACTTGAAAAACAGCTGATTGGCAGGTTTTTATTGTGGTGGTGGTTATTTTACCTGACTGCTAAGAAAGCATAAATGCTTGTTAGTAAGCAACCAGGCGGCCGACAGCTTTAGGTCCTCTCCGAGGGACCTGGTAATGAGGATTAATGCCTTACTAAAGGGCACTAGCGCATTGACTTGGTTTCGAACCCGGGTTACCGGATTACGTGACCACTACTCTACCGACTGAGCTATCGCGCCTCGCAGTTTACTGTTTAACCCTAAAGGACCCCCCCCCCCCCCCCCCGTACATATAATGAAAACAATAAAAAGTAAACTGTTTCCCTTCATTGTCATATATTACATTATAAGGCAGCCAAAGCAGAGGAAATTTCGCTATGTGACGTGTAAACAATGCATAAATTTAAATGTAATATACAACTCATCAATTACCACAAATTCCTAAATTACTTGAGATAGTTGCCTCTTCATGGCTATAAAACCACACAAACATCACCCAGACAAGATGAAGTTGAGTTCTGGTCATGTGATTGCATTGTGATAGAAACCATGTGGAATCGATCGGGAAAAAGTTGATCATGTAGCATAAAGTATTGGTGTGTACTGCAAGGTTCTGGAATCATCAGAATACACATTGACCTTAAGACCACTGACCTTCAAGAGTGTTTCCTGATACTGCTTTGCAAATATTTTCTTCTCTGTGGAGGATAGCAGTGCATCTGCCTTTCTGCTGTGCTCCATGTTCCCTCTTGCTTTCTGCATCACTCTGTCAATGAGCTGTAAGCCGGTCAGACACACCACTGGGCTCTGGTGCTACAGAAAAGGAAGTGGTAAACATTTAAATCAGTATTGAATGATCACAAGTATCATGTTTATCAACAACATTTATGATAATTGCCGCATTCAGATACTTATAACAGATTCTATCATGGTAATATGGCAATATATAGCACCATTTTAGTAAGCTTATTTCTCCTTGTTTGAACTATTTTCAGCACCATCAAAATCATTCCAATCACTATCATCATCAACTTCACAATAATCACCATCATCATCATTATCACCAACATCATTTTCTCCATGATTATCTTCACCACTATCACCAACATCATCACCATCATCATCATCATCATCATCATCATCACCATCATCATCATCATCATCATCATCATCACCATCAACATCACTATCATCATCACTTACATCATCACTATCATCATCATCATCATCATCACCATCATCATCATCATCATCACCATCATCAATATCACCATTACCACTATCATTATTATCATCACCATCATCATCATCACCATCATTATCTTCACCACAAACACCATCATCATCACCAACACCATCATCATCATCATCATCATCATCAATTTGGAGTGGACTAAAAGATATCATCATCACCATTATCACCATTATCACTACCACTACCACATCCTCCTCCACTCATGAATCTTCTTCCTACTTCACTTTCATGATTATGGTTATCTTAATCCACAACATCATCAGCAGCAACATCGAGTTATATCGTCAAAAACTTCTTGCTCCCACAACACAATCACAAGATGTAAACTACAGGTATGTTACTTTATAATTACTATTGCGTACTCAGATATCACATGTCATTCATTTTCCTTAGTTACCTTAATGCATTGTAGTAGGAATGCATGATTGGTAACATCAGGTACTGTAGTCACCATCACCATGGAGACCAGCTTGGACACACCCACTTTATCTGACCTGGTAAAGGCTGGACTAACGTTAGGCTGACCATCATATATCTAATTTGATAAAAGAATAAAACAAAAAGTATGTACAAAAAGTATGTACAGAATAATGAGGAGAAAAATAAGACACTGGGTGATTACATTTGGCAATGACATGATTATCAGTTTTTGATAATCTAAAAATGAATTGTGAGAAATGTGAAATTTCATGTGTGTTGTATTGCACATAAATGTGCATTTCAATGTTTCAACCACATACATGTCATGCTTTTAAGTTCTGATCGAAGACTAATAATTCTTAAAAAGAGATTCAGGGAATATAAAGTGTGGGAGCTCTGTTCTTCCAATAAGACTGATGGTGCATAAATTGTATAAATTACATATGAAAATAGTCAAATACATTGGAGTGGGCTAGTTGAAAGTACAGTCGCACAAGTATATCTGAGTTTGTGGCCTTCCTATTCAAAAGTTTTTGTTTTTGTTTCTTGAAGACAGATTTTAATAAAATAGCTGTTAAAGAAAAAGCATTTTAGTGTAATCTCTGGAAACTCAAAGTATTAAAGTTTCTTGCAATGGGTCCCTACTGCAAAGTCTGTAACACTTGCTGACTGTCTTCCAAAACCTCATCGTACCATACCTTCTCAATGAAGCTCATATTGGCCAGCCACGATGACGAGGCTCTTGGTGTGAAGGAGAATGGACAGGAGGAGAGGTACTTGGGCAGCAGGTCTGGACAGGTCTTCAAGATCTGGACCACTAGGTCAGCCACAAGGTCATCAGTGGTTGCAGTCTTCAGCATCTGAAGGAACTTCAAGAGGGCGCTGTTGAGATTCCTGTTTGAATTCACACCAATAAATAGCAATCAAATCAGATGTAGAGGTGTTGTGGACTAGTGGATAAGTCACCCGACTGCATATCACAAGGTACGGGGTTCAAGTCCTGCCACGGCACTAATGTCCTTTGGCAAGACGTTAATCTACATTTGCCACTCTCTACGCGGTGTAAATAAGTACCTTCAGCGCTAGTTACTTTGGCAGCTCGGCTACAATCAGGGTAATATGTGTAAAGCGGCATAAGCGTCAGAACCTGACGGATACCGGTGCTATATAAATAACCATATCATTATTATTATTATTTATTATAACTAGTGGAAGACTGAATACTTGAATCACAAAAATCATTTTTATGATATCTCTCATATAAACTAAGCACAATTGCTGATTTCGAGAATATCCCCTTGTTCTTTTCAATCCAAATGAGCACTTCCCTGTTTGTTTATAATAAAAGGACATGAATCAGTGCCAATTATTTTCTCCAACATTTAGTGCAGGGTTCTTGAAAAAAATTCTACCACATAATAACAAGTGCATTTGAAAAAGAGTGTATCACTGCAGATAGTCAAAAGGCTATCAACTGCTGTCACAACACCCTACTGGCGTTAAGCATACATTATATACATGAAGCATCCTGTCATGTTTAAACAAAATGGAGGCTGTAGCTGAGATGGAGATGGAGAATGAGGAGGAGGATGAGATGGATGATGATGACGAGGAGGATTCTAGGAGTGTGTCTGAAGCAGGAATTGCTGGTGAGAACTGTTCAGATTTGTATGGTAAATTTAAGATGACAGTTCTCTTGCTTACTTTCCACCAATTCCTATTGATTTGTCCAGGAAGTTGATGCCATGCTTGGTGGAGGTAGTGACTTCTATTAGGAAGGAGTGGGCCATCTGTCTCACAGCTTCTTGGCCGGCTTTCTCAGGATCCTCTGCAGCCTACAGGATATTGAAATACATTCATGTAAATATATTGATTCACAAAAAAGGTAAAAATATGCAATTTAAAATGTGAGTTCTGGCATTATCTCTAGGCTCTTTTGAATATATGTTTCTTCAAATAGGTTTTGGAGCTAGCTCAAAGACTGTGGTTTATTCTTTTGATTTTCAACAATCATGCATTTTGCATTCCAGATGCGTCTTTTCGTCTAAATTCATTTTGCTACGCTACCTTCATCAACTTCTGAATTCAAGTTCAAGTTCAAGTTCAGTTTATTTCACATCCAATACAAAATTTACAACAATATAACATTTAAATACAATAATATAAAATATGTAATGAGATAAGAACAAATACAAAAACAACAGTAACACTAAAAATAATAATGGGTAGAGTAGGGATGTGAGGAACCAGTTCAATCATTTCTTGGTAAGAATGGAAAACTGGAAGTTAAAGGTATCCACACAATGGTGACATCATAGAGACCTACCTACACCATCTTATTCCTATTTTTTTAATCTTATGTTTGATCTCATTTTTATTTTTATTATTATATATGCATGATTTATTAAATAAAGAACAGATATATAATTTGTGTGTTTATCATAAGTATTGGTTGGTAATTTGTAGTCAGAAAATGGTGCGCTTAGAGACAACCATATTAAGTACTAATAAATGTTGTGTATTATTATAATTATTACCTCGACCTGATCATCCTGTATGTCGTACTGTCCTTTCCACCGACCGTAGAGGTGCGCTATCTGAAAGAGGGTGAACTCATTCAACACTGGTAGTTTCTGGGTCTTTGTTACAGCAAGAGTACATACAAGATGCTCCTGTACAGCATTGAGGAAGACTTGGAGAGTGGATGCTCTATCCTCCACCAAGCCTTTGAAGAAACCCTTCAGGAAATCTAATCAAGGGAGATCAAGGTTGAATAGGAATCGAGCATAGTGCAGGGATGCAGGTTAGAATTGACAAGAGGGCCTGAAAATCACCTAGAATGAGCTATTTTGTACACATAAAAGCCTAAACTATGGTCTGAAAATAACTTGCCAGGGCCTGAAAACTGGCATCCCTGATATTGGTGGTGGTGGTTATTTTACCTGACTGCTAAGAAAGCATAAATGCTTGTTAGTAAGCAGCCAGAGGACCAACGGCTTTAGGTCCTCTCTGAGGGGCCAATTAAGCATAGAAGAGGCTTTTGAGATAATCCATTCAAAATTCAATTACAGAAATTGTGCAGGCTTGTGACTGCAGAGTGTCTATGTGACACAGGTTTCAAAGGCAATCTTTGAAGAATAATTTTCCACCATAAAAAGAAAGAAAGTGGATGGGAAAGTATGCTCTATGAATGATCTTGATATTCTGAGATTTCTGCTTTCAGATGTTTTCTAAATAGAATATAACGTAAATATGGTATTAATTACAAGAAATTAAAATAAAGAATTGTTGTTGTACAAGAGCATTACTACATGTAGTTCTAGAGATCAGTTATATAATTAATAATTAAGTACTGCAAATTAATTAGATAAATGCATTTTCCTCTGCCTACAATTCAATACATGGTAAATGAATGATTTTATTTTTATATTCAGTTTTTGTGATGGCATTTACCTTTGTTGGCTAAGAACTGTGTAGTAGTGTGTTGGTCACCAGAAACTAGAAAAGCAATGGCAAACCTCATGAAACACATTCTGACATCTTCCTCTGCCTACAAAACAAGAACAGAATAAAAAAATAGGTGAAAATCAAATAAAAGGGGAAAAACAGATGCAGAGAGTGAGAGACAGAACGAAAAGAACGTAAAGAACGAAGAATTAGACAACTGTAAAATTTAGCACACTTAAAATCTACATTTTCATGAATCAAAATCAAAAGAGGAAGGCGAATACACAATAATAATAATAGTGGGTTCTTGTATAGCACTCATGTCAGTCAGATTTGACCCTCCTGGCGCTCCCGATTATTACTCTGGCTTTAGCACGGCTGCCATACGGCGCTCTAGCATTTCAATGAATAAATTCCTACCAGGTACAAGTACAAGAATAAAAAGAAAAACACACACATTCTTTGCTTACACAATAAAATATTCTTATAAATCATTTAAAAAGCTTACCGTATGCGAATAATAAAGAAATGTGGTACTCTTTGTCACTATAATACAAACACATCTTTGAGAAGTAGCTTGCTCAACGATGAAAATTTGCAAACAAATTTGATGACAATCACTTCATATTTTACCTTACTGTTTCGTCTGTGAAACAAAGGAATCAGGGATCCATGATCGAACTTGAACAGGTTCAAAACCTCATGAGCCGATGACGTATCCAACGCGACAATCGCGGTCAGAAAGCGGAGAGCTGCCATGATGACCTTGGCCGTGTTCTTTGGATTGAGGGCGCGGTATACATGACGCATGTGCATGCGTAGGAGGATGTGTAGGGACGGGAGGAAGAGGGAGCGGAAGTGATGGAGATCATCAGCAAGTCGGAGGATGATGGAGGTCAGACAGTTGAAGATGAGTTGAAGCTGAAACGTGAAGAAGTATGTGGATTAATAAGCAAACATCAACTATCAAGTCTTACGGTAATGATCATCAGGAACCATTTGCACAAAGCCTTTTTTTCAATGACAAATGACAACAATCAGTGAAAAAACTGCTGATAAACAATCAGAAGCAAGGGTTTCACTAACAATTAACAAAAATTGTCATATGTGTCACAGATAATAATAATAATAATAATAATCCGGTTTTTTATATAGCGCTCAATACACCGATCCATCGATGTACCTAAGCGCTTTACAGATATATTATATATTACTGATGACAAGTTTTGTGAAATGGGGCCCAGATGTATTAGTTCATTACTCATCCAAGATATCTTCTGCTCTGACTTCTCTAGGCTCCCTGCTCAACAAGGCTCTATTCAACATAATAGCCAAAACTTTGTCTACTAATTCATTGTTCTTTTGAATACTAAAATTATTTATCATTCCAGAAAATCACATAAGAAATTTGTATTCACCTTTCGTTGCAGATAAGATACAAAAGAAAGTAAGGTAAACTTCTTCTTCTTCTTCTTCTGGAATACTCTGCAATTTCTTCCGTACAGGTGCGAACTGATATTTTAATGGTGTGCAAGCAAAAGCTCCCTGTTTTTTAAGTTTGAAATTTTGTGGCCTAGAATAAGAATTCAGATTTTTGTGTTTCCAAGGAGACTTCACTATTATTGTTGAGCCCTGCCTCTATCTTTTTAGAAAATGAATACCAAGTCATACACAAGTTTTATAACTTTCATTGCTTTGAGACCACCAGAATATTTTAACTCTTTTAGTTTACCTCAGAATTGGGCCTCTTGTCCGAGCTCAGTAGCTCTGTGATCTCTGCACACTGTGGAGAATGCTGAAGGTATTCCTGAACTGCGTCAATGTTGCCATCACCACATGTAAACGCCTTGGCACAGGCACAGAAGTTTCCTAGAACTGCACAAGTCAAAACAGACATGGTAGAAAATGAAGAAATTTAAGAGATTACATTTTTTATATTGCACATTTAAAGGTAAAACCAGTATTGGAAACGCACCAATTTCAAAAAATGAAATGGAAGCTCTCATTACCAATCATGTGAAAGAATATGTTTTGACTAATACATGATGATACAAATTTTGCCAGGAAACCGCCTACTAATTGATATATTTGGTAAATTAGTTTATCTATTGAACTGTGAGAGATGAACGCACGAGTCGCGCACGTGTGCGTAGTCTCATCTTTCTATGTACAGTGCTTGTAACTTTACGAGGACTGGGCCAAATTTCTTATCATTTTGATGATTCTAGAACCTTGTAGTACACACCAATACTTATATGCTAGATGATCAACCTTTTCTGATCGATTCCACAAGGTTTCTTTCACCAGTAGGTGCGCTGGTCCGAGAATAAGGATCGTCTTCATAAACGAGGATCATCTTCTTTAACACAGACTGATGCGTCCTCAAAAATACAGACCGTCTGCATTTTTGCAGACGTTTCATATTTTTGATCGGCGCATTGGCGATGCAAAAAACAGATTCTGCAATGATTTTCTTGATGCAATTTACATTGACTTTGTACACTACAGAGACCTTCACATTATGAGCAATAAATCCTTGGGAAGACGGACAACCCATAACCCATAAAAGTAGACGGACAACTAGGGTTATTTTCCCCCGGTGAATCCATTTTTGGCATCGCCAGCGGGCCGTTCTGTAACATGAAACCCCCAGAGCGCCGATGAAAAAAAACGTCCTCGAAAATGCAGACGACCCTTATTTTTGAGGACGCATTTTGTCTTCGTTTATGATGATATCCTTGTTTATGAAGACGATCCTCATTCTCGGACCAGCGCCCCTACTGTTCACAATGCAATCGCATGACCATAACTGGTCTTTATCTTTAAGTACCAATATAGAGAGAAGAGTGCTGGAACTTGGAAGGATAGTTAAAAAGAAGTGATTTTTAGAAGATTTTAAGAATATCATACGAGTAGCAGTAATAAATAGATCTAGTCTACATCCAATCTGATATCATCAAGATTTTTTCTCAAATCCAATGTTCATCCACAGTCACATACCACATTTATTTATTCAAAAGTCAACAGTTCGCATGGTTCAATTCAATTCAAAGACTTGCACCAGACAAAATAATGTTTATCTTTTATTTCTTCTGGAAAATTTTAAAATCAGGTGATGAGTGATTACCTGCAATTAGAAATTTATTTAAGGACATGTTAGTAATACTAGTAGCAGAATTAGAACTCGATCTCGATCAACTCTGTACTTGCCGCAGGAGCGCCAGCGGACGGAGAGTTAGTTCTACGCCTCCGCTGGGCGGGTCGACTACCTCGGCATCTCGTAGTTATTCACTCACCTTCTGTGAGTAAGACACCGTCTTTTTTCAACTGGCTGATGAAATTGGCAGGATCAAATGTTGTTCTAATCTTTTTGCCATCAGTTTCCATGGTACCGGTCTCTTCATCATCCTCACTTTCATCCATTTTTGCTTCATGTTTACGTTTTCTTGCTGCCTTTTTCTGGCGCACATGTTTGCCTTCGTCTCGACCCATTTCGCAACGTTGATGAGTATGGAACGCTAATTGAAACGCAATGTTAAGCTGTCCAAAAATTATAGTAGGCAAAGGTATTTGCTGACAAAAGTGGACCCTACGTAATCGGAGGGAGGGGGGGGGGGGGTTACCTTTATATTCTAATATATAATAATTTTCGTTGCAACTGTTCATGTTTGAGGAGTATTCAAGATCAAAATAGATAGTTCTCATGTTCAACTGCATGGCGAAGGGACCAGCCTATAGTTAGGAAATAGGAGGGGGGGGGGGGGGGGGGGAGGGTTAAAAAAATCCATGTCTAAGTGAAAACATAAACTAAATACAGCTCTAATGAAATCGAAATTTGCTCCTTACTTTAAAAAAAAAAGTGGTCGGCATCTTAAATTAAACATTAAAACTTAATTTATACATTAAATGAAGTTCACAACTAAAGGTAATACATTTAAATCTTGAGCGAGTTTTGCAATTTCTTAATTGTATTTTTTTACCCTTTTTTTTCTTCTTCAAATTGTCAACTTTAAATTATTAATCATGTTTTAGTTTTTGACAAGTCAAGTCCATAACGTCTGTGTGTATCAACTTGTGTACAGTGATGTACGGATGTAAAATATACACCACGATATCCCAGTGCGTGTCGCCATGAAACCTCGCCCCCACCCCCCCCCCCCCCCCCAGAGTTCGTGGTCGGAGGGACCACATTCGTGTTCCCCAAATCTCCGGTTAAGGGGTACTTTTCACACAACAAAGTCCGGCTCGTATTGACTTTACACACCGTAGATAGGGGGGGGGGGGGGGGGTGATTTCAGGGGGGGGGGGACAAGCATACACGTACCCTAAATAAACACTAAGGGGGAGGGGCGGGCATGCAATATGCCATTTCGAAAAGTAACAAATGTAATAGTCTTTGTGAAGTCCCTCGATACCAATCATTTCATTTACCTGTTACAAATATGCGAATAGGCAATTTTCGTAATGTAACCTAAACCTTTGTGAGGTGCGTCAATAACAATTATTTCATACACCTGACAAGAATAATAGTATTTCAATAGTCAGAATGCAAACTGCTTAAATTGCGTGTTGCTAGGTAGGGCAAGACATAATGTTTTTCCTACCTGGCAACAACTAATGTATGCAGTTCGGTTTACATACACGTCTATTGAAATACTATTATTCTTATCAGGTGAATGAAATAGCTTGTATCGAGGCATTTCTCAAAGACGATTATATGCATTAAATTTGGTGACATTACGAAAATAGCCTATATTGCATACGTTATAGTTTTTGGAATCAAGTCGCTCTGCTTTGACTCCTGCATGCTCCAAGCCGCCGAAATTTATGCGCTTACTGTTGACCAGGTGGTGAGATAAAAGAGCGCATGATTTAGAATTCCTACATCAGAAAATGGTATCACAGCAACTGTTCGTTGTCCCTTTCAATGATTTCTCATCCATTGTTGAATGTGTAAAGAGTAGAACAAGCGAACACCTCGTCAGGAAGCTGATCTAATTTTTCTTTTACCAACTCTGGCACACAAATTATAGGAAGGGCGGAGTCCTAAATATGAACAAATTGTTTGATGCACTATTCCCAATACAATCCCCATCAAAGTTTATAATTTAATATTTTGTAATAAATGTGAAACTGGTGCCTGGCCTCCAAAAATCTCCGCAGTGGAAGCGCGGCTCGGAGCATGGAACTTCAAAGCCAAGTGGCATGTTACACATCCCATTGTTACGCTTTAGAACTCACGAATGCGTTCAAATAATTACAAGAGTTCGACTCCAGTTTCTTTCACCTCCCTGTCTATACTACAGTACAGAAATATACACAATTTTCATTCTGACTGTTCAGGTGAAAGAAATAATTCGTATCGAGGCTCTCCACGAAGACATGTTAAATTAGTTAATCCCACGAGCTTTTTCCTCCTCTGGCGAGACAGTGTTATTATTCATGTCTCTGTTTTGCAAGATGTTCTGTAAACTACAACGCACAGGCGCCATGGTTTCAAAGTATTGAAATAACCTATTGTGGCTTATCTTATATTTAAATGGCCCAAAATGTAGAATGCGTACATTCGGCGTTACTACTACTAGGTCGGACGAGCGAATTATGTGTTTGTCTGATCAAGCAACAACTAGTGGATATAGGGTAATTTGCCCTTAATTGAAATACCGTTAACAGCTTTTTCTGTAAAGGTTTGTTATTCCTAAGGTTAATTTATTTAGAGTCCTTCAGAAACATCCATAAAAAAGAGAGCAGTAAGGAAAAGAAGTGTATTTTGGTAAATGGATTAAATTGCTTATTTATTATTTTTTGCCTATTGGCCATGCAGATTTTGGCCAAAATACATACACTTGTTAATGTTTCTTATTCTCATATTGCTAAATTAATCACACCGCCACTTTTTTGATATCAAGTAATCATTATGACGCTTTTAAAAAATTTAAAATTTATTCATTTATTTATATATTTCACATAATGGAAACAAAAAACATAGGGTATTTAAATGACGATCCACTCTTTTCTTCCATAAACGCTGTAATGACAACAAATGTAAAATTTAAAAAGAAAAGAAAGTACAGACAAGGAACAATTTTTAAATTGACAATAAAACGAGAACCTGTACTTCAAAATGAATCAGAACAACTTAACGGTTGCAACACGTGCAATAAAAGTAATACAAAAGAAGCAAGATATCCGAGCAATGTGAAGTTCGTTCCCTTTTTTACCTACATTTTGGACGTTGAATTTCACCGTGTGGATCGCGGAGACTTGAGATGAAATTTGGTAAACGTCCTACATCATACAACAATGGAGGTAATGATTTTTCTTGTGTGTGGCTTACTATTCACCCAAGAAAGTTGCAATACATGTTGTTTTTTCTCCCTCGACCCCCCCCCCCCCCCACCAAAAAAAAAAAAGAAGAAGAAGGAGAAGAAAAGTTATGATAGCTTCATTTAATTATATTTTGAAACATTCAAAATATCTCTTCTTGACAGTTTTTACATCAAATCAGACCAGCTACGGGATATAGGGGGCGCTAGACCAGTAAAATGTACGGACGAGGTTTGGAAGTTCGTAATCTCAGTCAACACAGAAAAATACATAGGCATCGGGAATTGAATTATGTATGCGTATATATTATTTGTGTGAAGAGCCAGACGGTTTTCCACTTATTTTGAGACGGTCCCTGTACGATGTGTCAGTCATAACGGAATTTCATACAGGTGTTCGTGCTAGCATGGAGATATAAGAACAGATCTCCATGGTGCTAGTATGCACACCAGCCCGATATCAACATTAATGAAATTCATGATACTTACAGCCTATTCATAGTCGCGTGGCTGAAAGGTTCTTGTGTATTTTTCTGGCGTTGTAAGTCACGCCTATTTTGAGAGGGTAGAAGCACGTGCTCTTTTGTTATTGCACAATTTGAATGACATCCTCGTGTAGGCAGTTTCGTGACTCTGGTTGAGGAAAGAGATTTGATTGGCTTAAGATAAGATACGTGATAATCGTTGAGCGGCTCCTCATTGGTCAAAGGTAAAACACGTAATAACCTAGGTGCACAAGATTGAAGCTGATTGGTTATACAGCTGTAGTATTATCCCCGATGGTATTATAATACCTCGGGGGAAGGTGATTGGATGCAGGCTCTTTTGTTATGTCTCACTCTCATCATTGTTCTCATCGAAGTCGTCGTTGAAGTCATTGTCGAAGCCATGTTATGTCACGGGAACCCTTTAGTATTATGCGGGATATTATGTTTCGTCATTCTCGGGGAGACTTTTGTTACGATGTTTATCTGAGGTAATAAGTGGGACAACCAGCCCATAAACCACTTATTTTTAAGTGGTGGTTTGTCGGGGGATCAAAAAGAAGAAGAAGAAGAAGAAGAAGAAGAAGAAGAAGAAGAGGAAGAAGAGACATACAATAGGTACCTTGGAAGGAAAAAATATCATAGTTTGGTAAAAATGTATAGGGCAAACTTTCATTTTGGTTATCCACTGCCAATCACTAGTAGTTTATGACTCTGCTTCATTTATCCGTATCTATCTTGAAAAATTCTAAATATCACTTCTTAACAGATAGGGTGCGCTAGACCAGTAGAACGTACGAATGAGGGCTTAAACGTGCTAAAATAGGTTTGGAAGTTCGTAAACAAGGATAGAAAACTCAAATAACAAAGAAAAATAGATAGGCTTCGGGGATTGAATTATGTATGCTCTTACTCGTATATAGGCAGGCGACTTTCCACTTAATTTAAGACGGTCCCTGCACGCATGTCAGTCATAACAGAATTTCATACAGGTGTCCGTACTAGTACCAGCCCGATATTAACATGGCTGGGGATTCTTGTGTATATTTCACTTTTCATCGCCGGACATTATTTCCGGCCTTGTAAGCCACGCCTATTTTGAGAGGGTCGAAGCACGTGCTATTTGTTTCTTGAACAATTTGATTGACGTCCACGTGGAGGCAGTTTCGTGACTCAGGTTGAGGAAAGCGATTTGATTGGCTTAAGATCAGACAATTGTGATAATGGTTGAGCGACTCTTGGTAAGGAAAGAAATTTTATTGGCTAAAGCTGAATGGTTTCTGAAATCAACAGAGAACCGATTCAAGTTAAAAATTGATTTTTGATGAAGGCAGCGAATAAGAGTGAAAGATGGAGAAGAAAGAAAAACGAGAATTCTTCTTTTTCGTGTATTTAGTCGGTATAAGTTGTCACATTGGAAAAGTGATTTCCTCTGCTAGATTATAGGCCTAGATCAAAGTTACATCGTTATAAATAGAGAAGTTGATGTAATATGGGTGCAGTTTTTCATTCTTTCCAATAATTCTTTTCACTTTCTGATGCTAAGAAAACTGAAAACGATGTTCCCTTTTCAATTAACGTACTCATAAATGGTATAAAAGATTCGATGACCTGATTCTATATTAATTCTAAACTTCACTTAGTGGATCACAGATTTGAGATGAAAATGTGTAAATTTATCTCACCCCAATTTCTTCATTGTATAATATAGTATCGTAGTACAGTAGTGTAGGTTATTTATTTTCCAAATCACAATAAAAAAAATTAAAAACATTTCAACAAAATAAAAAAGTACTTATAAAATCAAGAACATAGTGAATGACTGGATAGCCCACACAGTTTAAAAAAAATATCATATTTGGCAAAACTCTTTTTCCTGATTGTCTTATATTATTATTTCTTTTTGACACTGAATATCGTCACTCATGATGATTTGTTTATATTGACTCGGGACCGCTACGGAGTATAGGGGGCGCTAGACCAGTAAAATGTACAGATGAGGGCTTGAAACATGAGATTTAGAACTTAGTGAAGGATAGAAAATTTCATTAACACACAAAACAGGGAGGCTTCAGGGATTGAGATAATACTTATTCGTTTATATAGGGATAGGCAGGCGATTTTCCACTTAATTTGAGACGGTCCCTGCACGAGATGTCAGTCATAATGGAATTTCATACAGGTGTCCGTGCTGGTATGCACACAAGCCCGATATTAACATTAATGCAATTCATGTTACTTGCAGCCTATTTATAGTCGCGTGGCTGTAAGATTCTTGTGTATATTTCACTTTTCGTTGCCGGACATATTTCTGGTCTTGTAAGCCACGCCTATTTAGAGAGAGCCGAAGCACGTGCTCTTTTGTTCTTTAACATTTTGATTGACGTCCTCGGGGAGGCAGTTTCGTGACTCTGGTTGATGATTGGCTAAAGTTGAGACACGTGACAGTCAAGGTACAGAAGATTGAAGCTAATTGGTTAGTACTGATACAATCAGGGAAGGTGCTCGGGTGCGAGCTCTTTTATTATGTCTTCATCGTTTAGTTCCATCAGGTCACGGAAACCCTTAAACTAGGCTTTATGTTTCGTCGTTCTCGTCGAAGTCGACTTCCTTGAACCTTCTTTGAAGTCGGGTTTTATCACGGGAACCCTTTAGTTAGGATAATGTTTCGTCATTCTAGGGGAGCCTTTTGTTATAACGTTATTCATGAGGTAAGTCATAAGACAACTAGCTCGGGAAACGTTAATTTGTAATGGGGGGGGGGGGAGGAGGGAGGAGGGAGGGAGTCGTTTCTCATCGGCATCGTTTGTTTTTATCAAACACGTTTACGGTGATACGTAGTACAGTACTCTCTCATTGGATTTGGAACAACTTTATTTGCACGAGAGAGAGAGACTGGTCCAGTTTCTGAAATCAACAGGGAATTAAAATTATGTTGATTTCTAATGAAGACTACAAATGAGAGTTGAACAAAACCAATCAATTTTTTTTTTAATTAATCAATTTATTAATACATTTTTGTTGTTGTAATACTCGGTATGGGTTATCAAAGTTTTGAGAAAGTGATTTTCTCTGAGATGTTTATGATTGGATTTGAGAACTGACGTAATTCCAGAGTGTTTTCTGTCAATACTTCCTTTCGGTTTATGATGCTTATCTGTAAAGACTTTAAAAATCTTTCAACAGATTCATAAATTTAATGAATTGGATTGATGACCTGATTTTTAAAAAAAAAATTCTTACTTTACCGAGAAATTTGAAATCATCGATTAAAAATTGGGCAACCGTCACATCAATGACATGTTCGGTTAATCGCCAATTGAGTATAGGGAGTTGCCTTTTGATGTAGGTACATGATATCATAATGTAATCAAATTTAATGGACATATTACAAATTATTTCATTAACCTCTTACGCATAGTCGTATTCCAATAGTCAGAATGCGAATTGCATACATAACGTACTGTTAAGTAGGACAAGCCATAATGTTTGTTTAACATTGAATGAGTTAGGGAGATGAAATAAGAAATAAGAATTTTAAAGTTAAAAATTATTTTATACAATTTACTCATTCATATTTCGTTCATTAATTTTGATGACATTTGCTATGAATGTTTTTATGTATAGTATTTTACATTTGTAAAACATTGCCCAATTCGGCCTTGTAGGCCGCGATGCATTGTTGTTCCTTTATTCTCAATAAAACTATTATCAATTTCACTCAAATTTAAGAACGGAGTTAATTTGAGTATTTTTCTTCTAAATACACTTTTTCCTTATCAATGCCATCTATAATGATAGGAACGACTTAAAGAATATATACATTTTCCGTTTCATATGCTTCATAAATGGCGTACCAGGTTCGACGATCCCCTTAGCCTATACTATTAATTTTGATTTCACCTCATTCATCATGTAATCTTGACATTTTGTTATTTTATTTCAATTCTCTCAGGTCATTACGAATGTGAGCGCATTTTTCAGAAGTTTGTGCGGCCGGAAACGGGGACAGTGGCCGAGGCCAAGGGGTCGATCAGCAAAGAAGCGACGATTAAGCGTGGTTGTTGAAGTAATAGTAACGATGATGATAATAGTAGAACCAGGAGGCCGTTTGTAGAAATCGTAATCGTGGAATCGCCTACCTTGATACTGATTAAGGTAAGCCTGAATAATACAAATTGAACACTACTGATACGTTTATATCATTATCTTACCAATCTGACGCCTCAGATGGTGTTTTTCATGCTACCCCTGTATGTCAGTTCCCGGGTTAGACGGAAGATTGAAAACGTTTTGCATCTTTCTCTGATCACAAGCGTGCCAGTTCGCCTTCCCTTTAACTATATTTATTAAACTCATTTTTTGGTGAGAACTTGGTTCTTAATAAACACTTTTCCTGAAAGCACATATCAATATTAAATGTGTCACACAGTCACCTCAATTTGGTACTGCCGCCCCCCACCCCTCAAAAAAAAAACATATGTAAAAAGACTGACACATTTATTACAAAGTGTAACATGATAGGATTTTCTCGCCGGAGTGGAGGGGGGGGGGGGGGGAGGGGCTAGCCTAAGTACCTTGGAGGGGGGGGGGGGGGGGGCGTGTTCCGAGGGGGAGTAGAGCGGGGGGGGGGGAGGGACACAATAAGGACCATGTTCTCTTGTATTTAATATATACTGAAGGTATATGAGTTTTTTTCCAGGGGCACGTTCCCCTGAGCCCCCTGGATTTACCGCTGCATTTTCGAGAGCGTGTGACCTTACACTAATACTTGAAAAATCATTCTTGAAAAAGTTATAACTTGTGTTAGTTTGATATTTATTACCTTTAAAAGCGGAAAAGTGCAACATTTTTCTTTATTTTTTTTGCCAGTATATTTCTCAGTCTTTTTTTCAAAATATTTATTCAATATTTCAAAATATCCTTTTAGTTTATGACTAGGCCATGATACTTAGGCCAAATTAAAAAAAAAACATGTTTAGCGTCATGATTTTTTGAAAATAGGAAGGAGAAGGCCCTCCCCCCCCCTTTTTTTCCCCTTTCAAAATGGCCGCTCAAAATGGCCGCTCGGTAAATTTTCCCTGAAAGTCGGGCTATTTTTCAAGATGGCCGCCGACAATAGGAGGCGGCCCCCAAAAAGGAAGCGGGCGGGGACGCTAAACATGCATATTTGTTTTAATGGCCTTATTGTGATCATACTATTCATTGCGTTTTCCACCCCACACACTTTTATGTAACGCAAATTAATGCACACGTCTTTGTGAAATGCCTCGATACGAATTATTCCATTCACCTTTCACAAATAATTTTATTTCAATAATCACATTGCAAACCACTTGTTAGGTAGGGCAAGCCATTATGTTTGTCCAACCTAGCAACAGCTAACGTATGCAATTTGAATTGTAACAATATAAATATAATTATTCGTGACGGAGAATGTAATGGCTCCTGTCTAGGTATAACGAAATTTAAATACATAATGCATAAATGCATAAATTTGAATTAATTTTGAAAATGGTCTGTCCAACTCTTGCTTCTTTGTTGTATGTGTCCTATGATAAATTATATCTACCGGTATAAAGAGATTGGACAATCCATTGTGTTTGTCTTACCTAGCAACAAGTCGTATTACGTGCATTCTACCATATTCAGGCATTCTGGCATATAGTTGACATATAGTGGACATACAGTGGTATTTATTTGTTTGCTTTTCCAGATTTTCTATTCGCTCAAGAAAATTGTCGCTCAAAAAAAGTCGACCCCCCCTTCCACCCCCCCCCCCCCCATGAAAGCTGACATCCAGGGGACAGCTTGAACCTATCTGAGGCGCTCAGTTTGGTAAGTTCAATTTGTGAGATATATTTTTCCTCCTTAGCCCTTGTCAATTTACAAATTCCTTGGGAGGGGGCTACCCCCTTTCACACCCTAGCTCCCTCATAAAGTGCCCCAACTTTTGAGAGCCTTTTGACACCATTGTAATAGACCGGTTTACTAACATATTTAAATGTTATGCATACTTTATAAACAAACGCTGATTTTGACAACCAGAAAGATTGCCCGACAAAGCAACTTTTATGAATATATAGAGATATAAAAAATATATATAATATATTGTTGATATCAAATAATAAACCACAGCGGACAGTCTAGTGATCTGCTTGAAACTACTAAGACTAGTTAGATGTAACATGAAGGAAAGAAAGTACGTTATAATAAAAGGCTACAAATTGGAAAGAAATATAAAAAGCATATACTTGGAATGAGGTGGAAGGAAAAGGAGAGAGGAAGATGATCTGACCACGCCACACAGTGACGACCACGATGACGACTACGGTGATGAAGGGATGATGGAGGAGTACTCGTGTGTTTACTTTTGAATAAAATCCTACGGGGACCAAGGGGGAGGGGGGTATATTTTCCCAAAAGCGACCTAGACAGACTTACGTCAATTGTAACTCGAAACCTTAACCTTAGTTAAATTTATTTAGATCTAAAAATATAAAAAAAGGATATAAATTAAATATGGGTTTTCAAAATATTATAACATTTTTTAGTACGACAAAATAGCATTGCATTGCCAAGTTGTATTTAGACAAAAAGCACACAAAATAAATTATATTTTAAACCAATAAAAAAAGGTTAGTAAAAATTAGTAAAATATAAGTAAAAATATATGTATAGAATGTTAGTGTACCATTCCATCCCATATATCACTTTCTGTAACAAAATTTAAATTTGTGGAGGGGGGCATCTATTGTATTTAGCAAATCATCTCAACATTGACGTATAGAATCCAAAATAATAAAATGCTCTTTAAAATTGTAGAACACGTTCACATGATTTAATTAAACCAAACTGCAATCATTTCAGTTATATTGATTGTGGAGTGAACACATAGAAAGTATTCATATAGCAATATACAATATCCGATTTTCTCCATCTATGTTTGCATTTACCAGACTATTCAGTGTTATTCTTTGCCAGTTTATAATTTAAAATGCCAGTACTTCTAAATATCTTCTATACATAAATGTCCGTTTTCCTGACTCTGTCTTCGGACGAGTTATATCTACACACAGATTACCCTGTCTCGTTTTGTAAACATTTGTTAGATGTGTAAATGTTTCACTAATTTAAGGAGGCACTTGGTTTGTCATAGCTTTATACATCATCACTGCAGTGTCGTTTTCTATTTTCTTGGTGAGAGGGTGACGGTCCCATTTTAGTAGTTCAAGGTTTTCCCTTCCTGATGAAACCCAGGAGGTGTTGTTGATTAGGCGAGCACCTCGGTTTTGAATTCTTACGATGTTTTCCCTAACTGCTGATCTTCGTACTTTATCCTGGAGACCATCCCAGATAACGGCCAGTGACTATTGACGTATTGGTATGGTATGGTATATTTTAATTATTCACGGTTAAAACAAATACAATAATTGTGCCCGCATTTAGCAAATGCTGTTTTTCAGCGAGGCCGAGCAATTGGGACATGTCCAGTCTCCAAAAACTTACGATGACTGTATCTATGGACCATTGTTTTCCCTTACAGCTGATCTTCCGCATTTAGTGCCCGCATTTAGTAAATGCTGTGTTTTAGCGAGGCCGAGATTACATAAAATTCGAACAATAAAATATAAAACAATTAAAATGTGCAAACAAATATGCAAGTTATAATACATGAACATATTTACAGAAATTTAAGTACAAAATCGAATCATAGTGACAAAAGAGAGATAAAAAGAACATTTCACCACGAGATGAAAGAAGTGAGCCAAATTCTTTAATTTTACTGATCTCACTGTAACATTTAACAACATTTAAACTTCTGACATCGTTGGGCAAGGTTTTAAAAAGCCTTGATGCATGGTATAATGGACTATGCTGAAGAAAATTTGTGTGATGTCTTGAAAGGGGAATTTGTGAATTAGCATAATGAAACATAAAGCCTACATCAGTATTAATTTCCACCCTGCCGTGATTCAGCGGTATCCAGAGTACGAACGGGGCATCTCCATTCACCATTTGGTTTTCTCTATAGATCAAGACATGATGAACAAAGTGCCCGAAAGGACACTCTTCATTGGCGCATTCGATTTTATTTATTTATTCATTTCACATGTTTAAAAAGGGTAGCCCAATTAGGATATACACTGGTTTTCGTTGGGGCGCTTTAAAATACAAACTTTATACATTCCAAAATAACTTGTGAATAAGACAAAATTGAACATTTTATTATATAACCAACAATAACTTCATATTACGTTACAAAACATTAAAATGCACAAATTGAATATATATATTTTAAAAAACCTAATAAAGAGGAGAAAAGATTTACACTAATATGATATTACACTAATATGATATATGAAGGGTAAGGGTAGGTAGGTATATGTGCCAGTCTAGCGCCTTCCGATTTACACGTAAACATTTAAAACAAACTGTATTAATAAAATATTAAAAAATCAACATTTAAAATAAGACTAACCGTAGCTGCACGCAAAATTATTTACAAAATAAATACATGAAAGTTTAAACATATACAAAAAAAAAATTCTTGAGCGATTTAGTGTGTTTGGCACTGATGCAATATGGAGTTCTTTGACTTGACCGGCATTCTGGACTGCTATACCAGACTGTCCTTCTGCCAGGCAGAGTGGCGTGGGTGAGTCCTACCTCGGACAGATGGAAAAACATGCTTAGCACAAATGCAGAATGGAGTTCTTTGACTTACCCGGCATTCTGGACTGCAATACCAGTCTGCCCTTCTGCCAGGCAGAGTGGCGTGGGTGAGTCCTATCTCGGACAGATGGAAAAACATGCTTAGCACAAATGCAGAATGGAGTTCTTTGACTTGACCGGCATTCTGGACTGCAATAAATGACTGTCCTTCTGCCAGGCAGAGTGGCGTGGGTGAGTCCTACCTCGGACAGATGGAAAAAACATGCTTAGCACAAATGCAGAATGGAGTTCTTTGACTTACCCGGCATTCTGGACTGCTATACCAGTCTGTCCTTCTGCCAGGCAGAGTGGCGTGGGTGAGTCCTATCTCGGACAGATGGAAAAACATCCCGTGTTGACGTAAGGAGTTACTGGTGTTTTATTTTCTCAATACCAGAGGCAGTACATATAATAAAAATCATGCAATTTACATCATACTGACTTGGACATCACATTCAGAATAATCAAAATATAATTCAAAAATATAATTCTTAACTAACGTCAATTGCTAAACAAAACAAATCGTTCATACATTTTTTAATTCGTTTAAAACAATAATAGTAATAATGATAATAATGATAAACAAAAATAAATAAATGCTTGTACATGAAATATTATAGTCTTTCAAACTGAAAATAAAAAATAGAAAATAGAAAATTAAAAAAATACAGTAATACCTCTGAAAAGAGAAAAAATAAATAAATAAATAAAAAAAAATAAAAAAAACAAACACAAAGCAAGGAAAGACTACTGGGAAGTTGCTTCTTTTAAGTTGATTTATATCACACAAAACCTTCCAAGACCTCCAATCTTTTAAGTGAATTGAAGTTAAGATCATCTCTTCCTGTGTATCGATCTCTTTTACGGTGGCAGTATACATAAGTCAAGTCCAGCATTTCTCTGCTCATGCTGAACTTACTGATCAGGTACAGATGTGATGTCGTTTCTTTCTTTCTGGTTCACTGGTGCCCAGACATGTTCAATCACTCTCCTGACCACGCCTTTGAGATATGGTTTCTTTTGGGTCATATTCGCGTTCTGTGGGGATTTATTTATTTATTAAGTTTAATTTCAGTAGGGTAGTTCCATTCAAGCCAAAAATAAATTTAATGGCCTGCTTTCCAAGGAAGCCCTACATAATACAGGTACATAAAATAACATCACATTTGAAACAAAAGAACACAAATTTAACACAGAACTACGTAATAGTATGATAATTTAATTAATAAATGGACACTCTAAACGAATACATTACAAAAATATTTTAAATATCAACAACAATAACTAGGGCCTATAGCCCATTTATTCATTATCTTTAAAACAACAAATCTAGCACACAAGAAAATGAACACTAGATTTCGCAAGAAAAAACAACAACTAAATATTAATAAAGAAAAAGAAAAAGCTTATTGGAGTCGGGTGGTATGTCATCAATCATCTCCAGAAGAGCCATGTAGCCCTCGAGTGAGAAATGAACAAACTCTTCTGTTTGATTGAATGATGCCATCGCCTTCTTTTTCGCATGGCGAAAATTGTACTCCGCCTTTATGTTTGCAAGAGTCGCTGGCTCACTTGATTTTCTTCCATCGAAGAGTCTATTCATCATGTTTGTCAAAAGATTCCTCTTTTATGAGATTCTTGGGCTGTAGGCAAAAGGCCCTCAAGTCGCTCGCTTTTGTTTCGAAGAGCAGATTGGGCCTTTTTTGCTCCAATGCTGAGTTGAAACGCCCCACCTTCACAATGTGACACAAGTGGGTACAGTGATGTGTCATGGGTGGGGACATACTTGTTAAGGGCTTTGAGTTTGCCTATAACACCTGCAGTTGTAGATGGATTTTCATCAATAATGCCAATATTTACCAATTTTGTTTTCTTTGCAGACTCAAATCAATTCAATTTAATTGATTTCCACTTTAAAAACAATTAAAAAACGAACAACATATAATGAATAATAGTGGTTAGTAAACATAATAATCTACATAATAATCATGAAAAGCACTAATTGGCTAATCGAAAATGACCCCTAAACAAGTAAACACATAATATATACACTGTAAGAAAATATCAACTATTATAACAGGAAAAACATAACAAAAACATCAAAATTTAAAATTTAAAAAATGATAAGGAAGCAAAGATAGGAAACATAAAGAAATATTCATCATTTATGAGTTCAGGAGGTGTTGTTCAACTAATCGTACGAACTGATCCACGGTCTTACTATTCTTGAGATTAGTTGGGAGGTTATCCCAAATAGTTGGTCCATTGTAATGAATTCTGAGTTAATGATACTTGTTCTTAACTCCATGCTTGTACTTACGCTTAGCTTGTGGCCGTGCTTTGAGGCCCTAAGGGGAAAGTCCTCTCAAGGATGAAGCCGATCTCTTCCTTCAGAGCATTGTGTAGATTCGCCAGATCATTTGGGGTCTACAAGATCTGTTCTAACGGTATGTTGCGAGCTTGCAATGTGTCCTGTGCTGGTTTCTCTGTATCTTACAGGAAGGGAACCGTGTCAGCTGCCCCAAAACAATTGGCTCACAAGCGGACATTTTCTCTCACCTTTACACTTCCTTCATGGCGGGGGGGGGGGGGGGGGTAAACTTCTGGGTGTTTTCCCAACTCAGGCGATAACCTCTAGAGTCTAGACTCCTCTTCCATTCCAGCATGGACAGCATGGGCCATGTTCTCTTGTATTTGATTTATACTAAATGTATATGAGATTTTGTTTTCCAGGGGGCACGTTCCCCTGAGCCCCCTGGATCTACCGCTGCATTTTCGAGAGCATGTAACTGTACACCGAATACTTAAAAACAATTCATTCTTGAATAATATATATGAAAGGTTATAACTTGTGTAAGTTTGATATTTTGTACCTTCAAAAGCGGGAAAGTATAACATTTTTCTTTATTTCCCCCTATATTTCTCAGTCTTTTTTTCAAAATAATTATTCTATATTTCAAAATACCCTTGAAGTCTTTGAAAAGGCAAGGCCATAATATTTATGGGATTATACTACCCATTGCGTTTTCAACCCCACGCCCTTTTGTTACCCCGTGTAAAAGGTCATTTTCGTTATGTAACCAAATTTAATTTAATTTAATTTCTTAATTTGAGCCCATGGACTGTTCTTCCGCAGTGCCGTGCATACATAAAAACATACACTAAAAAACAACATATATATAACATAATACAACATAATAATGATGAAATAAATATATCCAAAATAAATACAACATACACTAAGAAAACCTATGAAATATTTAAAGGGGACGGGAATTACTCATCAATGGCTCTTGATTCCATATACTTATTTAGATAGGGTAGTTCCATTCAAGCCAAAAATAAATTTAATGGCCTGCTTTCCAAGGAAGCCCTACATAATACAGGTACATAAAATAACATCACATTTGAAACAAAAGAACACAAATTTAACACAGAACTACGTAATAGTATGATAATTTAATTAATAAATTGACACTTTAAACGAATACATTACAAAAATATTTTAAGTATCAACAACAATAACTAGGGCCAATAGCCCATTTATTCATTATCTTTAAAACAACAAATCTAGTACACAAGAAAATGAACACTAGATTTCGCAAGAAAAAACAACAACAACTAAATATTAATAAAGAAAAAGAAAAAGCTTATTGGAGTCGGGTGGTATGTCATCAATCATCTCCAGAAGAGCCATGTAGCCCTCGAGTGAGAAATGAACAAACTCTTCTGTTTGATTGAATGATGCCATTTTCGCATGGCGAAAATTGTACTCCGCCTTTATGTTTGCAAGAGTCGCTGGCTCACTTGATTTTCTTCCATCGAAGAGTCTATTCATCATGTTTGTCAAAAGATTCCTCTTTTATGAGATTCTTGGGCTGTAGGCAAAAGGCCCTCAAGTCGCTCGCTTTTGTTTCGAAGAGCAGATTGGGCCTTTTTTGCTCCAATGCTGAGTTGAAACGCCCCACCTTCACAGTGTGACACAAGTGGGTACAGTGATGTGTCATTGGTGGGGACATACTTGTTAAGGGCTTTGAGTTTGCCTATAACACCTGCAGTTGTAGATTGATTTTCATCAATCATCTCCAGAAGAGCCATGTAGCCCTCGAGTGAGAAATGAACAAACTCTTCTGTTTGATTGAATGATGCCATCGCCTTCTTTTTCGCATGGCGAAAATTGTACTCCGCCTTTATGTTTGCAAGAGTCGCTGGCTCACTTGAGTTGAAACGCCCCACCTTCACAGTGTGACACAAGTGGGTACAGTGATGTGTCATTGGTGGGGACATACTTGTTAAGGGCTTTGAGTTTGCCTATAACACCTGCAGTTGTAGATTGATTTTCATCAATCATCTCCAGAAGAGCCATGTAGCCCTCGAGTGAGAAATGTACAAACTCTTCTGTTTGATTGAATGATGCCATCGCCTTCTTTTTCGCATGGCGAAAATTGTACTCCGCCTTTATGTTTGCAAGAGTCGCTGGCTCACTTGATTTTGAGTTGAAACGCCCCACCTTCACAGTGTGACACAAGTGGGTACAGTGATGTGTCATTGGTGGGGACATATTTGTTAAGGGCTTTGAGTTTGCCTATAACACCTGCAGTTGTAGATTGATTTTCATCAATAATGCCAATATTTACCAATTTTGTTTTCTTTGCAGACTCAAATCAATTCAATTTAATTGATTTCCACTTTAAAAACAATTAAAAAAACGAACATATGCATATGAATAATAGTGGCGGGATCATGAAAAGCACTAATTGGCTAATCGAAAATGACCCCTAAACAAGTATACACATAACATACACACTGTAAGAAAATATCAACTATTATAACAGGAAAAACATAACAAAAACATCAAAATTTAAAATTTAAAAAAATGATAAGGAAGCAAAGATAGGAAACATAAAGAAATATTCATCATTTATGAGTTCAGGAGGTGTTGTTCAACTAATCGTACGAACTGATCCACGGTCTTACTATTCTTGAGATTAGTTGGGAGGTTATTCCAAATAGTTGGTCCATTGTAATGAATTCTGAGTTAATGATACTTGTTCTTAACTCCATGCTTGTACTTACGCTTAGCTTGTGGCCGTGCTTTGAGGCCCTAAGGGGAAAGTCCTCTCAAGGATGAAGCCGATCTCTTCCTTCAGAGCATTGTGTAGATTCGCCAGATCATTTGGTGTCTACAAGATCTGTTCTAACGGTATGTTGCGAGCTTGCAATGTGTCCTGTGCTGGTTTCTCTGTATCTTGCAGGAAGGGAACCGTGTCAGCTGCCCCAAAACAATTGGCTCACAAGCGGACATTTTCCTTCACCTTTACACTTCCTTCATGGCGTGGGGGGGGGGGGGGGGGGGGTAATCTTCTGGGTGTTGTCCCAACTTAGGCGATAACCCGCCTCTATAGATCTACCGCTGTGTTTTCGAGAGCGTGTAACTGTACAATGAATACTTTAAAAAAAAATTGAATAATATATAAAAGGTTATAACTTGTGTAAGTTTGATATTTCGTACGTTTAAAAGCGGTTAAGTGTAATATTTTTCTTTATTTGTTCTCCCTATATTTCTCAGTCTTTAAAAAAATGTTTATTCTATATTTTAAAATACCCTTTTAGTTTTCGACTAGTCAATGCCATAATATTTATGTGATAATACTATACCCATTGCGTTTTCTACCTTACCCCGTGTGTTTTCCACCTTACCCCGTGTGTTTTCCACCTTACCCCGTGTAAAATACCATTTTCGTTATGTAACCAAAATTTAATTTAATTTTATTTATTTATTTAAGCACGGAGGCCTATACCTCAGCACATGGACTGTTCATCCGTAGGGCCGTGCATACATAAAAACATACAATATAAAAATAACATATATATATACAACATAAAACAACATAATAACGATAAAATAAATATACACAAAATAAATACAACGTACACTAAAAATACATATGAAATATTTAAAGAAGACGAGGATTACTCATCAATGGCTCTTGATTCCATATACTTATTTAGATTACATTTGAAATTCATATGACAACTCACGTTTAAGTTCTTGTGTAATAGAGTTCTAGCACTTCGCACCAAAATAACAAACTCTTTTTCTTAAAATATGTTCTTAATTTCGGTTGTAAGAAATTTTGCATTTAATTTCTCATATCATAATTCCATTTTCTCCATTATGAAATTTCGTTATGTTATTCAATCATTTAGATTCCTGGAAGGGAAACAGAACGACTAGCTGCCAGGACTACAACTTATGACAAAGACGGCCTCCAGGCGACGAGTTGACGAACCAAGGCGATGGTGAGTAGAGCAGCTTTATACGAACAGATTTAAAGCAATATTCGAACTTTTATTAGAAGGAGCACTCGTTTACCGAAGTTACGGTTATCTGTCGATTCGTATTTCCGGAAATGATATAGCGTTCGAGCTGTAATTATGTATTATTATGCTTTTAAATGATCAACCTTCGGAATAACAAACAATTGAATTTAATAACACTTTGGATTAATGAAGTTTCGGAATTATGAACCTGCAGAAAAAAAACCTTTAAAAGTACGTTGTTACAAAAGAGCAAGATAAGACTGGAATATTTTGTAGCCTCTTTTTAACTAAAAGATTCGGAATAGAGAGCTTTCATTCTAGCTCGCTCCTTGTACTAATCTTTATAGCCACAAAATGAACACGTTATCAAATTGCATAGCATATTTTCAATTTTACCAGGGGTACGACAACAATGAAGCGAGGAAAGCCACCTACATGCAGGTTGATAGCGATCACGACGCCTACCAAGTTACGACTATAGTATACGGTAATGGTGAGCAAGCGATTACGAGACTGATGGTGACCACGGTGGTAAACAGGTATATAATAGAGCAAGATTATGAGGAAATAAATGGTCTTATCAAAATAAAAGAAACTTGATTAAAATTATCATAAAAGAAGAATGCAATTGTGTTTGGTATTTTGAAATCCGCATTTTGAAACCTACCTAAAAATGTTGTCCTGGGCCCCATCTTATAAAGAGTTACGATTGATCCGAATCAATCGTAAGTCCTCCAATCAATCGCAAGTTTGCAGTCTCCTATCTCTTATGTACATGGTTGCGATTGATATCAATCGCAAATAAGTTGCGATTGATATCAACTCTTTATAAGATGGGGCCCATACCATTTTTATCTACACTGCTATTCCCGCAATTTTTTAATTTCCTAATTCTAATATTTTCATAGTTGTATTTTAAAGGCTGGTTAAATAAAAACTACACTCTCTTCAAAGTAGGTCTACTGCTTAATAAACTTAACATAATTAATGCAGGCCTTTAATCCATGATTGGCTAAATCTTGCAGCCGTTAGGTCATCATTCTCCACCAGTAAATCAATTGACTTACATGTTAATTATACAAGATAATAAAAGTGTCTATTCATTTAAATTTTCAGCGAGGGGCGGCAGCCAGGGTGATGGCAACCAGAACAACGAACAAGATGACGGCAACCAGAACAACGAACAAGATGACGGCAACGATGATCATCAGGCCCGGTCATCAGGGTGGAGCCAACCAGTGCGACGACATGGACGGCAACCGGAGCTTGATTCGGTGAAGACGACCGAGCCGGGGCGACGACCAGAGGGACGGCGTCCAGGGTGATAGCTACGGAGATATAAAGTGCGTCCCAGAAAAACGAAACCGAAAATTATCGATGTTTTATCATAACTTAATAACATTTATAATTGATAATGACACATATTTGGAAAGCTTAGAGCCTCCTCTTTCATTTGGTGTAAAGCATGAGTGATTAGAATGGATTTGACGAGAGGAAACCAAAAAGTCATTTGGCGGACGGTATCTGAATTTCAAGGAGAAAATCACATTTCTAGAAAGTTGAGTTTCTGCCCTTTTATAATTATGACACCTTAATCAGGAAATGAGCAAGGAATGACACAGTTCTGTTTGTTTAAAGTAGTGCTTGCATTTCCATAATTTTATCAAACGAATTCGTTTTCACTGGGTGCCTGCCGTAGCAACAAAGAGAGTTGACAAAAGACTTGACTCCATTTCGTTGACAATCAGCGTAGACGAAAGACTTCATGCATGGCTGATTGTCAACGAAAAGGAATGTTGTGTTGTTAGGGTGACGTATATTAAGACTACTTAAGGCCCATGGGGCTGAAAGTGTACGAGACCATCAGTCAACGAGACTCCAAAGTTCAGTCTCGTTAGTTTTCTTATATTTTGAGGGTCATGAGACTTAAAGGAAACCAAAACCTTTATACTAAGTTACTTTTCTTGTAAAGTTTAAAAGATTTGAATAAAATCTGTGAAAGTTTGAACAAAATCGGGCAAGGAATAAGGAAGTGAGAGCTTTTTGAAATTACTAGTCACTAGAGGGCGGTATTCAATTTGATGACATCATCTGTGAACAACTCTCCATGCCTTTTGTACATAAGATTTCACAATTTTTGTTTTTTCTTCGTATTTATTTGTGTTCTTGATCCGACTTCATAACATGTGAAGTAGAATATCATTTTGCATTCTATATCTTGCTTTCAGGGGAGTACATTATCTCAATCACAAGAAAGAAGGAAAAACATGAAATTTGATGTACAAAAGGCACGGAGAGTTGTTCACAGATGATGTCATCAAATTGAATACCGCCCTCTAGTGACTAGTCCTTTCAAAAAGCTCTCACTTCCTTATTCCTTGCCCGATTTTGTTCAAATTTTCACTGATATTTTTCAAATATCTTAAACTTTACAATAAAAGTAACTTATTATGAAGGTTTTGGTTTCCTTTAAAAGCCGGTCTCGTGAGCTTATTGATGTGCTCCCGTGGACTTTCGGTCATGTGTCCATTAAAAGGACATTGCATCTAATTGTTTTGGAGTAAACTCTGTAAATTCTCTGTTTTCACTAGTATGTGTGTTGACATTTTTGTATGTGAAAACAATCAAAGTTATTTCCAATGTGATCCATAACACTTCGTTTAATTGCTCTGTCAAAGTGTTTTATATGAAGTCAAATTAATTGCATAATAATTATGTACCTGTTTTGTATATGTTTCAAGCAGATGAAACCTTGTGTTTTAGGTTCTCAGTCTTCTTAGTGTAGTCCCGTTGTAGTAATGTGGTATTGATTTATTTTCTGGATAAACATGAAATGTTACTTAAAATGGAAAAGAGCACTGGCAGTATGTAATTGCGTAATTATGACACAGACTGCCAAGTGACGTATGCCTATATTCTGTTTTTCAAATTGACATATCATAATGTTTAACGACAAAAATTACATTGAAAATAAAGAATATTCATGGTTCAAAATCACATTTATAGACTCACGATTAGTCCTATATAATTTTGATTCTGAATACATTTAATTTGATGCCCCAGGTGTTGTCGAAACGAAGATTCACTGTATATTACAGACACAAACATTGTTACGGCTGGAAAACGGAATATACCAAAGTTCCCCTTTCAACGTTGCACCCACATCATTGTTCTGAAAGTACAAACAATGTATCCCTCCAGCCAATTTAGTTCAAATTCGTGTAGTGTCATTTTGAGTACTGACTGTAATTTTCTTAAAGTGTCACATTATTTTCTTTCATTTTGTAATGTTTTGGATTATGCAACGAAACGTTTGACCATCTTTATAGCTATTACAGAACAAAACAGAGGGGCTGACTAGGTTTATGGCACTCTCTTGACACACTCTCAATAACCATGGGAACTTTTTGTTAGTTTTTAATATACCATAGACATACCTCCTTCTTTGGACAAAATTTGGTCCATGCTCTTTTAATGAAAAATTAAACCCAATTTTAGGGGCATCTGACCGTTGTGGTGTACAGTGATATCGCTTTCTTTTGACAAAATTTGTTGCATGGGCTAAACCGAGGGTAAATTTGATCCTAACTGGCGTCTGTTCCTGGAGGGAGGGGGGATCTGTGGGTCGACAGCCTTCCCCCCCCCCCCAACTAACCATAATCTAAGCGGGGACTTGTATGAAGTCAATTGTCTAATTAATGGGTCAAGAGGGGTCTAAGTAACGTTCTTGGCATCAGAGGATGGAAGAGATGGGAAAGAGAGTGAACGAGAGAGAGAGGGAAAGAGAGAGACAGACAGACAGAAGAGTGAATATGTATGTGTGTTTATAATTGTGAGGGAGAGGGATAGAGAGGGGGGAGAGAGAGAGAGAAAGGAGGGTTGCGAGAATGGTAAATTTTTTGAATATTTTTACTTCTATGACATGAGTGCTGTAATGGTGATGAAAAGGTAACATATACAAACAAACAACCAACAACAAAAAGCGACAACAAAGATAAAAGCTCTAGGAAATATTCTGCCATGTTAATGTTATAGGGGTTCTGGACATCCACCCCCGGATAACCACCCCCAGTCAACTACTCGCTAGGACAACTACCCCCGGACAACTACCCCTAGGTCAACCACCCTCTAGGACGACTACCCCCCGGACAACTACCCCCAGAAAACTACCCCCAGACAACTACCCATATACCCCCTAGGACAACTACCCCCAGACAACTACCCCCTACGACAACCATCCTCTAGGACAACTACCCCCGGACAACTATCCCAGGGGGTGGATGTCCAGGGAGTAGGTGTCCAGATATACGGTTATAGGACCCTCTTTTCACGATCAGTGGGCAGAACCGCGGTGGACCGCCATTGACATTTTCATGAGGAATCAATATTACCCTTCGACTTCTTTTTTTCTTCTGTTTTTCCATTTCTACTCTTCTCTTGCTTTTTGTCTTCCTCTCTTGCTCTCTATTTTGCTTCCTTATTCCGCAATGTCTTCTTCTTTTTGTCCCTTCTATCTCTTCATGATCCCTCTTTTTTCTCTGAAAAGAAGAAGAAATTACCATCTACAATGTTAGGACATGAACCACTATTATTTGTAGATTTGAACTCACATTATTAAAAGTCCAACTTGCCACCTTTATTTTGTCAGTTATTATTTCATCATCAATTAAGATTGTGTTGTTTACCTCCTTTTGGCTTGATGGCAAGAGTTTTTTCAAAACCTTCCAATTTTTTATCAAAGAATTTTTGCATTCTGAGAACTCGTTGTGGTAATACTCTTTTTTAAGATTTATGTTTAGGTTATTAATGTTTCTATGATATTTGAACTTTTTCCAGCAACAATTACACTTCATCTTTTTATACCTTTTCTTATAGTAATCACAGTCACGTGCCAATGTAATATATTCATCCAATGCACCCCATTTCGTTTTCTTCTGAGAGAAATACAAGGTGCATGTTTATCACTTAATATTGTGAACACAGATTTGATATGAGACCACATTTTATCAACTTCAACATTTTCTTCATTAAAGTCAGCCCAATTTTGATTTCTCAAGTCCTCTTGAAATTCACTTTCGTTGAAGTTCCGAAAAGATCTAAATTTACATATATTCGAATGGAGCATTGGATTTTTGCCTGTTACGACTAGATACATCAAACAGTGGTCACTAAAACCACTGGACATTACACCGGACTTCGAGTTAGCAAAAGAATCCGAGGTAAGTATTAATCCAATGCGTGTACTGGCTATGAGGTGTAAACCGCATGTAGGCGCATTTATTACTGATTAAGCTGACAAATACGACAAATATCCTTACCATTTTTAGACAAAGTATTATCATTTCTCAAATTACAGTTGAAATCACCCAGCAAAACGATATTATTTAACAATGACATTACTACTTTCTCTATATTCCCTTTAAGGATGGTAAAAAATGTTCCTGGGCAGGAAGGTTTCCTGTATTAAAATACCATCAATATCGAACTACTACTTGTTATTTTGATTTCTAGCCAAAGTCAAGCTCCTTCTTTATGGAGCACAATGTTGGGGTCGATGGAGAACATCTTCAAGGCAATATACTGACATATTTCGATTAACACGAGTCACCAATACAATGTGTAAGATCAATGCTTTCCCTGAGGAGTTATTTTGGTGCGAATACAGCTAGATGAAATTTATATACAAATGAAGCAATAATTCATGGAGCACATGTGGAGGTCGTTGGAGCACATCTCCAAGGCGGTTATCAAAATATACTATAATGATAAAAAATGCCAGTCAGACATAAATATGTAACGTTAATCCTTTTCTGAGGAGTTATTTTTGTGCGATTACAGATGAAATTCATACACAACACTACGCCAATATAATTGATAAAATCCCGGGGGGGGGGGGGGGGTACTCAGATTTGGTTTGGTCGGGGGTGTGCCGCCGAAGCATTGAAACCCTTACCCATTTTTTAGGGTCATTTGGGGGATTTTCCCCCTGAAATAAGGCCCATTTTCACAATTTTCGGGTGTTTGCATGGCAAACATCCGAAACTTTTGGTAAATTTGAAGAAAAAAACACCTATTTTTAATGGTATTTTTGTCATAAATGGGACCCATGTTTAAGGATCTTTTGTGAAAAAATAGACATAATTAGCAAGTGTAATTTATGGAGCACATTTAGCACATGTTGAGGTCGATGGAGCACATATCCAAGGCGATATAAATTAACATATACTGACACATAATAATTAACATGAGTCAGAAATAAATATCAATGCTTTCTCTGAGGAATTATTTTGGTGCAAAATTTATACACAATGACGCGAATATAATTTAGAAAATATACATAGAGGCTGTTCACACCGCAATGAGATAGCGCGGTCTATCGTAGCACCCCCTTTTTTCTAGCGCGCGCAAGAACGCGCTATCTCTCGTGGACCACCCCCAAGAGGTGCTCCAGTGGCACGCCGTTTTGGCTCGCCGTGGCTCGCTGTTGGGCGGACCGAAACGACGTTGTACCTTCCAAACCGCAGAGATAGCGCGGTCTAGCGCGCGCTATCCCTGCCGGTGTGAACAGCCTCATAGTCTAAATCTCTAGGGTCTATTAGCAAGTGTGGTAGGGGGCCCTTGTGTTCACATTGTTTTAGAATGGGAAATAAATTAATTTAATTGAATTATCATTAAAAAAAGAATGATAATACTATAACAGCAGGAGAAGTGATAATGATAATAATGAAAAGGATAATGATAAAGACAATTTAATAATAGGCCTAAAAATTCTTCTTTTTGCACTCCATAAATATAGATCGCGCGCCCTCAACGTCACATTTAGACCGCTAATTTTCAAACGAAATACGTCAACAAAATTTTGCCGAGAAAAAGAATGTAAGTTGCCCTAAATTATCACCTGTCGTCTTTATTTTATTTTACAATGAACATTATTAAGCAGTAGTGTTAACCCTTGATTTTGTATTGAATATACCGAAAGTGTGATTTAAGCACTGTAGTCGGAATTTTACAAGAACATTTGCGTGACGTTCGTTTCGAGTGTTTGTCGAGTGCGATCTTGTGTGAGCTTCGGCCGTTTGAGTGCGAGTTCCCCCGAGGAGCTCCCCCTCTTCGTTGGGCAGCGCGAGCTAGAGCTGAGGCTCCATGGTATAGTTTGCCGCAGTGATGATGGCGCTAATTCAGAATCATATCCATACTAACTGATACTGGAGATACCCTACTGAAACATACCAAAAATCTATTAGACTCTAGATCTAAAAACTAAATGATAAATCTTCATAAATTGTTGAAATAATGGTTCTCAGCAAAATTTTGTTGACGTAGCCGTAGGACTAAATTCATTGCGACAGCACACGTAGTTTCGCAACAGACTTGGTCTACATATGGCTAGATCTATGCATGTTAGCGCATGTGCTAACATAACGCAGAAGTGCAGAAAGTTGTGCGACACTGACCAATTTCGAGCTAAGTTTGAGATCGTTCCGGGGCCCTAAATCTGATTTAATTTTGATATTTAAGAAAAGTTGTTCAGCTGCCTGATTTGTGCAAGTTTCGTGGCTCATAAATTATTTTTATGCCTCCGTTACGAAGTAGCCGGAGGCATTATGTTTTCGGGTTGTCCGTCCGTCCGTACGTACGTCCGTCCGTCCGTACGTCCCGTTCTCGTGATCGCGTTATCTGAAGAACCGATTGATGGATTCCTGCCAAACTTTGTTCATGTATGTATCTTGCAGAGCCGATGAACTGATTAGATTTTGGGGTCACAAGGTCAAAGGTCAAAGGTCACAGGGCTCATTATGTATGCTGAAACAGCTCGTGATCGCGTTATCTCAAGAACCGATTGATGGATTCCTGCCAAACTTAGGTCATGTATGTATCTTGCAGAGACGATGAACTGATTAGATTTTGGGGTCACGAGGTCAAAGGTCACAGGGCTCATTATGTATGCTGAAACAGCTCGTGATCGCGTTATCTCAAGAACCGATTGATGGATTCCTGCCAAACTTAGGTCATGTATGTTACTTGCAGAGCCGATGAACTGATTAAATTTTGGGGTCATGAGGTCAAGGTCAAAGGTCATGCGGCTCATTATGCATGCAGAAATAGCTTGTGATCGCATTATCATTAGAACAGATTGATGGATTCCTCCCAAACTTAGATCATGTATGTATCTTGCAGAGCCAATGAACTGAGTAGATTCTTGGGTCATGAGGTCAAAGGTCAAAGGTCATGGGCTGCTAATGTATGCAAAAATAGCTTGTGAACACATTCTCATTAGAACTGACAGATGGATTACTATTTAACTCGGGACATCTTGCAGAGCCAATGAACTGAGTAGATGTTAGGGTCATGTGGTCAAAGATCAAAGGGTCATATATGTATATGAGAAATTGCTTGTAATCACGATATTCTGAGAACCTGTTAATGGATTACAATTGAACTTGAATTTGAACAATTTCTTCTGTTTTGGTTTGTAAAATTGCTCTATGACGGAGGCATCATTTCGACTGCGCGCAGTCGAAGTTCCATCTAGTTTAGATTGTTACAGCTGTTGAAATGGCTGTCTGACCGGTGGTATGGGTGTCTGGTCAGGTCGCCCCCAAGCCGGTCGCCTCCTATACGCAGTCGCCTCCTATACGCAGTCGCCTCCTAACGTAGTCGCCCCCAAATTGTGTGGTCGAGTCGCCTCCTATACACAGTCGCCTCCTATACACAGTCGCCCCCTATACACAGTCGCCACCTACGTACAAAGGCAGTACGCTAGCGCAGCGGTCAGAAGCAGGTTATTTAATGTTTATGCTATTTATACGTTTGTAAATAAAAGAGAAAGTTTCATTCTTTCTATTATAATGTTGTCCACCTTCTTTTAGATTACTATTTTGTGCTAAAGTATAATGTGATAAACGTTTCATTTTATTTTGATGCAACAGAGATTTACATTCAAAGGTTTCACTTTTTATAATTGTACAGTAATATTCTTCTCATTTCGTTATTATCAGCCGCTGGTTCTCTATTTCGTTCCCTAAACTAAATAAAGGTATATGTGAGAGGGGGGGGGGGGTTAGAAAGTTGGACGTAGCCTGTATAGAATGTGATAAACGTTTCATTTTATTTTGATGCAACAGAGATTTACATTCAAAGGTTTTACTTTTTATAATTGTACAGTAATATTCTTCTCATTTCGACATTATCAGCCGCTGGTTCTCTATTTCGTTCCCTAAACTAAATAAAAGGTATGTGAGAGGGGGGGGGGGGGTTAGAAAGTTGGACGTAGCCTGTATAGACCTGTATTTGTTATGTTATTTGTCTCCCCTCCGATCACCCCCCCCCCCCCCCCCCCCCCCCCCCCCCCCCCCCCCCCCCCCCCCGCTCTGATTTTGTTCTTAGTTAGTCTGTTGGTTTGATTATATCTTTTCGCTAAAGTATAATGTCCGACGTATACCATCAGGAATATGTTATAATAATTAATCTCAAGGAAGGGATGATGCCGGGATACAAGCAAATGGCGGAATAGACAACATTATGGAAGATGAAGATGGACAAAGATGAAGATGGACATAGACAGAGAGAGGGAGAGAGGGGAAGAGAGTGGGTTGGCGGGAGATGGAAAGTTGGACGTAGTCTGTACTGTATTTATTTTTTCTCTTAATCCTTGTCTGAATTCAGTTTTCCCTCGCCGTGCTGACGTTTCATTAAATTATTAGAGAACGGTTTTCGACTCTTAATCCTTGTCTGAATTTAAGTTCCCCCTCCCGCGTGAAGCGCGGAAGCTTTGACGTTTCATTAAATTATTAGAGAAAGAACAAAGAAGACGATTCGTTGTATACCGACTCTTAATCATTGTTTGAATTATCAAAAAAATTCTTTGTTATTATTATTGTTTCAGCGCTTTTATCCTCCGCGCGCTTTAAAATAATGAAGGACAAAAGCGCTGCGACATACAATAAGGTATGTATTTGAAAGAATAACTGCTTTTTATTTGTGCACAGATTAAAAGAAAGTGACATCTATATACAAAATAACTATATAGGTTAAGGTTGGAACCTACTAGTGCTTTCGAATACTTGAAAAGATGAGCAGCCTGTGTTCATGTTGGTCACGCATGGTCGTCGCTTATTCTTTAAACAAAATCACGCACTTATATAGAATGAATCAGTGAGAGTAAAATTAGATAACGTTTCGTTCATTTGGGTCTACCGCCGAAAGCTTTTATTTCGATCTATTTGCTACATAATAAACTTATATAAGTCATATCAATTATAGCTCACTTTTAATTCAACGTAGAGACATTCTCTTCTATTTCTATTTTTAAACTTTTACAACTATCTCATGACGACACGTTCTAGTATATGGGTCTTGTAGTATAGTGAACACAAACTATGGGATTAAAAAGGGATCTGAAAATGCTCTAATTTGCTTGCGTGTACAAATTATACTTGAGAAAAGCTAAGAAAGCCAATCTATAAAATCCTTATTATTCCTATAGCCTGTGGATACTCCCTTAAGTTCCGTCACTAAGCCAACCAGAACGATTTATTTATTTATTTATTTAAAATGGTTTATTTCATTAAAAAACATTCGCGGCCCGAGAGCCGAATCAGTTTCTTTTACAAAGTATACATCAGTGACAAAGTAAAATTACATGTAAAACATTATGCATGGTAGCATTATGGTAGTAAAATTGCAATTCTTTTGTACATAATTGTGCTTCAACGACCTTGGCAAATTGCTTGGTACATATACAGAAATCTGAATTGTATTACCATATTTGCAATGAAATTATATATTGAACTTATACAATATATGAATAGTGATACATTTTTGATATTCAAAAGAATTAAATGTTTTGATTGGAAAATGCATAGCCAGATAGGTGGTGTTTTCTTCAATAACAGAAACAGAGACAACAACAGAAACCAAATCCAGGAATTATAAAATCAAATAGATGCTACAATGATTTAAACAAATTATACATTGTATAGGTAAAATGCAGAACATTTTGTATTTGGGCCAATATACTAAAAGGTACATGTAGAATATTGCATAAGATAAAAACATGGGTAAAAGTTTGCCATTACAATATTCGATATAATGTGCATCATCTTGGGAATTGTTAAAAAGTCAAACAGGATTTTGTACAATTAAATCTGATTTAGTTTTAAAAAAAGTAAAATTCTATAGTAACATTATTCAAAAATGCATTCACATGTCACCCTTTTATTTAGGAAGTTATACCAGAGAAATAGAAATAGAGAGAAAGAGAGAGAGAGAGAGAAAGAAGGAGAGTGAGAAAAGGGAGATAGAGGGGGTGGGAGAGAGATAGGGAGAGAAAGAGAGATAGAGGGAGAGATAGAGAGCGAGAGAGAGAGAGAGAGAGAGAGAGAGAGAGAGAGAGAGAGGGGGGGGGGGGGGGGGTGGAGGGGGAGAGAGAAAGAGTGAGAGTACCAAGACAGTGAGCTAGCCAGAAAGCCATGAAGAGGGTCTCCCCGCTCCGCAGCACAGCACTGACAGAGAGGAGACAATAGGGGTATTGAGAGAGTGATGTGGTAGTACGTAAGCTGGTGGAAACTTAGATGCAAATATCCTCGAAAATATGCAGTTACAATGGAAAATTTTCAATATTTAGTAATATCATAGTACCGTGAGATGCCAGGAACTAAAAATGGCTTGACTTTGACTTGTAAAAGACATCAAACTAAAACAACAAATTAGGGGGCGAGCTGACCAAAAAAATGGGGGCGAGCTGACCAAGAATCCCAAAATCGGCAAAAAAAATCAGGAGGCGACATGACCAATTGTGGGCGAATTTGGAAGGGGGCGGGCTGACATTAGGCGAGCTGACATGGAACCGTCTGACCAAAAACTGGGCGCGCTACTAGATCATATTTAAAAGTAGATTCTAGACCCATTGTTACCTCTGTTTCTTGTCAATTTTGAGTATTTTTTCTACAAACAAAGACTTATAAAATACACTTTCTCACAGGATTCACAGCAATTTAAACTGCTGCACAAACCGACGGTGGAGTGCGGGCACGTGTGCGTACCTGAATTTAGCGACCGTGACGATGGATTGCTTAGATCTAGATTAATTTAATGGGCAGGTTGCATTATTTGTAAAACTTTTGTTTCATTAGAATTATGCATTTAGGTCTACTTTTTTAGGCCCATACAAGGTCACGGCACTGCATAGACATAGTCTAACCATACTGTGTGATGGATGGCATAGTGGCATTAATCGCATGCATCTCTATTCTATTTTTGAGACCATAAGTCATTAAAGGTTTGACCTGAAACTGATTAATATTTCTTTTAAAAAAAATAAACAAGTGATTGTTATTCCTGATAAGCTAATAAAGCATAGACCTAGATCCTATTTTTTCAACTAGATCTAGGTCTAGTTGAACAATAACAACAAGGAAACATTTAGGTCTAACTTAAATGAAAATGAATGACTAAAAGAACAAAAAACAAAAACAAACAAACAGTGACAAAGTGGTGTCAGAAGGTTGGCAAAATCTGTTGGCTGTCTTTGTGCTGAATTAGCACAAAAGATGAACACATTTCTAGTTAATGCACAATCAAATTTCAATGATATGTGATCCCATAGACAGTCAAAATTATTGTGCTAGGGTTTTTTAAATTGCAGGTCTAGTCCTTAGATAAATAGCACATGTCCACTCTTTAACTAGCCCTTAGCTTAGGTCATGCATTTAAACAATTTATAAATTAAAAACTTGTCTCTTGATGATTAACTTACTCTGTTCACATTGATATGTACAAATGTATTGTAATTTGTAGGTTTATTTTTAATGTTTGTTTTACTTTGTTTGTTATAGCGCTCAGAGACTTTGGTAGAAACTAGAAAACGCTTTAGATACGGTAAGTACTGTTTTTATTATTAACATTAAAACAGGCTAAATGATTTAATATTTGTAATATTATAATTTCCAGTGCAGACCAGACTTGAGTGTTGATCCAGCAACCATCGATCATGAATCGTCAGAGTGCAGGCAGGGCCTCCATGTCCTCTATGGGGAGTAGAAGGTCTTCAGTGGGACCTCTCAGGGTCAAACATGACAACAGTGAGTACAAAATGCATGAGCATATGTGTGTGCTTGTGGGCATGTGTGGGTTTGTAAGACATGTGAAACAGGGATAATCATATGTATAATTAACTTCCTAGTGGGGATACAATGGCAACTGTGGATATCCCCAGTAAAACTTTCTTATTTTTTGCTAATTTGGGTAAAAGTGACCCGAGAGGAGTCTACCCATTTCCTGGAAGAGTTCCAAGACATCCACATTTTCATAGTGAGATGCCACATTTTTTATTCTAAAAATCTGATAAATGTACTAGCCTGAAAGTTACCAATCTTGATACAAATAATAGTAAATAATTCTTCTGATTCACTTCAAAATGCTGATTATATTCAGAAGATTTCATATTTTGGGGCCTGCTAATGGGCCACCCTGCCTATAAATAATGTCCAAATGTCAGTTTTTCATCATATTGAAGTGCGTAATGCAGGCAAGACCATCAAGAGCGTTTCCCTAGTTACTCTTTTGAGGCACTTCATGATCATTTTGAAACAACATTTTTATAGGGCTTCAATATTACACCATATCACAGACACTGATAACACGTAGAGCATGTATCTCAGATATCACATTGTTAAACGATGCCTTTTATAATGAATACAGGAGAACCCTTTATCCCTGTTTTTAAAATTGAATACTTGAACCACTGCTACAATGTATATATTGCCTAAACCTCTGCAACGTTCCCTCACGTTATCCATTTGGTTTGATTCCCATCAGATGCTGCATCAACAAGCAGAGCTGCAGGGAATGGGTTCATGCGTCGGTCCTCAGGGTCATCAGGGACCAGTGCAGGAGGTCGCAAGTCCACCACCTCAAAGTCCACCTTTGGCTTCAGTAACACCAGAAGGTAATTATAAAGCTTTGAGTAGAAGTGCAGTATGTACTCTATAACAAGGTGTACCGAATCGTTCAAAACACAGTTTCATTGATACTGGGTAAATTTGAACTTAATTAAGTACCTTGTGTCACAAAATGCTCCCTAAAATAAAAATGTACACGACACACGTGTATAGGGCCATTGAAATTCCTGTGGTTATGGTTTCTCGAATATTTCAAGGGACTTTTTGATGCAGTCTAGCATAATACCTGTAAATGATATGCCTCTAGGTAATTTTTACATTCCATAGTTAATTTAGTAATATTTTCTTTAGGAGACCTCTTTAATGGCTATGGCCTCAACAGCGCAACGTCAAGAGACTTGTGATACTAATTGTATGCAGCTGGGGGGTGTTCCACAAAGCCTTTTTTCAATGACAAAAAACAAAAATCAGTGACAAATCTGCTGATAACCAATCAGAAGCAAGGATTTCAGTAGCTTATAACAAAAACTGTCATTTGTCACTGATGACAAGTGTTGTGAAACGCCCCCCAGATCTCATTGAGTTTGCCAACTGTTTTCCTCTGCAGACCTTCCAGCGGCTATGGTCGGTCTAACATGGCTAGGGAAGTACTGCGGGAATCACGTCCAATTAGCGACAAGTCTTACATGCAGAAAGAAATCAGAAGAATCATCGAGGTAGGTATCTTCAAAGTTTCTGTATTTATATTCCAAACTTTCAGAGATACATGTACAAATGAATACCATCATAGTGTAAATTGACATTTTCTGGACATCAGTCACAAAATTTTGCAATTATAAATTTGCAGTTGATAGGCTACACCTTGCCTTTCTGTCTTTTCAATAGCATATTACCATAGCTGCCAACCATTCCTATTTTAGAAGAATAATTCCTTAAAAATTTGGCCTCCAATCCATTGTTTTGATTCCTACATTCCTTTCTTTTTCTGAAAATTTTTGTTTATAAAGTACCTATACAAAATAGACTGTATTCTTTATTTTTTCCTCAAGAGATCCCTAATTTCTGCTGTGAAAGGTTAGAAGATATCACTCATTCTGTGAGTAGGTTGATGGAAAATCCATCAGCTAAATGTCCTGTTAAAATAGTAATATTTCATTCAAGACCAATTTTCTTTAAAACTTCATCTTCTCTTTCGCATTCCAGTTCTTGCAAGAGAATGGTTTTTCGAACCCCATCTCTGTGAAGCAGCTGATGTCCCCGACAACCAAGGACTTTGTTCGGGTCTTCCAGTTCCTCTTCAGCTTCCTGGATGAAGACTATGTGGTCGGCTCAAAGATTGACGAGGAGATTCCAGCAAAATTCAAAGAAATGAAGTAAAAACATGGACTTTATTTGCTTTTCGTTGTACATTGTACTTACAAAATCTATTACACGCATATTATCTTTTTATTTTTCAAACTATATTGTGTAGTGTCTCAGTTTAACTGTGTCAGTGATAAAATAAAATCATTATAAAATCAACCAGTTTACATACAGTCAAACCTCTCTTGGCAGTCACCCGCCTATAGTTGTAACCTACATCATTTCTCTCTCAGAAGAAATGCATGTCTACGGTTCCTCAGTTTTCCTGTTTGCCTCATATAAGTAAAATATTATTGACAAATTACAAATAGATTATAGACAGATGCCCTTTGTGTTGTAGCTGTACGTAATTGCATCCCAAAATCGATTTGAGCATATTAAAATGATTTTCTTTTGTTGAATCTTTTCTCCTTTTTAGATACCCCTTCACCATCTCCAAGAGCTCCATGTGTACCCTTGGAAGCTCCCATGCGTGGCCTCACATCCTGGCTGCTCTTCACTGGCTCTTTGACTCTATACAGGTAATTCAATACTGTGGACTGGGTGCTGTTTAGACGTTTCCCAGTCATTTTGTATATTTTATATTATGTAATTTTTGTGGGAAAGAGGAGTAGAAGAAGAAGGATACTTCGGATTGACAATCCGCAGAAATGGTCAGAAGAGAGAGGAGTAGAAGAACTGGGAGTGGTGCTAAAAGAGAAGGCTATGAGCCGAGGGTTGTGGAACAGCATGATCGCCAAAGTCAATTGATATGGCACTTAGAGAGAAAGAGAGAGACAGAGGTCTTTGTTGTAATAATGTTATTTGTAAAAATCAGTGTGACTCTTCTGACCCTTACTTCATTAGTAGGACACAAGCTGTGGGAAATTAAATGGTCATGTACAGTCATGGCAATTAGTGTGAAAATCAGAAGGAGTCATGTGCAATCTTTTGATATGGATTAATTAGTATTAAAAAAATCATTTGTATCTAAATGAAGGAAGAAAGTTCAGAATATGAAGAGTGATTCATTTTCATTTTAGAGGCAATGTTCATGTTTCTCAGCAAATATCATATTTATAAGCATAACACTGGCAGTTATCGCATTAACTTTTATAAGTTTATGTATTTGTTTCCTTTGTAAAATCCTTACAGTATGCTATGAACACGAGTGTAGCAGAGCTATTGTTTACTGATGAAGAAATGCCTGGCTGCCTAGATGAACAAGCTTACTCTGAGGTTAGTATCACAAGAGGATCAAGAGTTGTTCAAGTTTACGTTCCTCTAACATGTGGCTGAAAATATGCCTTAAGTCAAACCAGATCCAGATTTCAGACATTTTCGTGCTGCGAAATAATTGAATCACAACTCCAAATTTGATAAAATTGTGAAAAATAGCTGTCATGAACTATTAATCAAAGGGGGAATTAACCTCTCTACTATGAAGCATTATCATGACATAGAGAGTAAAACAATGTTTCATTGTATCACATCCTCTTGCGAGTACAATAAAGATACCCTACTTTGCCATATTTACAACATCGTCTGCTCCCCAAGGAAGCTGCCATTTTGTCGAAATTTCCCTTCAAAACTTCTGCGAAAGACAAAGAATTCTAAAGAGAGTTATACGTCGTCCCTTACGTCAAATGCATGATGTTTTAAATGGCCTACAAACTGAAATTAACATGTAGTTTGAGGTTAATTCCCTTTTAATGTTTCTGGTTTCTCTGTTTGTTGACATGAGTTTGATTTTGGATTTGCTATTGTACAAGGGAGATTTCAGCGCAGCAGTCTTTATGCATATTTTTTTCTTGCCAGAGCTCTTTGAGTGTCTTCAAGTATGGCTCACTGTTCATTGATATTATAAGCTTCTCAATTTCCATCCATAACAGGTGCACTTTGACTACTTGGAAAACACATACTCTGAATATATGAATGGACAAGATCGGTACGATGTGCATGAGACCAAACTCAGGAATGCTATACGTAAGTACAATAGTTGAATCAAATGTAAATCTTTTAAAGATAAACTTGAGTTCTGGTAAAAAATGAATTCTCACAGAATCTAACGAAACTTACACTGAATGTTCAAGATTACAAATAAATGTCATGTGCCAAACAATTTTGGAAGAAAATGTATACTGGCTGAGTAATGAGCATCAGGAAATCAGGGTAGTACCAGCCCTGACACCATGTGTGTTGTCCATATACATCTTTCTATGTAAGTGATTGTTACTTTACCAAGACTGCCAAATTTATGATGATTTTGATGACTCCAGAACCTTGCATTACACACCATTACTTACATGCTATATGATCAACTTTTCTGATCCATTCCACACCTTTTCTTTCACAATGTAATCGCATTACCAGAACTCAAGTTTATCTTTAATACCTAATTAATAGTATTTCTTGAGAATATGGAAGGAGTAATCCTCCTACAATGTCATTTGCAAAGACAGTAGATGCTCTTTAACTTTTCTTTTATTTATACAAATTGTCAACTTCCTTCTCGGGCAAAATTTACCATTACTAATTTCATTTTAAAATCTGTCACGCTTGGTATGAGAAGCAAGTATGTTATACGGCAGCAACAGGTCTATATGTTGTGGTCCAGTAGATAAGTCTCCGGACTATGAATCCAAGGTATGGGGTTCAAATCCCTATAGAAGTTCTTTGGCAACATCTGGCACACTCCACCCAGGTGAGGTAAATGGGGACTTGGCAGGAACTAATTCCTTTAAATGTTTGATCACTGTAATGGCAGCCATGCTCAAGCCGGGGAAAATGGAGTGCTAGGAGTGGCAATATACCAGACATGAGTGCTATGGAACACTCCACTATTATTATTGTTATCATTATTATTAGCAAGACCTTTGTTTGTGGGTGACATAATTGTTTTTTGTTGGATTTCTCACTTGATGATACAGAGACGACCAAGGGCGGTGAGGTGAACATGGACAATCTGGTAGCAGAGGAAGAGAGGCTTCAGGCAGAGCTACAGGAGTTGGAACAGCAACAGGTATCTTACCCATTCACTACTGAATTCTCTCATTCCCATGGTGTTTAAAGCCTGTCTGTACTAGTTTGGCCAGGAGGGATTAGACCACCCAGCATGGTCACTGACAGGTGGCTATCACATCAACTCAGCTCTCAATTAATATAAGAAAAAGAGGATCACGGTGGACCAATGGTCACCAATTAGGCATTGTTTTCTATATAGAGGGAGCAAGTAGCTACAAGTAGTACAGTGGGGCTTTAATACTAGCCATGCCAGGTTCCCGTAGGCAATATGGGGTGTGTCAAATGATGCAATAAGATCTAAATTAGCAATATCTTTAAAAGATTTCAATCATTCTCACTGCAATTTTATAGGTAATATAATAGTATACTATCTCCTAAACTTTGAATGAATTTGAACAAGGTTATGGTTAAACTACAAAGGTATGCTTCTTTTTGTAAGACATAGCCTTTTTCAAATGTTAAAGAGATGTTTGGGACTCCCTTTATTAATTAAAAACTTACCTGTTGAAAAGGCATGTTATCGTTATACCATACTTTTCTACCCCTTTTCTCAACCTTTCAGTGTCAAACCCTGCTATAACTCTGCGTGAACCTAACTCTTCACTTCAACCCTGGACCTTACTCTAACCCTCTACCTTTGCCAAAGTAAATCCTTGTTTAAAAATTGCCACATCATGGGGCTGTTATTCACAGTAGTAGAGTATATACAAAAAAACAAATTAAATATATATATTGCAAAAAAAAGATTGACAAATCATGCCTATAACTTGTGCCTTGATCTGTTTCCATCTCTCTCTTACCCTCTTCAGAGCCGTATTCCCAACCTGCAGGAGCAGATGAAGGCCAAGACCATTGACTGTGAGAGGTTCTCTAACTACCTGGTCAGTCTGAGAGAACACAAGAAGACACATGACCTCAAGATGCAGGAGATTGACCTTCATCTAGGTCAAATGGGTAAGAAGGACATCTGACATTTGCTCCTATCGCAAGTGCTCTGGGATTTATTTCGTCAAAAGTATGCGGTTGCGCTTTTAGGTTAGGTGTAGACAGGGCTCCATACAAACTGTTTTGGAAGGGGAACCAGATTGAACTTTTACAGTCTGTATGCATGAGCCCTACTTGTATGTTAAACATTTTGAAGTTTTCTGGTTCAGTCTTAGATAATTGAATTGTGCTCCGGGTGCATGTTTATGTCTAGCCCTAGTTTGGGATTCTTGTACATGTAGTGTCAGGTCCAGGGTTGAAACTGGGAGATTAGTGTACACAATCCTGGAGCAATGCCGCCAGAGCATGTATCTTAGCTCCACAAAATCATCCAGACAATCCGAAACTCTGGGTAAATGTGGGTAAATCTGACCATATTATCATATTAAGTCTTTAAATGTATTGTTCAACACTTAAATTCTAAGGCAGAATTTGCTGCCTGTGGCATGGAAAGAGTTAAGAATATTTGATTGATGTTTTTGGTTAGCAAATTTAAAGCCTGTCTGCCCTAGTTTGGCCGGGGGGGGGGGGGGGGGGGTTAGACCTCCCTGCAAGGTCACTGACAGGTGGTTATCTCATCAAATCAGCTCTTAATTAACATAAGAAAAAGGGGATCATGGGGGACCAACAGGCATCGATAAGGCATTGTTTGCTATACAGAGGGCGCAAGTAGCTATGAGTAGTGAAGTGGGGCTTTAATAGATTCATCTCTTTTTTTGGATTGTTGGGGAGCAGAGCTGGAGGAGTCTGAGCTGGACGGGACGATGGCTCGCCTGCAGTACCAGCTGGAGAACCAGGAGCTATCGGCGAAGGACGTGGAGCGCATGCAGACCGAGCTCCGCCAGGCCAACTCCAGTCTGGACCAGGTGGAGAGAGAGAACCAGGCCCTGGACCAGGAGATCTGGGCCGAGGAACGCAGCATTGCCAAGAAGCAAGAAGAGGTCAGTAGTCAATATGTAAAATTTTCTTTAGCACAGGTTTCAATGAGAAACCATTCTTAAGGAAAATGAAAATTGTGGTCTTCATAGATGGGTGATCGCTAGAAGAGGTCAGTGAAAGTAGTACAGTGAAACCTGTATATGAAGACTGCAAAAAGGAGACAAGAAAAGTGGTCTTTATAGGCAGGTAGTCTATATAAAGTAAAAGGTCCTTTAGTTCAGGTTTCAATGAGGAGCCATTCTCAAGGGAAATGAAAATTGTGGTCTTCATAGATGGGTGATCGCTAAAGATGGTTCGATTGTACAATTAAGTGATTAAACACTCCCGAAAGCGATCTAGAAGTTATTTTATTTGCTTGAAGAGAACCAGTACTTCCAGATCAATAGTGAGACTTAACTTTTCATTTGACATCAGTGCCAATTAGCACAGTTGTTTGTTTACCACACGTGCAGTTTCGCACAAAACAATAGGAACTAATTGACGGAAGGATTGCTTTCTGCTACACTAATGGCTTTGCGAAATCGCCAATTTCTTGATTAGATCCATGACAACCCTGTATAAAATAGTCTGGAGCAGTTAAATAATCTTGAAGTCTTTGGTTTATCTTCCCTGATATTACAGGAATGTGACGCAGAGATTATACGTGTGGCATAAAAAGAGTTGAAATTGTATTATTCCACTTTTTCATTTCAGCTTGAGAGGAAAGTAAACGCTTACAACAGCCTTGCTCGCAAACTGAAGCTGATTCCAGCCGATGCGGAGAATGCCCATGGCATCGACTACGAGCTCCGTCTCAACTTCCACTCCATCCACACCCAGCACTCACCCATGCTCGACTTCGTCAGCACCATAAAGGTAGGATCACATTGTCAGGGCTGCCAACCAGTACGATTTTATCGTATTTTGTACGAATTTTAGAAGTAAATACAACAGTACGATTTTCTCAATAAAACCGATTTCCAAACAACAACAAAAACACGAAAATTTAAACGAGCTTGTGTATTTTGTGTGTGTGTACCATTTTCAATGGCAAATTGAAATTGCCTATTTATGCCTGTAAAGTATCCTACAAATATCTCACATCAGCAATTTGGGGATGTTCATTGGTTCATTCGAACATACCAGTCATGACAAATTCATGCATATTCAACCAATGGTCCATTGATTTATTGAAGGATCATTCACGACGAATTCTTGCATATTTAACAAAATGTTTGTAAAATGTACTCATGCTTAATTCTTCAAAATATCGACGAACACAGTCTTACAAAAAGAAAGTACTTATTAATCAAAAAGGGGTTGGCAGCTCTGTTTATTATCTCTGTTTTGATATACCTTGTACCAGCGATGTTTATTTCCTCCTCTGACCCATCCCTCATAACTTTTTCTTTAATGCAATCGTCATTCAGTCTGTTGTATGTTGCATATTTTGATACAACAAGCACCAATTCAACTGAAAGAACAGAAACATATTTGTTATTTTAAGGGATGATTACTATTTCTCACCAATGTAAATGTTCTCCAGTCTATTGTATATGTTGTTTCAGCCTGCCTTGATTCAAATGAGAACAACGAAATCTATATATGAAGTAAAATATGAAAATACTTGTTTTCTCTGGTAGTTTACACCAATCACCATGTCCCACTGCAAATATAATTTAGTCTATACGTCATTTGTTTTCATTACAGCCTGCATTGATACAACTGAAGAAGAACATTAACAGTGAGGTACATAAACTCCACAGCCAGAGACTCAATGAAGAAGAAGCACATGATCAGGTAAGTGGTTTGATGTACAGGACTCTAGATTAGCAGGTCCAGGTTCAAATCTTAGCTGGAGCATTGAATGCCTGAGACAAAGCATTTAGGAACAATATTGTGTGGAAATCTTTATTCATATTTAAAATTCCTTTTGGAAGGTTTGTGTGAAAAAAATTGGTTTGCAAGAGAACATTGCAGTTCCCCGTATCTGTTTTCAGGAAAATTTGATTTGGTGTTTTATTGTGGTATACCCCTGTTTTGTTCCAACATGTTGTGAAGCGAACTGATGTAAAGTCTTCTTCAAGATATTCCAATGAAATATTGTCCAATTAGCCATGGCATGTTGACTTTTTTTTAAAGAGGGTTGGGGGGGGGGGGGGGTGAATTGGTAGGGGAATGGTCCAGTTTTTGCAATGGAATTGCAATTTATCTCCCATATTATTTTCTAATCATTGTAGGTTCAGTGGCAGTTGTAGTGGGCATTTCTGATATTGGTTTGTGTACTTTTTTGTTTTTTCTAGGTGAAAGAGATGACAGAGGGGAAGAGAGAGGAGATCAGAAAGCTGGATTCTCAAGTTCAAAGACTGGAGAAAGATGTCAATGCATTCAAAGAGGTGAGATGCCCATGGATATATATTGTCTCAAATGCAGATGTTAGCAATGTATTTTTATGACTGTTTTTCTTCATGCATCTTTTCATATGGTATATTTGTATTGTTTTTTATTTCCATTTTTTTCTAACTCCTGATCCACTAGTGTGCATTACTTACATGTGTGAGTCTGCCCAGCTAGAGCCAATATGAATGAATAATAATAATAGTAATAAATGAAACTTTATAGTGCCCAATCCACTCTGTGCGCTTGTTAAACAGGAGCGTTTTTACCTGATTTTTAAAGGAATTAGAGGTTGTTGACGTTTTCAGGAAGGCTATTGTATATCCAAGGTGTATATACTAGTTCTAAAGCACATTTGAAAAGACTGTAAGGTAATTGCACTGTACAGATGCCACTTATCTGTCCATTGTTTTCATGATGATCAATTCTTTCACTATGCATTGTCGTAGAAAACTCGTGATGAGACTCAAGCGATGACAGCCAGACTTTCCGACATCGAGCAGCAGAAGGAGATGGCAAGGGCGTCTGGTAGCACAGACATCGCTCAGACACAGGAACAAGTCAGACAGATGCAGTCAAGGTGAATAGTAGATGGATAAGATCATATGGTGTCCCATACGTTATTGAATATTGTATAGTTATGTACATAAATTGACATTAAAAAAGTTACATAGGACAATTTTATGTGTACCGGTAGATCATTTCTTTATATACCATTTAAAGTGATTTTGATTCTTTTATAGATCATTTTCAGACAGTTTCTTTTTATGTGCTCTTGGATTGAGCTTCCACGTTTTACTTGTTTATCACCTTTGCTGGATGTCTTCCGAAAATGTCTAAAAACTCTCCTCTTTGACCATAATTAACAACAGATTCTTTGATTATTTTTAAGAAGAGCGCTGTGAAACAACAGTTAGTTTGTAAGAGCGCTATAGAAATGAATGTATTGTATTGTATTGTATTGTATGTATTCCGATGTATTTCTGTCATCATATGTAACTGTTTCCTTCAGTTCATCAGATTTTCTTGTTTTTTAAAGTTCCGAATAATATACTACATCTTTGTTTTTTTCTATATAGATATGAAGAAGGCTGCCAGAACATGCAGATGGAGAGAGAGAATTACAATAAGTTCCTCACTCAAGTGTGCACGATGATATTGGAACACAAGACAAAATTACAGGTCAGTTTCAATCAATCGTAAAAATATATCTCCAATCTTGCTGTAATTAACCGTATCTTCCCATAATTCGATCTATTTGTAACATAAAATTAAATTGTAACTTGAATTTGTTGTAAATTTACAATTGGTTGAAGGAGATAAGATTAATTGAAGGAAATACATGTACGATTAATAGTAGCTCTTTATGTTTTTACACAGCCCAGGACATTTTTCTTGTTTTTTCTATTTTGTGATTGCTTTGCATTGTTCTTCCTTGCTACTTCCATAGAAAAAGAGCATACATACAAGGCCAAACGTGTGTTGGTCTTGTACAAATATTGGGAGGATGTTACTCTAATATATGATGAAGAGTTGAGAATAATAAAGAGTATCTAGACACAAACCACTGTGCGGCATTTAGTTGTATCTCAAATGATATGATACATGAGTCAATGACCTTTGCATCCTACCTACCCCATTTAACACCTGGATGCATGAAGAGAAACAATGTCTCCCTCTATCGCTGATCAGAAACACAAGCTAACTGTGCTATGCTATAGCCATTATGCTAGCGAGCTAGCTATATAGCTATCACCACTTATCCTCCTAAATATTCCAATGTAAATAAAAATGCTTTGCTATTAAGGACATGAATATTTTAATTAACATATTTATTGTTTCTACACAGAATCATGTTGGGCATCTACAACAAGAAGCTCACAACCACCTTGAAGTCATCAGAGGTATGGAGTTTCCACAGCATCCTAACCCGTCCACGTAAATACTCTCATAGAGAGATGACGGTACGCCATTGATAGCTATTTTAGCCAGCTTCTGCGTTAGCATGTAAGGAAGTCCTCCCATTGAAAACGCTTGTAGAAGATGGTGATCATCGATAGCCAATTTAGCCAACTTCCAACGCTTTCTTCATTACAAATTAAGAAATACAGTCAAACCGGCTTCTGCAATGGCATGTAAAGAAGAACTCCCCCCATTGAATACTATCATAGAAGATGATTCATCGTCGAAAGCCAATTTAGCAAACTTCCAGCACTTATATTCAGAAATACAGTCGAACCAGCTTCTGCGATGGCATGTAAAGAAGAACCCCTCCCATTGAATACACTCATAGAAGATGATGTGTCGTGTATAGACAATTTAGCCAAGAATTGTATTAGAACCTGCTTCAGGGACCATCTGTCCATCAGCATTTATTCATTGCAGGCCTGATTTATTGTTTCACTTTGGTTCCCTTCTCATTACAACATGTGACATGATGATGGAACTCATATTAGGAAGTCCACCTGCCTAGAAAGACTGCTTTTTTTGTCTCCCTCAGGTGGCCTTTCTATACAGACTCTACATTATTTGTATGATAATTATTAGGAGGGAGGAATCCCGTAATTTTTAACATTGTTTATCAGTCTGATCTATAGTCGATTTGAAATCAATGATTTCAGTAATCATTGTAGTAATGCAAACTAAAATGTATTTGTATAAAAAAAATAGAAAGGCCTTTATGTATGTATACAAATAATACAATGTTTATGTGTGTCTGTCAGTAGAGAGATATATATATATTTTTTTTTTCTTCAAACGCTCCTTTTAATTTGGATTAACTTTTGTAGTAGTCAATTTTTTTTTTCCAGCGACGATGTGAATGAAAAGCAAGTTTAAATTCAAGTTGATGCATTTATTTCAAGCAATGGTGAAAATATTGAGATGATCCCAAAATGCATGTATTATGTATAATTTGGCAGAACCGCTTCTCGTTCATTCTTTAAAGCCACATTGTACTACTTGTAGCTACCTGCTCCCTCTATATAGAAAACAATGCCTAATCAGTGCCTGTTTTTGTTATGTTAATTGAGAGCTGAGTTGATTAGATAGCTACCTGTCCACACTGGTACAGATGGCCTTTAACAGAAAGTGTGTTTTTCCCCCATCAATAATCAAGACTTTATCAATTTTGATATAACATATTGTACAGATTACTTTTTAATATTGTTCTGTACGTAAGATTATTCCATGAAATGCACTCTGTGTGATATTGGCTGCTGGAGCTAAGCATGGGTAATAAATCATTTCCAAAGCTCCGTGGAAGGGCAAGGGGGACATTATATCATAATGTGATATGCATTATACAAGAACAGAATATTATTACAGTGATTTATTATTGTTGTTGTACACACTACATGTATTTGTAAATAGACAACTCTTTGTAGAGTATTTGTAGTGATTTTGTGTACAGTGTTTTAAACTTGCAGGCTTGTTATCAATTTTCCATGTTATATTAATTAGTGATTAACTGTACATACATTAGATATGACCCACTTTGTATATTGTGTAAATAAACTGCAGTACATTTATTATGAAATATTTGTGTGTTTGGATTTAATTCAGCTATTTCTATGCCTTAAGCTTTTAAAATATATTCAGAAATGCATTTATTTGAAAAAGGATGACTTTCTTAGCTATGAAACTCCATCAAGGATAAAACAGCCTTATAATGCAGACAAAATGTATACACAATTTTGCATATAACTTCCTTACAATTCGATTGTTATTTTTTGTGAGAGAGAGAGGTAGAGAAGGGGGATAGATACACACACACACACACACACACAGAGGGCAAGAGAGAGAGAGAGAGAGAAAGGGGTAAGGGCCCGAAGAGAAAACAAAAAGAGAGAGATAGGGGATGGGGAGAGGACAACTATAGAGAGTAAGCATATACATGTACATAGAACACAAACAGAGATGAAGATAAAGGAGAAATAGAAGAGATGAAAATACAGAAAAATGAAAGGAAGGCAGAGAGAAATTAAAGAAAATAGAGAAATTAAAGAAAATAAATCGGGGGGAAAAATGATAAAAGAATGAGAGTCGGAAAAGAAAATAGAACAGAGAGATAATGAAAATATAATGAAGGATAACAAAATTATATAAACACGAGGAGTTATAATTCTTCAAGGACCACCAAAAATGGACCAGCCTTCAACAGTCTACCATCGACCAAACCACGTCTCGGTCATTAAAATATGATGTTCTTTTAGAACTTTCAGATTCTACCTAATATAAACCCTCCACTACGTCTAGTTAAAACTTAATTTCTGAATATTTAGGAGGATAACGTATCTGGCTAGCTCGCTAGCGCTGATCAGCGATAGAGGGCGACAAATATTGTGTATAGTTACCACACCAACAACAACTCCAGCGTCAACTCTTAATTTTATGAGGTAGGAATTTCATGTTTTACAAGTTTTTATACTCTTATTGTGTTTTATGGCACCCTTTTGTATTTACTAGAAAGTTCCATTGATTAATTTTGCTAAAGGAAGTTTACTTCCGTGAGTTTTTGTGCATCAAACAGTAGAACTAGTAGAAGGCAACTTCGGCAGTCGGGGTAGCCGTAACTTGACTCGGCTTGTACGCCTAAACTCTGGCTTAGTGTCGTAGCAAGGACCTTGGCCCTAGGCTGATTGTTTGGAGAGGGTGCGGGTGCGAGGTTTTGAGAAAGAAAAAAAACAACATGTAGACCTAGAATCTATATAGATCTACTATGCTCTAAAGTCTCTGATCGGATGTGTCCTTTTTATTTTCGTAAACCAATTTGTTTGTTAGGTAATCAAGTGTTTTAGACTTTTTGCCTCATATTCATAAGTAATAGATCTAGGTCTAACGTTAGAGGTAGACTAGACAGTAGACTAATTGTTGTACTTTTTCTAAACATTCTTATTCTAAAAATTCTTATTCTATGGACTGGAGTTTGGCCTTGGCTTTGGGGATATTTCAATGCTGTCTAGCTATGCTGGCCTAGGAACATAGGCCTGGCTATGCTTATGAAGTTATGGGTGGTTGTCTTTGTGAATTGTCTGTTTGGATGCTTTCAAAAATATATCCTTCTCTTTTGCTTTGCTTTGCTTTTCAAAAATATATCCTCTTTTGCTTTTGAATTTAATGAAAAATATGCTTAAAATAATGCCATAAATAATGCCATAAATAGTTGACATTCATTTCTTTTTTCTTCGACCCAGTAATCAGTATGGCAGCTACAAAGCCCCCCGTAAGCCAGCGTCGGATGCAGCCAACCAGTTTTGCCCTAGAGGGTCGGCCAATGTCCAGTGAATCACTTAGTACCATCCGCAGGAAGTTTCTCACCGCTCCTATCCCAGAACCCCCTCCTGATGATGATCAAGATGAATTCCACAGACCACCAAAGGTTCCTTTTTTGTCTTTTTCTTTCCAACAACTGATATCTTTAAACACTTCTTTTTTGTTTAACCCTGTTTATGTTCACATTATGTTTGTAGCTGCTAGAAATGAAATTACTGAACCATGATTAACACGATGATGAACACACTCCTATGAGTTTATGGTACCCATCAGAATTCCATTAAGTATTGGGACCTTCCTCTATATATTGATGCAAAACACATCTCCTCCTTTTTGATCAACTATTTGAAGAGATCCCACAGCCTCTGTTAAGTGACCTTCACCCCCTGCATTTCTAAACCTGCACCTGGTAAGGGTTATGTTTGACATACCTTACAACTGGGATAGAACTTTCCCAGTTGGCAATCATTAAATTATCTGTGTTTTTTTTACTATATGTGCAGAGATTCTTATTTTAAAGACTGAGTTGCTCATTTTCCAGTTATATCTGTTCACTTGTGTTAAACTCCAAAATTAAATGGCCCATTGTAATGTAAGTCAAGATGATGTCATGAGAGTATGTTTGATTCTTCCATATCTACAGGTCAGCAGCGCAAAGGGGAAGAAAAAGAAGAAAAAGAAGGTCAAGAAGGAATCATTCGATCTGGACATTGACGTGAGAGAGAAAGAGAGACTTCAGGAATTAAAGGAGGTAATATTTCTTGATTTCAGCATTCATTTAGTTCTACCTAGTTTTCCAAATCAATAATAGTGGTTACAATGTAGAGGTATATTTTAATGAACTTTTAGATGAAAAGTCAAGAAATCCTGCAATTGTGGAAAAAAGAAATAAACCATATTACAGGTATTGTACACTGAACATTAATTACCAGCGACAAAAATGTTATATACATCAAACTCTGATTTTGTTCTTGTTAAAAGATCAATAGATTATCTATTAATAAACCTCTTGATAAGAATCTGTGAAACAATATGCAAGATATTACAGTCTTTATCTTTATTGTCATATGTAAATCTATGTGAAAATATAAACTGCAAATAGCATTACTGTAGAGAAGCATCATAATTGAGTACTTTTATTCTAAACTTTGTGCAGAATTTTGTTATGAAGAATTTCAAAAAGTTTTTGCTGCCTATTAACAGGCATCATAATATACTAGTGAATCCTCACAACATATACTGTGATGAAACAATTTACTAGTATTCCTTCTTTATATCAAATCAAATTTATTCTACAGTCTAACAAATTTATTCAAGAAAACTTCTACAATATTTATTTTGAACATTTTGATATACATATGTGGATAATTGTTTTAGGAACATTTTCATTTTATGCATGGGAATGACTTTGGAGTTTGGATCATTAAATTAATTCATATTTTACATTAACAATTATATTTATTTAACCGAGTTGACAATTTCCATTGCATGTTGCATGAACGAGTAATTTGTTTTCCTGCCCGAACACCCTTGTTGACAAACATTTCCATCCCATCCTCCTCCCCCAATGAAAAAATAAATAAATTTGTAATACCACTGATTGTTTCTCTGGAAATCAGTGGTTGAATACGGACGCTGACAAAAGTGGAATCCACCATGAGTTGAAGATAGCAATGTTGGTAAGAGCATGTTTTTGCGCACCATGCCCATTGTATCACTTGTATGTAACACATTGCACCATTGATGTACTCTCGATCTGCACTCATGTTGTACAGTGAACTTATTGTCACAATGTGTCTGTATGTGTGTATTATTGGGTTTTTACAGATGCTTATCAATCAGAAATGATTATTTATGTTTTGGACGAACTTTAATGTCACCATCAGAAAGACGTGACTCTGTTTCTATGAAAAAATGACAGATTTTGTAATTTTGAAACCATTTGACAGACATCTTGTATTTATCATGATTTAATGTAAAAATACAGCACTGTATATTTTATAGGTGTATGAACATAGAGAATTATCCTGTCTTGTTACCCTCAAAGAGATCCATTAAAGCATGCTCCTGTCCTCAGTAATATAATGTACCTATTTTGTGAGTCTATGTATTTCATGTTTCTTCTCACATTCTGTTATTTTGTAAATGGTACAATAATTTGTTGCTATTAGCGCTCCTAAATAATGTACATTGTATGTTATTGGTATTATCATTAACATACATGTAATAAGTTTCTGTGCACAAATACTCATACTAACCAATCACACCGGTTAATACTACCCCTTCGACTTCTGCACAAATACGGAACGCCCTTTGCAATTCATTTCACACAAACCCAGATTCCCTTCCTTATTCATCATTATAATACAGACTGATACCCTCCCTCTTCTATTCAAACCTGGTAAGACCATCGGCCCTACCCCTTTCCAATTCACACTCGCATAGAGACCCATGTCCTTGGGCCATCAAAGCACATCTTTCGTCACTCTCATCAGTTTTATCTACGAGATCTATTTATGCACATTTTAATCATCCAATTATGTTGTCGTCATAGTAATTTGATAATCAAGTTATTCCATTATCATATCCTGATTTAAATGAAATTATCCAATATGTAAAAATGTCAATCGACTGATACTTCCAGTCATTTTCTAATCAAAGACTGTCACAATGGATCTAATTAATTGTATTCGATACCACTTAGTTTAATCAGCAAAATTAGAAATTTGAATTACCGGTAAGGGTATATAATTCTTTTAAAAGTCCATCTTTAGTACATTTTGAAAAGCTGTTGATCTTGGTATTTTACACTTGGTGGATGCGAGTACCCCTCTATCTCTATCTTTCTTTCCTCCTCTCTCTTTTCTCCTCTCTCTCTCTCTCTCTCTCTCTGTTTCTCTCTTGCTCTCTTTCTCTCTCTCTCTCTCTTTTGAACCATCTATCAGCGACTACAGATTAATAGTGATACAAATGGTTGGTTACTAAATCTGTAAGAATGCATTATTTTATATTTGTGATACAGGTGCTATAGTAACATAATAAAAGATTTTGTCATTGCACCATTTTCTTATGTTCATATGTGATATGGCACATTTTGTTGTTGTTATTGTTGTTGAATTGTTGACTGATATGCAGTATTCATTTTGATTATTTTACATTGCATTGTTTATTTGTTGGATACATTACATACCTTCATATGAATGATTGTTTGATTATTTCTGCCTAGATTAACAGGAGTAAATATTGGCTTCAAGATAAAAAATGAAAAAAGTAAACTTTGATAAGATGTACTGTGCTGATGGCATGATGAAATTAGGCAACTCTATGAAAGAGTGTATGAGAAACTTCATGTAGTTATAATGTTAGCGACACTTTTATTTTCAATTGTATACTGTTAACCATTTTGTTACAATTATAACATTACAAAATATAAAAAATGGGGGTCTTTATTCTGCTTTAATATATAATAAAATGCAATTACTGAAATCATAATGAACAAAGATTCAATAGAATAATGTAATAAGATTAATTTTTAGTAAAAGCTCTCTATACTAAACTTTATCACAGCATTTACAAAATTGATAATACATAGTATATTATTGAAAATTAACAAAGGCAGTCTGGAAAGTTGTACCTGTAAATAATGTATTACGCCTAGTGGGAATACAAATGTAATTGGTTCATCTTTCATCCTTCTAAAGAAACACATGAGGGTTTTGGATGATCTGGAAAAGCTGAAAGCCCATTACTATCTGGAGTACATGGACGCGCTCACGGACAAGGTGGAGGACCAGCGAAAAGATATTCAAAGGAAGAGTGAGCAGTCTATCAAACGCAGACTGAAGAAGGAGAAGAAACAGGTACTGTGCATTTTATTCATTTTATTCATTGGCCTGGGGCTATATCAATTAGTTTTACAAAAATATAATATTTTCCATGAACCATTTTTGGTTTTTATGTCTTTTCTTGATGATAGTGGTCGCCAAAGTATCATACCTGCAACTTGGACTTGATTTTTTTTCTAATGTTTTCTTGAATACTTGGGGCAATTCCACGGTAACGGAAGGACACTCAGACAAGATTTTTGAACTTCAGGTTCATACTAAAAGAAATGTTTTATTAGTATGTATTAAACTATGGGGAACAAAATGTGTTTCAGTCAAGTGGAAAGCTTCATCAACTTCACAAAGTTTGGATAAACACTAATTAACTGGAAAAACCATGTCCATTTTTATGTCCTTCCGTTACCGAGATAATTAATATACACATTCTTAAACTACTTAACTATAATGACAATTTTTTTGGGAGAATTAAAGGCACTTATATAGGTATTATATCTGTACTGTTTCACATCTTATACTAATAAAACAGTTCTTTTAGTATGAACCTGAACTTCAAAAATCTTGTCTGAGTGTCCTTCCGTTACCGTGGAATTGCCCCTTGGGTTACTTTGTTTTTTATCACATATTCAAATTTCAAGCATATTCATGCTCTCACAGACTGCATAATATTTCTAATGTGGCTAGAGTATGAAGTGGCTCTTTATGCAATTATTGTATCTAGCTCATATTACAACATCAATTGTCTCTTTGTTCTCGAAAATAGAAAGTATGATACGGTCTGAAATGAACTAAGTTCAAGGTTAAGAGAGACGGGTCTATCCATTGATTTTTATCTCTTGATACATTAAATTAATTTATATCTCTTGATATATCTTGCTATAAATTCTCTCACTCACTTTCTCTATCTCCATCTCTCTCTTTGTATCACTGTGTCAAGAAGCTAATTGCCTGGTCGCTCTTTTGTTTTCTTGTTTGATATTATTTATTTATTCATTATTTATTCAAGTTTGATTTAAAATAGAGGGTAGGTACATTTATTAAAAGAAACTGCTTTCAAATTACGCTCTCTACTCGAGATTTGATTTGGTTCTTCTTCAATGTTTGATGCTTCACTCACTCCCTATTTGTACCTTGTTGTCCACAGCGAGAGGCAGCCCAGAAGGCTAAAATCCAGATGCACCATCCCGAGGTCTCCACCGATAATACCTTCCTGAGGGGCCTATCGAAAACAAAGTTTCATAATGTGAGTAGATCGAGTGAAGCCTCCCTAGCTTTAAGGGTTGTTCAGATATGCAATGATAAACACCTTTAAGTATGTGTCAATGAATGGCAACTGTGTGCAACAAAAGTCCTTACCATATTCACTGAGCACAATGTGTTTTATGCAAAATGTATTACCTTTGAAGCGTATTCCATTTTACGTCGTCAAAAAAAATCTCCCTGGCTTTTGCCGCGCCATATCTGAACGAGGCATGAGTGACCACCTGTATAGAAAGACCACTTTTTATGAAGACCAGTTTTCAATTAGAAATAATGCATGGCAGCGATTAGAAAAAATTATGGAGTTGCGTGGCATAGAATTATATCAATAGGTACAATTACTGAATGAAATTGAAGAAAGAAATATTAATAATGAAATAAAGCTAAGTGTATACGATATTAATTAGTACAAAGTGAAAAAGAAAGAGAAGTACAGATGAAATTATGCTGATGCGTTCTTGAAATTTTCCTTTTTCATTCCAGATTGTGATTTTACAAGGCCATCTTGCCAGGGAGGGGCGTCTGAAAACAGACGAGCATGTGAGGGCCTACTGGGAGCAGATGAGCAAACCGGAGAACTACCGGAAGATCTTCGGAGAGGAAGGGACGGACCACCAGGACGGTGCTGAGACCAGCTTTGGGACCAAACCTACAAAGAGAGAAGGGGAGACGATGCCTGGGAGTGATGCACTCAGCCAAGGCACCGGTATGTCGTTAACCCTGTATTATCATAGAATGAAGATGAATATGTGAGGGAAGTAGTCTTCTTATTGTCAACATCCTAGACTACATACCTGTAACTTAGTTCAAAGAGAATTTAATGTGTTTGTGTGGGTGGGTGGGTGCGTGGGTGGGAGGGTAACAGGGGGTTCATAACAACTGTACCCTTATTTTGACAACCACTCGCAAAATGAGGACATCTTCAGTTCAAGAAAATTGCAAAATTGTTTCAAATTTGAGGCCCTTTCATATAAGGGTTCTTTTATTTAGGTGCTCTACTTGTAAAGGAAAAATATATATTTTTTTTAAAATCAGTAAAGGCAGTAAATTTCCAGGTCATTCTCAGGATGTTCTTTTAAACATTTGAGCCCACGATTTGTGTGCGCACATGTGTGTGTAGGGGTGTGTGAGTGCACTAATGAAATAAAGGTAATTAATAACCATAATTATTTAATGGAAAAACTGTTGTCAGTATTCATTTTTTTCTTCATAGTACCCTGCAAATCCTGCAACATTGGAATTGCATTGTAGCTCTAAGTACAGATATTTTAATAATTAAGTTATTACTTCACATTTTAATGATGTATGCACATGTTTTCATTTGTTTCTCTCCACTTAGCATCCGAGTCGATCCCTGAGAGCGGTTCTCCGTCGTTGATGTCCCTCCGCCAGCTGGATCCCCTGAGCCTCCACCATGCCTACCTGGATCAGATCCAGGAGGTTAAGGAGCCCTCCAGGCCTAACTCCATGGGAGCTCCTTACCTCCAGTCATGGATCCAGCAGCCAAAGATAAAGAAGGTACAGTCTTTGGTTCATGTCTATTTGTATGTTTAATTTGTCTTGATTATATAATAATGATAATATAAATAATAATGATGATGATGAGAGCTACAACAACACCCACAGCAAAAACAACAACAGTAATAATTAATTATTATAATGATTATAATCATAATTATCATTATAACAGCTACTTTTATATTGGGCATGCATCCATCCCAGGGGTTGTTTATTAAAGGCACCTACAACTCTGGCTTTAGCCCAGCTGCCCTAAGGCGCTAAAAGCAACCTCCCACTTTTTTCAGGTATTTGTCTTCATTATATGATAATAATAAGAACAACAACAACAATAATAATAATAATAACATCCATATTTATACTGCACTTGCATCCATCCAAGGGGATGCTCAAGGAGCCTACAAAGTACTGTCATATACACTTGCTTTAGCCCAACTGCCTGAAGGCACTCAAAGCATTCAAGGAACAAATTCCTACCAGGTACCCATTCACTACACCTGAGTGGAGAGTTGGAAAATGTAGATTAATGTCTTGCCAAAGGAGAACAATGCCATGGCCAGACTCGTACAACAAAACATGATATCCACAGTCCAGTGACATATCCACTTGATCATGAAACACGTATATACCCACATGTTGTGTGTCCGGAGAAGCTGTGTCCATACAAACAGATCATTTAAATCACTACTTTGACAAAACGTAAGGAATGGACAATAAAGCAATAATACAAAGGTTTTTCTGTAGAACAACTGTGTGTGGTTAATCGATATTTGTTATGATTTGATTTTTCCCATCATTGCTGTGCAGAAAGCTGTACAGGCACTCATCATCAAGAAGCCAGTTCATCCAAAGGTCCTGGAAATGGAACAGAAATGTCCAAGGGTAAGTATTGCTGTTGTACCCATGCATGTTTCATTTTCTCCTCAACCTCCTAACTTTCCTTCCCTCCTCTCCTCTCTCTCTCTTTCTCTCTCTCTCTCTTTGTCTATGTCTATCTGTGTTCATGTCTCTCTCTCTCTTTCTCTCCTATCTCTGTTTTCTCTCTTTCTCTCGCTCTTTTTCTTTGTGTGTATGACTCTCTCTTTCCTCTGTTTTTTCTTTATTTGTTTTCCCTCACCCTCAGTCTTTATCTCTGACTCTGACCTCTTCCAAAAAGTAATTTGATCTTTTCATTCTCTTTCCTTTGTATCTAGTTCCCTTCTATTTTGCTTGCCATTTTCTTTCTCATCTTTATTTTGGTGTTTCCTCATCTTTCTATTCTCTACCTTCTGTGTCTTTGATTTTTTTCCGATAAACTTGTTTGTTTTCTCTTGTATATTCTTTAATTTTTCTTTCGCTTTTGTTGTCTCTATTTTGTCTTGACTGTGCATTTATAATCAGTTTAAATTTGTATGCTATTATTCGCTTCTTTTCTTGTTTTTTTCACCCTTATTTTCTTTCTTTCCCTATCCAATATGAAAAGTTTATATATTATCTTTCTTTCAAAAAAAAAAAATCTTCTTTCAGGTTGAATTCCCTAAATTGGCAGCTTTCACCCTTGACCTTGAGCCTCCAAAGGAAGATCCTGAAGTGGAATTGATGCGAGAGGAATTCCGATCTAGAGCTCGTCTGCGCAACGCTGAAAACAGTAGACTTCGCAAGATGTACCAGTCTTCGCTCACCAACAATGCTGCTACGCAGAGGTGTGTTGTGATCAATAGTGAAATAAACAATGAGACTCGATTTAAATTATAAGATGATAATTGAGTAAGCAATACAAAGCGGTACCGGTATATGGTTTTACATTGAGACTCGGGCCTATTTAAAGTAAATGAAATTTGAGCAACAACAAAAAAAGGAGGCAAAAACAGCATACAATTTCAAATTGTTACAATGTGCAGGTGGCTGCATTGTGTCTTTCATGAAGAAATAAAAGGAAAAAAATGAACAGTATCGGGTATGTGGCTTGTTGCAGTGTCTTTCATGATGAAACGCAAACTGAGACTCTGGATCCGTTAAGTATAAAATGATTGGATGATATTTGAGCAAACAAAGCAAAAAAGAACAGAATGTGATAATGCATAATTATAATAATAATAATAATAATAATAACGTTTATTTAACCAGGGTAGCTACTTCAGTTATGAAACTGTTCTTCCAGTGGGCCCTGCATAACATAATGTTATTACTACCCTTCTCTAATCTAATATGCTGAGGCGCCTAGCTAGAAGGCAGAAGGTCCCATTGTTATAAGTCTTTGGTATGACTCGGCCGGGGTTCGAACCCACGTTCATGAGGCGGGCGCTCTAACCACTGAGCCACCATATCTTTCATGATGAAACACATTATACTGAGACTCCAGATCGATAAAGTATACAATGATTTGATGATATTTGAGCATTCAAAACAGAGAAATAGTACATGTGATTTTTCCATTTATCTTCATCATGAAATGTGCATTGAGACCTGGGATTTTTAAAAGTCTAAGATGATAATTAGTACACAGAGCAAAGAACAGTATGGGGTCTAGCATTATTTCTTTCATGTGTTTCTCAACAATAAAATATGTTACTCTGTCTTTAATTTTTTATCTGCAGAATATTTGACATGAAAGATGAATTCAATACGGTGCTGAATGGACCATCATTAGGTGATGTGGTGAGTTTGGTTTCTTTGTCTCTCATTTGTTACAATCACTTCAGTCATATTTTTTATTGATATTCGGTCAAATTCAGTCATATAAACACAACTCTATATACCTTTTTTAGCCAGTTCTGGTTCAAATATTTCATTAGTAATCTATTGTCATGCTCTTTTTTCTTCTTCAAGTGAACAGTTCATCTGTTAGTATAAACAATTTTTTGTTTACTTCTGCAACACAGTATTTGAAGAACAGCACAGAAAGAAATAACTGTAAATATCAAGAAGTTTTTTCTCTTTTAGTATTTCACTCCAGAAATTATTTTTTTATTCTTGGTTATCTCTCCAAACATACTTCAGATATGACACAAAATCTAGCCAAAATGCAATGTAGGCCAAATAAAACATTTTTCATGTTTTCCATCTTTCTTTTAATAAATAAGCTCTATGCTCAGGACCCATCAGACCAACTGTTCAACATGGCAAGAAGAACGTCAGAGGAGGTGGAGGAGGAGGAAGAGGAGGTTGAACGAACCGAAAGGCTTGCCCTGCTTCCTCCCGATGCCTCGCCCCATCATCAGGGGAACAGACGCAGTGGAAGCAACCCCGGGAGACCAAGTCCGGGGTTTGCCGGCATCGAGAGGATATCGGAAGAGGGCGATTTGGAAGAACAGGAGGATGATGAGGAGGAGGAAGGAGATGAAGATGGAAGGTTCATCATCTATAGCAGTAGGTCATCGAGCAGACGAAGCTCGCTGACGTCTACTCAATCAGATAGAAGGTAATAGTAATTCCTTGATATTTGCTACCTTAGTACATTCTATATCTCTGTTTTCAGAGTATGTTTCAAGGGAAAATCCTTATTTTTCTAGAAATATAAACTTGCTCCAATTTTGAAAAGAAATGTATGTATACGGTGATGTGACAAAAAAGGTTGTTTCCTTGCCTGTTTAGATATATCAGTTGACCTGGAAATGTAAACTAACATAATTTGTTTACATCATGTGTTCATTGTATCAGTAAGATGCGAAAGTTAATGTGGTTAGATTGGCAAGCTTGTGTGCGCTTGTAAAATGACGCCTGGCTGGAATGCTCCCCAAGGAGTGGAGAATGTGCATACATTGTGTGCGAGTAAGCCTGAATCCAATGACCGGGGTAACAGTATATATCCATACATGCCAACTGTTCAGATTAAAGAGGAACATTCCTCTTTTTGGGAGAAGATAATTATCATTTTAATGCAGGTGTTCCTCTTCCTGTACAAATTTGTCTGTAGTATTGAATAGGAGAGTTAGGATTGTTCCTCTTTTTTTTTAAAATAGCATAATTTGTACAGATTTCTGATTTTCAAATGTTGGCATGTATGTATATCTGTAAAGCGCTTTGAGAGGGCCTGCGGTCCTGAAGTGCGCTATAAAAGAAAAAACTATTGTTATTATTATGATCAGTAGAAGAATGCATATTCTTTTCTGATCAATATTCCCTCTCATATTCGGTGTACCATCTGTATTGATTCTTAGTTCTATAACACCCTGTTTCTTTTGATTCTCTTTGCAGGAGAAACATGCCAGTGACCCCTGAGCCTCCTCAACCATTCCCTTTGACCTTAGATGCAGTGATGGACCACACTGACACCAAGGTATGTTTTCTTAGTGAGATTAGTAGGGGGTGTTTCACAAAAACTCAGATCGACTTTAAGATCGACTGAACTATGGCAGACCATTGATGCCACTGGTTGCTCTCACTATTGGTCTCTAAATTATGATCTTTAGAGAATATTTTTTCCTTCAATAATGCCAACATGTTACCTTTTTATTTTTCTCACATTCCATTCCTTGGGTTCCCTGTACTTCCTTCCCTTCTTTTCTGTTCTTCCTAATTTCTTTCTATCTTTTATCTGTTTTCCCTTCCAGGTTGTAAAACGTCCAAGTGCATTGTGGGTCAACTATGGCAAGTTTCTTCCCCCAGTGAAATGATAGTTGGAAGGTTCCATCAGTCAGAAGAAAGACTGGACCATTTATTATCATGCTACTTACTGGCATTTTACTGCTGAAAGACACGATTCTTTCTTGACGTTTAAACTAAAAATTCTCACAGGAGATAAGGATGGGTAGATTGAACTGGTATGGCTAGGCTAGGAAAGAAGAAAGCCATTACATAGGTTGCAGAAAGACATGGGTTTTCAAGGTTGCTGGTTCAATACCCTGTGGCAGACCACGCACAAAACTTTGAAGGAGACCGTCAGAAGAAGTCTGGCCTCACCCAGGTGGATGCTAAAGACCAGGGGGGCGTTTCACAAAGCCTTCTTTCAATCACAAATAACACAAATCAGTGACAAATCTGCTGATAACCAATCAGAAGCAAGGAGTTCAGTAGCTTATAACAAAAACTGTCATTTGTCACTGATGACAAGTTTTGTGAAACACTCCCCAGAAGGCTTGAGGAAGGATCATAAGGAAATGGAACAGCCAACCCCACAGCGTCGGAAATAAGAACTAAATCACTCGTACCCTTTCCAAGTTTTGTAATTTTTAAAGTATGTGAAAAATTGATTCCTCCCAATTTATGAGAACATGACATGTTACAGCTTACATCTAAAGGTGTTCAACAAAGGCCTTGGTTCAACAAGAATTGATAAATACTCCATGATTGTAGCTTCAGCAGGAATTTTACATACAATTATTCAAATCATTCAGTTATTAACTCTTTATATACCACACAAATAATCTCCCTGTGCTACATTGTATTCATCATGGAAAGATATTATACCAAAGATTATTTTTACTGTTTCCGGTGCAAGATTAAACCTTACCAGTGTTGACAAGGTTGTCATGGAGCTAATCAAGACCGGTAATGGGTAGAAAGTTTTGCAATGGCCCTGTGTTGCGAAGGGGAGGGAGGGGGGGGGGGTACCGTTTAGAGAGGCAAAGAAAGACACTAAACTGCTGTAAGCAATTTAAAAAAAATGGAAATATTTTTAACATGAGCAGAATTATTAATGTTTTACTTTCAGATCTGATATGTGAATAGTTAATCGCATTCCATTCCTCTCACATTCCATCTCCTCCTTTTATGATTGTATTTGTCGTATTGGTACCTCCAGGCGCGTACGCAGGGAGGGGGGTTTGTATTTTTGTATGTGTGTATTTTAGAGGAAACCCCCCCCCCCTTGTTTTTTTTTAAATTTTTTTAAAAAAATAATTATTAAAAAAAGAAAGAAATTACGCAAATGGCTGACCTAAAAAAGGTGACATAAAAAAGTGTCGTCTTACCCCCCCCCCCCCCGGCTTATTCAGCAACTGACTAAGTCGTTGCGAAATTTTCGGCCTGATTTTAAAAAGTTAAAACCCCCCCTTGAAAAAATCCTGCATACGCTACTGGGTACCTCATCTACTCATCCCTTTAGCTTGCCATTCCTATTCGAATTGCTCTCTCTGGATTGCTGTTCTATAAATTGTTTTGATAATATAAACTTGCTTTAATATAAATCGGCACTTTTTAGTCCCTTTCCACTTCATGTTTTAATGATTGTGTAGTGGATTTTATCATAACTGCAATGTTCAGAGCATGAGAAGATGCATGCAAAGTCTTCAAAGAAACATGATATTCCAATGAAGTCTTTGATCAGTATTTATTACAGCTATTTGTTATGCTTACGAATGTACAGGTAATAAAGCATATCTATTGACAAATCAAGATACATTGCGAATATTTTGATACTGGCAAACGATTATATTGGTTTTTATTAACTCTTGTGTGTGAGGTATTAAAGATTTTAAGCATGAGAAATAAGTTTAAATATCATCAATGAAAATGAATTGTCTCCCATGTGTTGCTTTCTGTCAAGGAAATTGTGAAAGTGAGTATATGATGATGTTGATACATAAAAAGGGATGATGATATAAAAAAATGACTTCATCATGGTGATAGTAGTTAAACGGGCACTTTTGGGGTACTTAAAAAAGTGGGCAGGTGCACTAGCTGTGTCCCCAGCTACTGGGGATCATTGGCGTGCAGTTCTTTGTAAAATGTGGGCACATAATCGTCGTACTGGGCGACGTAGAAGTTGGCAGCCACCGGTTTGCCGAGATCATGTTCCGATGCGAAACGCCTGGCATTCCATCTGATTCGCCGCTCGCTGTTGCGGGGTCTGTAGGCATCCTCCCCCGAGGGTGGGGTCATGTGACCAGGTTGCCGGTAGACCAGAAATATATACCGATGGAGACCTATTAAATTTAAAGAAATAGAGGGAAGTTGGATCAGAAAAAAGGAAGGATGATATGAGAAAAGAAGAAACGGCCTGTGGTAGATCTGTCCTTGTCAGAGAATTTTGGACTTGTCCCCACCCCCCCCCCCCCCCTTATGGCCTAGGGACAGCGTCCACCATGCATTAGCTAAATGGGACAGGGTCATGGTATGCCGATGGTAGGCGATATATAACGACATATGGCGATGGTGATCATAATGATAGTTGGTGGAGATATTGAACATGTCGATAATGATGCCGATAATGATGACGGTGATGATGATGGTGATTTCCATAGTAATCATGAGGGTGGTGGTGTTATATATAATTATATGATACAAAAATAATTACGCTTGTTAAACGAAAAACACATCACATTTGAGGAAGAATTAAAAAGTACTTTCTGACCTGATCCTTCACGGGGTCCTGAGCCGATATGCTCGGCGTGAACTTGACCTTGGTTGACCTGACATCCGGGTATGTTGATGACCAACCAATGGAGGACCTCTCCCACTGATCTATCCTTTCTAGAAGGAGCATCAGGGTCGATCAACACCAAGGTGTAGAGAGCATTAGGCTCTGAGGGCCAGGAGATATTTGTCGGTGGTAACTTCACCTAATTGGACATGAATATTTTTTTTCAAAGTATCAATTATTTATTCATCTTTTCATTTATGCATATTCATTCATCTTTTCATTACCATTGATTCAATTCGTTTATTCATACATACCGTCCTTGTTTTCACGAAGTGACGGTAGCGAGGAAAATCGTAACGCAAAGTGAATGCAATTTTTTTTCACTACCGTCACTTCGTGATTTCGCATATGCGTTTATTGGTTGATTTTCACTTCATTGATTCATCATTGATTTATTCCATCAAGACCATCATACAGTGAATTTTTATTTTAAAGTATAGAAAATAAAACAATTAAAGCATTACAAGTACAGCTTTACACTGCCCAAATGCGAGGTAACAACCGCCCGAATATAAGCAATGTCCAAATTATCTTGGGCTGTAGCCCCCAGTTTCTGTTTCTTTTCTTTTCAAAATTTGTAATTCCAATCCTAAATATCTTGATAATGACAGGCGATCGGCTTGTAAAAGTCCGATGGGGTTCGTGACTGACCTAAATGTTTATAATTATGATTGCAGCATGAGCTAAATCCAGGAGTTTGTTTTAGAATCTGAGACAAAGTTACCATCCCTTTAACAATCAAGGAGCCACTTTAGAGATAGCCTATTCGATTCCTTCGTGCACGAAGAAATTTAACAGTATGGCGAGAAGTGCGTCAAAGTATTGAATAAAACAAAGTCGATAATATTAAATATCTAAAAAAGGAAGAAAGAAAGAAACTGATGAAAAGGTACTTTCCCCACCTGTGTAGGAGTCAGCTCGTTGCCCATGTTTGTCATGACGTCATCAGACCAGGCGATTTCGGCGACGTGCTCGGGCACGACGTCAATGATATCGGGAACAACTTCGTGTTTCTCCATGAGTATTAAACTGAACAAGAAAAAATAGGATATTTTGGGAAAATGACTTTTATTTCACAACTAAAAGAACTTTCTTCCTGAGCACAATAAATATTATGTTAGTGAGTATATCTCGTCGATAGTGATCTATTCCTTCTAAAAACAGAATTAACCGAGCGTTCAATGTGACAGAGCGAGCTGGCATGGGAATGCTCTCAACCGGTGATCAACGAATGTGCGCGTTTTTGTTGTTGCAGGCCTAAATTATATCAGCGAAGAGACTCTTTCATAATCATGTATATGCATATGAGACTCTTTCATATGTAGAGGAAACGAGACTAGTTCGTTATGCTGAGAAGACATGGAAGACAAAATATGTGGGTACCAGTACATTATATGATGCGTATATTCTTGAAGTCGTCAAAAAAGTGGGTTGTTCATTCCCAGAGAGGATGTTACATCCCCTGTCATTCAAAATTGGGGTCCTCAATTTTGTTCACTTATTGCAAGCGCGAGTAAAATAAAAAGGACAAAAAAAAAAAAAACGAAACTTGGCAGAAGAATGCAAGGCACGAATCCCCCCAAATGCTAAACAAATCATTGCAAATGAGAATCACAATCTAAATTACTTTTAAGAATTATTACGGTCAGGAAGGAAAATGCGCTCATTGAAATGTCGGACAGGCCGATATTTGGGCTCATAATGTTCCATATTCCGTTCGTTTGCACATTCAAATGGAGTGAGGAGCATGTGGGCCCAAGTATCGGCTTGTCGTGGTTTTCCTTCCTTCCTTGCTTCGTTCCTTCACACTGATGTTCTATCCTTTTTATAATTTTCAATGTTTAATACTAGAATATAATAATACTCCTATCTTGTCTATCTTTTATTTTGAAGGTTCTTCTTTGATTATAAACACAACGATATAGTTTCTCATATATATATATATATATATATATATTACGTATTTGTCCAATGTGTGACCAAAACAAATTTCCATGTATTCTTGTGAATTTGGATGAATAAAAAGAATTGAATTGATTGAATTGAATAATGACAATACATAGAAATTAAAAGCTAAACAGACAATTACATTAGGCCTAGACGATGATAATAATAATGATAATAAATGACCGCGGATCCTCCATTACTGTCATAAATAGGGAAATGTTACCATAATTATATAGGAGCCTGGAATAGAGGCCTTCTTGAAATGGTAAAATAGGAATGTTTACAAATAATAGGAAATTAAAACTTTCTGCACATTTGGGGGTTTAAATGTTCAACATTATATAAAACATCTGGGCCTGTGGGAAAAAAGGTGATGTTCTGACAAAGTGAAAACTTTCAGCCAATGACATTCTCGTAATCGGGAAGACGACGAAGCGGCGAAATTTGTTATCGTAGGATGGCACATAAAGTGGCAGGGGTCATTAATCATTTCATAGTCTACTGGTCCATTCTTTTTTAATGTAAAATCTTTGAACTTATGATTGACCACACAATAAATTAGGTGTAGGCTACACATTTATATTTCAATCATTGGAATAAAAGCGTTCACTCATCTGTTCAGCGTCTTTCTTTTATTCTACTGCTTTTTTTTCTTCATTCAATTTAAACTTATGATAAGATGTACAGACTAATCGACGTTTTCCTTCCTACAAGACGCATGCGCGTCTGCTGGAATAGTGCAACGTTGCAAAGCAGGGGCGTCGCTAGACCCTTTTCAGTGGGGGGGGGGGGGGGGGGGGAGGTGTAGAGGCCACCGATTACCGACAAAATCTTAATGCCAATGTGCTAATGCTACACATTTTACCCTATAAACCCGGGCACATACAATGATGAGCTCAGATCACTTTTTCTTCGCTCCTCCTCTACACCCATAATCAAATTCTACCGGGAAAACAGAATTCATAATTTCTGGTTGCCATGCCAACTATAAATGGACGACCAATCCATGTCAGTCAAATTTCGTTTTTTTCTATTACATGTGTCATTTCAGTTAACAACAAAGTGTGGGTAATTTACGGTGTAAAAAGGGATTTTGACTCGCCTGTTTTCATTATTGCCTTCATAACCTTTTGTGAATTTAACCTTTCAGATATTAAAGATATTTCCATTTCCCCCTCAAAAAAATACACAAATTCTGTTGTAATTTTTCCAGATCTATTCAACTTCATTTGTTCAATTTATAGATCTGTGTGAATGCCAAGCCATATGACATATGGCCTGATTGAGTTGAATACCCCACCACACACTCGCACACACACCCACACACGACAACCTGTGTACTCCTATTCTTTCTGAGTACCCACAAAGGACTCTAGGTAGGAGAGTTTCTTTTATAGTCCTACCAGGGGCGTACGCAGGATTTTTTCAAGGGGGGGGGGGGGTTTAAAATCTGGCCCAAAATATTTTGCTCCCTAAAATTTGAAAATCGCGCCGGCCGAAAAGTCGCTCAGTGGGGGGGGGGGGGGGGGGGGGGGGGGGGGGGGGGGGGGGGTAATAAGCGGACACTTTTTTTTTGTTTTGTCTCGAAATTTGAAAATTTGAAATTTTTTTTTCGTTGGGGGGGGGGGGGGGGGGGGGGGGTAAGGTCACTTTATGTTAGCCGTGGCCATATTTTTTTTTTTTTTTTATTTTTTAATTTAAAAAACAAAAAAAACAAAACAAAAAACAAAAACAAGGGGGGGGGGGGGGTTTAGTTTTTTAGGGGGGTTTACACACATAAAAATACCAAAGGGGGGGGGGGTTTGAACCCCCAAACCCCCCCCCCCCCACCTGCGTACGCCCCTGAGTCCTACTATGTATGATCCATCGTCTCCACGCTCACTCGGGGTATCTGGGGGGGGGGGGGGTAATAAGCGGACACTTTTTTTTTGTTTTGTCTCGAAATTTGAAAATTTGAAATTTTTTTCGTTGGGGGGGGGGGGGGGTAAGGTCACTTTATGTTAGCCGTGGGCATATTTTTTTTTTTTTTTTTAAATTAAAAAAACAAAAAAACAAAACAAAAAACAAAAACAAGGGGGGGGGGTTTTAGTTTTTTTAGGGGGGTTTACACACATAAAAATACCAAAGGGGGGGGGGGGTTTGAACCCCCCCCCCCACCTGCGTACGCCCCTGAGTCCTACTATGTATGATCCATCGTCTCCACGCTCACTCGGGGTATCGTTTTCTGCATGTAAAAAATCACACGCCAATGATGCAAATAATACAAGTTCACACAGATGTTTCTTTTCTTTTCTTCAAATGAGCTATCGCATGATTTTAGTTATTTATTTACTCCACGATTTTATCACTAGATTTTTCGTACTTTTATGATCTGTCTCGAATGAGGTACGAGCTCATTATCAACTTTGAATTATCCAAAGATTATCACAGACTATATAGCTAACTATAGATCTGTCATTCTGAAATCAAGCTAATTAACAGTCTTTTTTTAACCAATCAAAAACTAACAGTAGTTCGTCTATGGGTTGGCGCATGCAAAGACCCAGTATGTGTTTCATTATTTACTGAATTTAAGGGCAAAATATTGATATCAGTGAATTATTTTCATATTGTCACTCGTTATTTAATTGGTTCTTGTAAATTTGTTACATTAAATACCATCATTGTACAAATATCACCACGTAAATACCTGCTGAACTTAGAGAATAATGCAGGTATGAAATATATAACTTTACAATCTCTATAAAACTGTCTTCCATGAACATGCATTGGTTACAAGCTTTAGACTTTAGCTTGGTTACTGTCATACTCAAAACATGCTTATTCAAACTTTTGAATTCACAGCAGAAAACAGGTGGAATGGTAAATATCAAATTACAACGAAACATAATACATTCATCAGTATTATTTTATTTATTTGTTCATTTTTTATTTATCAAAATTGATAAGAAACTGCTTTCCAACGGAGCCCTCCGCATGGTACAAACAAAAAATATAAAACATAAAGACAAAATATGAATTAAAACATCAATACAATTCAATATATAAAAACATTTATACATTTGAATAAACTAAACACGGAGCTCACGAGGGATACACGGCGAGACCTCCCCTCTCCCAGTAGCCGGATTGTTATTTTTGTATATATTTTTAAAGCATGGTAGAGATCTATATGCAAAAATGCAAAATATAACTGTGTAAATTGTTTGTTTTGGGTCAAATGTTTGATTCTTCTAATACAAGCGATTGAACGTGAGATTTTACTAGAGATATACTGAATATGTGATGTCCAATTTAATTGGGAGTCGAGGATTATTCCATTATTAATATTGTCGACATGCTCTAAAGAAGCATTTTAAAATTGAAATGTCATTTTTCTATTTTGTAATTTATGTTTTATTACCAATTCTTATTACCAATAGTCATAATCTTTGTGGATGTAAATACATACGATTAAGTCTGAGCCATTCTGTAATTAAATCCAGATCGGACTGTAAATTTGCCTGAATATTAATCATATCATTATCGCAATTAAAAAGAGCAGTGTTCTTTTCAATTGCGATAATGATATGTAAGGGTAAATTATCTATATCATTGACATATAAAAATAAAAAAAATCAGGGGCCTAAGTATGGACCCCTGAGGGACTCCCGTCTTGACATATAAAAATGAACTTGTTGCTCCTAAAATTGAGACACATTGTTGCCTTTCGTTCAAATACATTTTAAAACATGGTAACTCAAAGTCTTTTATACCATAATAATACATTTTTATCGAGGATTGAATCAATTGGAATGACATCAAACGCTTTTTGTATAGGTCTAAAACAACCCCCAGTGAGTTTACCAGAGTTTATATTATCTTTATTTAAAAAAATGTCTATGTCTGTCAAACATGTTGATTTCGAATGAAGAGGTCTGAACCCAGACTGGCGATTACATAACAGATCATTGGTATTTAAATGAGCATAAAGCTGTTGATGTACTGCCTTTTCTAATATTTTAGAGACTGTTGGTAAAAGCGAAATAGGTCTAAAATGTTGTGAAAACCAAATGTATATCAGATGGGCCTTCCCACCAAGAACCCACAGGTATACGGAGCCCACGTGGCCCATATAAAAACCAGATGTATACCAGATGGGCCTTCCCATCCAGAACCCACAAGTACCAACACATATAGGGCCCATATGGGCTCCATGTGGGTTTTTAGTGGTGAAAATCGCACGTCGAACATTGTCTTCGCCCTGCTGAAAACCAGATGTTTACCAGATGGGCCTTCCCACCCAAAACCCACAAATATATCCCATCATTTGCATAATGAGTATGGGGTGCGTGCACATCTATGTTTTTTTAACAATTTATCTAAATTTACAGGATATTTCTTAATTACTGATGATTTAGTTATTTGCAATTCATTTCGAAAATACTACAAAATGTAAATTGCCAATTATTAGGAAATTTCACTACTTTGTTTAAATTAAATTTAATTAAACATGAATTAGAAAAAACACTAACTATAATCTAAAACAGATTCAATAAAATACAAGTATATGGAAATGTCTTATCACAGCAAATTAACCAAGTCTTCTTAACAACAATGCCTTTACATTGGAAATGTTAGACGATGTGTTGTTGCCATTGACCAAATTAATTAGTACAAGTGCTACATAACCTACTAATTATGTCTGCTAATTGGAGCTTTCAATCAGTGGTTGAAAGTTGTGCCAAATGGTACGACTGGTCCAGTTAAACCCAACTGGTAACCCTGGAAATTGAAATGGGATAAATGAATTCAACTGGGAAAAATAGGAACCCATTTAAACAATATGAAGCCCATTTAAAACCACATTGGCCCATATGGGACCAGATCAAACCCACTTGGCCCATATGGATCCCATATAAAAACCCGCTTATAGCCCATATGGGGCCCATATAGAACCCACTTGACCCATATATAGAATGTGGTAGGTCCCACATATGGCCCATCTGGTGCCCAATAGGTAACCCTTGTGTATATTGATGGGCCAATTGTGGGGTACATCTGGGTTTCACATGGGCCCATCTGGGCCAAGTGGGTACAATCTGGGCCGCCCATCTGGGGCCCTTCTATAACCCGGGTGCAGATTGCTGGGACCCATCTGGGCCAAATGGGCCAAGTGGGCAAGAGATGGGCTGGCCCATCTGGGCCAAGTGGGCCAGCCCAGTTGTAACCAGATAAAACCCAGATGGGCCCCACAACATTTTGCTATCTGGGGAGATCATCACCGCGGAACTGCTGGCAACTTTGACTACCATTTAAATAGGTGTTTTAAGACACCTAATAATTACTAATTTTTCACACCTAAATATCACTTATGCCCAGCTTAGATTAATAATCCGTTTGAGTCACGAGATCATCACCGCGGAACTGCTGGCAACTTTGACTACCATTTAAATAGGTGTTTTAAGACACCTAATAATTACTAATTTTTCACACCTAAATATCACGGATACACAGCTTAGATTAGTAATCAGTTTTAGCTACGTGATCATAACCAAGAAAGTTATGGTAACTTTGAAACCATTTAAAGAGGTGTGTAAGACACCTCATAATTACTAATTTAATATAACCAGAGATTCACGGACAGAACAATAAGACGATTAGCCGGTGTAAGTAACGTGATTATTACCATCAACCTTGGATAACATGTGAAACCAATCGATTAAGGTGCTTACAAGACCGAATAATTACTTATTTATCACCACCATCGGTTAACGGACAAAAAACTCGTTGCTTGGTCAAGTGGTTATTTGGTCATAAACACGTGATTTACAGAGGTAAGTGGAATCACGTTACTCCAGTCGCGTGATAAATTGGTGGTCTTTAGGTTATATGAAAACGTGAACAGGAGTACCTTTTTTTTTAATGAAAGCACGTGTCGATAACGTTTAAATTTAGTTCAAAGGGCACCATACTTTAAAATCACCTAAAATACACTCCCAAAAGAGGTTACTTTTTAGTGTTTTGTTTATTGGGTAGTACCCTGTGCTAGATTCTGTGCAAATTCATTAAAAGCTTTATTCAAGATTTCAGCAATAATATTTTTGGCTGTAATGAATTCATCATTTTGAATTATTTTCATTTCACCAATATCCTTTTTACTTGGCATTATGTTTTTTTAGTATGGCCCAGTTTTGACCAACATCGTTTCCGCTTTTTTTTCCAATTCCTTCTGATGATACAGTTTCTTTAGTTTTTGTTCAGTTATTTGCTTTGTTACGACAATGCTTTATTTTGTCCCAATATTGAGACTTAATTATTTGTTTTATAAGATTTTTAATGAAAATAAACCCGCTGTCTGGCTAACAGAATGTAGTCGTCATTAATCCACGGTATCCATGTTTGTTTCCGGCCGGCGAACCGTGACATACGGGGCGTGTTTATCACTTACTTCCTGAAACGCGGCTTTAAAGTTCTGCCAAGATTTTCCTTTATAGTCAACACCCTTGTCAGATTCAGATTCAGACCAGACTTTTTTATTTAAATATTTCTTCAAATTTTGTTCGTCAAAAATTATAAATGATCGGAACCTGCTTATTTGAGGTTTTAGTAATGAAATGTTTCCATTGATTACCAAGTAAACCAAAGAGTGATCACTGATTCCAATTGTTTGAACTCCTGACAGGTTATTGCATCAGAAACCAGTATTAAATCAATTAGTGTTTTACTATTGGGAGAAATACAGGCATAGTCAATGATTTCGAAGCATACTGAAATTAATACGCAATTCATTTACTCTATCCGATAAATGGTTGCTTGTCATCATATTACAATTAAAGTCACCCAAAATGTGACAGAAAATCAATTATCAATATTATGTTCAAGTATTTCAAAGAAAAGAGTTGCATCTACAGACACTGGATGGTTTTCTATATAATACTCCCACAAAATAGAAACTGCTTTGGTGCCTTTTTTTCTCTTTTTTTCTAACCACATCAGTTCAATCTGGTCACATTCCAAATCTTCTCTTCTTAAGTTAGATATATTTTCCTTTATGTAGCAACCCACTCCTCCTCCTCCTCCTCCTCCTCCTCCTCCAACTGACCCTCTATGTTTACCCACATATTTATATCCGGGCACGCAACTGATTTCATTCATACATATATCATCGTTTAACCATGTTTCGGACAAACTGAACAAATCATATTTATTACTTTAAAAAAAATACTGAGCATCGATCACCTTATTTCTTAAGCTTCTGATATTAACATGGCCATTTTTCATTCCTTTCCTATATGGAAATTAACAATTCCTTGTTTCTCCTGTATCTATATTTTGATCATCTTTATCACAATAATTGTTTCCTGCCGATGTAGATGACTCATCATTTTCATTATTAGCATTATCCCAAAATGGTATTACCTGTAATAACAAATTACGGCATTGCCAATCTACAAAATCCTTGAGTGGATCGTTATATTTACATAATGGGATTCTTTCACTTTTAATGTGAACCCATTCCTCATACTTTGTACATTTTGTTCGTTTCACTTGCTTACTAACACTAACAAACACATGGATACTAATTTTTAATCCCCATATCAAAACATGAAAATCAACATTAATTTACGGAAAGAAAAATAATAACAATAAGATCTAAAAGTATTTACGAAAATTCCACGTAAAAAATGCTAAAAAAAGCTAATTGGAGAATATTTATAGTGTATTAAGATTACAGCTGATAAAATCGAATTTAATACGATTCATCAAAGAAAGCTTTGTGTTTCAAAATCAATACAAGAATAACAGTGTAGAAGCTGAAAAAGACGGCACAAAAGTTCCGTAAATTATTGGTCAGCTACTTCATACTATACGTTTGTAGTCAGTGTCCCCCCCTAAAAACAAAAACAAAAAAACAACAACAACAACTTGGGACGGAGAGTACATGCATGTGCATATTTTACTACACCCTGTATGCTGTTATGTGAGATTCCTGTCTCTTTGATATTCACCTGAAAATCACAAAAATTCGGATACAGTATCACATTCATGAGAGCGAGAATACCGACACAGCAACATAATCTATGCGTATCTTTCTTGCTCCCTCGACGAGACGATTCCACCAAACAAACCCCCTCTCTCTTTTCTCTTTCATCTCCCCGTTTCTTTTGTTTCATTTCCTATTTTTCCTTCCTTTTCTCCTTTTCTTTCTTTTCTTTCTTTTCGTTTCTTTTCCCTTTTTTCCTTTCTCCTTTTTTGTCTTTTTTTGTCTTTCTTTTTTGTCTTCACTTTCCTTTCTTTTCCTTTCTTTTTCTTTCCTTTCCTTTTTTCCTTTTTCTTTTCTTTCCCTTTCCCTCTCATTGAACATGTAAAAATAGAAAAGAAAAAAAACTCATGCAGGCGCCTGAGTGTAACAATTTCCACAGGAAGGCGGTCGGCCAACAACAATTATTTTCTCTGCTACATCTATGGACAGATATGCGATTACGCGGTTCCCCGACATGTGCTCAATCTACAATTGCTTATTAGGGGATCATTTCGTCAAAGATGTTGGGTTATATATGATTTATAAAAAAAACATATTTATCCATTCAGGCTTATATTATCATAAATTATTAAACAAGTGTGTCCCATTCTATTTACTCGTTGGGGATCCAGTCATTGGTCCGGAGATTAATGGTAAGATTTTTTGTCAATTTATCGAAGAAATACTCATGTCCTCTCACGTCCTCAGTCCAATGAATATAGGGTCTGCCATCACTGAGGTACAACCTTGCCAAGAATGGCATTTCATCATCTGGGATGTCTTCGAGGAAAACCACGACAACGAATTCAGTCAGAGTGTCACTCACGTGGTCCATGGCCGTTCGGAACTTGAGTATAAACCAGTGGTCGTGCACAGCAGCTCTGCTGAGCACTACGATGGTTTTGTAACTATGACTCACCACGTAGTCAACAGACTCTAAGTAATGCATTCCCAGTACTAGCTCCTCATCTCCAAAGACATTCCTCTGAAACTGTGGAAGCCGTTCTGCGAGAGCTGGTCGGAGATGTTCGCGAATCCAATTTTCGTCATCATCGTAAAATATGACATTCAAGTCAAACTCATAATCATTGTGATCCCTAGCGTCTCGCATCTCCTCGTAGCCAAGAGCTGCCAGTTTGAGGAGAAACAGTCTATACCTCAGCTGCCATCGGTTGTGGTATACGAGTGCGACGATGAAAATCAGACAAATGGTGGCGATGATAGGCAAACAGACGAGGGCGATGTTGATGCTACAGAACTCTCTAGGATCAAAATCAATTAGATGCTCGCCCGAAGAGGCTTTAAAGAAACCGATGAACAGATGGTATTGTCGTCGTCGTCAATGAGGCTTAGTGGTCCGCTTAGCCAATCAAGAAACCAGCTTAGATCACAGTTGCAATTGATAGGGTTCATTGAAAGATCGATGAATAACAGAGAAGAATAGAGCGGCTTAAAAGTATTTTGCTCGAGACGTGTTAATTTGTTGTTTGATAGCAGAAGAGTTTTTAACTTTCGATTATCCAAAACGATCGCTCCATCAAGGTCCGCCAATAAGTTATCAACGAGATCAATGATTGTTACTTGATCCAATGGCTTAAACAAATCGACAGGAAGGTGCTCAAGTTGGTTATTTTTTAGTATTAGAACCCGAAGTGATTTCAACCCCGTGAAGGCTTGTGGATGAAGTATGGAAAGGTTGCAGTCTTCTAGAGAAAGATTTTGTAAAGCGGAAAGCTGTTGCAGGACCCCGGGAGGCAGATCCAATGTATTCCATGAAACGCTGTCTATAGGATTTTTGCTCAGATCCAAAGCTGTAAGATTGAACAATCCGTCGAAAAGAGAGACATTCACGTATGGGTCCCACAGGTTACTAATCAAAAGCCCCGAGTTTATCATCTCTAAATGTTCCAGGAGACGGACATTTTTGAAGGACTTCGTTGGTTCTAGTACCCACGTGAGTTTTTCCATATTATTAAGGAAAAGTGATGTTACGCTTGGAACCACCAACTGCAATGATAACATGATACTGCAATGTGACAAATCAATGTTTTGAATGTTTTTAAGTTCGAAAAAAGATGTCGCGTCCAACATCATGAGCAATTTGTTTGACCGCAAATCTAAAAGCGTTAGATTATGCAAACCCCGAAATGTAGATTCTTCAATTGTAGTCAAAGAATTTCCGGATAAGTGTAACTCAGTTAAGTCTATTGTCCATGGAATATTGTACTTGTTTATCTCTTTAATATGATTATCGTTTAAGTCTAATATTCTTAGATTGTGCATGCCCTCAAAGAAATTTGGCTCGATTATAATTATACCGTTCTCCTGAAGATGAAATTGCCGCAGCCTTGTGAGATTCGAGAAGACGAAAGGATAAGGGGCTTGTAGTTTATTCATGTTGAGATCGAGTATTCTAAGAGAACAGTCGCGGAGTGGATCAAATAGATCTTCAGGAACGACGCTCAAATCAGCGCCATTGTTGAGTGTAAAATTCTCTATCACTGAACGGGAGATACCGATGAATATATCTCTCAGTTCCTCGATTGTCAAAGCGTTCCGACCTAGTTTCAATGATCTGACATGGAGCGATGCAATTACGTTTTGATCTACTGATCTGATGGGGTTATCAGTTAGATCCAGAGTTTCAGAGTTGCACACGAAGTTAAAAGCATCTTCTGTGATGCTTTCTATCTTGTTATAAGACAAGTCGACATGCCTTGCTGTGCCACATGAGCTTATGTTTATGACGGTGAGAAAATTGTGACTAAGGTCCACAGTATTCAAATTTCGACTCCATTTTAGAATGTCATTAGGGATCGATCTCAAGTGTGATCCCAACAAATCTAAGTGCGACAGATTTTTTGCCCGTTTGAAGAGGCCTGATCCTGAAAGTAAAATGTGCGAATTGAATGCCATGCGCAAGTGGGTTAAATGTTTGAGAGGATGTAAAGCTGTGGGTTCTATCACCCTTATTTTGTTGTAGGCCAGGTCAAGATCGGTGACAAGAGGATATCTTCTAAATGAGGAGTTCAGGAGAGATGTGATGTTGTTACCATCAAGGTTCAAACCATCAATGTCCCGTGGAAGATGTTGGGGCACAGAATTGAACCCTTGGTCGGCACAGAAAGCTTTCTTTAGTTCCAAGTCCTCATCACATCCCTGAAGAGAAGTATCCAGATGTAAGCTCCTGGAGGGAACCAATGTCGCAACCCCATGCAATGTTTGGATTAAACTGATCACTAACTGGAGAATAGGCAGTGAGTGTTTAAAAGCCATGATGACCGATTACTATCTGCAAAAAAGGAGAACCATACAAATAAAAATAAAAACTCACAAAATATAAGCTGTGGATTAAAGTACTATGCACGTTCGCTGTTACAGCTCTAACTTTGATATAGAAAAGCAGTCTCAAGATTGAGTATCCTTTTTTATTTCTGAAAACAAATGTCTTTTTAAAACAAAATAATAAGCTTAGTATAAAATTGCTCACGTGCAATTCATAAGACATGCCAAAATGTACCAACTTTTTATATCACAAGAGAACACATCAAAGCACACTTGTTTTAACAAATATAAATGTAGGATGAAACGCATCTTTTACCTTCGTTTTTCACTAGCCTCTGGAAATTGGGAAACCAAAGAAGACGATTCGTACAATTTGATTAAGAGAGGAAGGAGATTCCAGCCACGTTCGTTTACTCTGAACAGTCACAGTTGAATGAAAGGCCTCAATTTATTGACACTCTGCGTGGGCAATGTGCAAGTGAAACTGTACTTCAAAGAAAATAAAAAGATTGGTCGATACATTTGGAAGTGGGAGGTTCGAAGGACGGCTTGACTTAAATTACTTTTCATTGTTTTTTTGTGTTAGTTGTCATTCAGATAATAATACATTTCTAATGTGACGCGTTTATTTAATAGTACTTTCAGTTTATAATTGTAGCACATGAAAGCTTAATGATTCTTGTTTAATTGTAGAACCTTGTCGCTGAATTATATGAAACTAAAACGATTTATCTATGGTTTATACTGTATTAAGAAATAATCGGTGTTTCGATTTTGTTTTAATTATATCATATGTTTTCCCGCCCAACTTCGTAAACTAAAGCTATGGTCACATCTCAGAGCGGCGACCGACCGATTTGTAGCCTGCTCGGTCGCCGCTGGAATTAACTTGTACGCCTCCCCTTCGAATAACAAGTTACAGTTATGGTCTATGGTGCAATTAAAACGAATTCTCCTCCCTATTTATCAAATATACACGATAAATTACATGATGACAAGCTATATCTTTGAATTGAAAATAACGAATTAATGCTCAGAGTAATTAATTGAGCATTTACTAGAAAAAATGCGGACATAACAAGAAGTGGTTTAATTTAGACATGCTTCTACTCTTTTCACTATTTGTTGGTCTTAGATGTTCTGAAAATGGCCCTTATTGGAAACCTTTAATGTCATCAAATGAACAATTCCATTTCGTGAGAAAAGAGCAATCGTACACAAAATCAACAACAACTGAAACAACAACAACAGTAGCAGCAGCAGTAGCAACAACAACAATAACAACAGACTGTACAACAAAACAAACGCGATGAAATTAAATGTAAATAAAGAAAGAAAGAAACTGATGAAAAAGTACTTCACCTACCTGTGTAGGAGTCAGCTCGTTGCCCATGTTTGTCATGACGTCATCAGACCAGGCAATCTCGATGACCTGCTCGGGTACGACGTCAATGACATCGGGAACAACCTCGTGTTTCTCCATGAGTATTAAACTGAACAAAAAAAATTAGGATATCTTTTGGAAAATGGCTTTAATTTTACTAGTAAAATAACTGTTTTACTGAGCACAATGGATAGTATGTGAGTCGGTGGTGATCTACCGAGCGTTCAATATGACAGAACGAGCAGGCATAAGAATTCTCTCAATTGGTGATAAACGAATGGGCACGTTTTTGTTGCAGGCCTAAATTATAACATTAAAGAGACTCTTTCATAATGTATAGGCAAATGAGACTTTTTACATATATGTATAAGCAAATAAGACTCTTTCATATTTCTTTATGTAGAGGAAACGAGACTTATTTATCATGCTGAGAAGACATGGTAGACAAAATATGTTGGTACCAAGATATTATGATGCGCAGGAATTATTGTAGGTGTAATTGTTAAAAAAACCCGGGATGTTTATCCCCGGAGAGGATGTTGCACCAGGCGGGAATCCACGGGGCAATTCTACCGGCCCGGCTCCCCTAGCTAGCCCCCTAAAACTGTAAAAACATAGGATAGTAACGTAAATCCTCCCTCCCCCCCCCCCCCCCCCCCCCACCAAAAAAAGAAAATACTGGTCCTCCTCTCCAGCACTCCCCCCCCCCCCCCCTGCTTATTCACCGGCCGGATGAGTCGGCGCAAAATATATCTTTACCAACTGGACAACAAAAAAGTGCCGTTACCCCCCCCCCCCACTTATGATGAGATGTATACAGACTAATTGATGTTTTCTGTGCATGCGTGCACTAAAAACAGTACAGCGTTGTCATGCCAACTTAAATAAATTTTAGATATTCAAGTGGAAAGTAGAAATAAAGAAATGTTTAATATTCAAAAGCAAATTAATTAGCAAAGGCTGAACAGGAAGAAGTATTCTAGTATCATAACAAGTACTGACAATTTTAGATATAATTATCTTGCATATCAATTAAAATAGAATTGAATGGTATTAGTTTTTTATGATAACGGGTAAACTGGGATGCGGGAGAAGTGGGATATCTCAACTAACTAAAAAAGTAATTATCATTGTTATGAATTTGTTTAGACTCTACAGCAGGACTTAACTAACAAAGTTCAAAATGACATCTCAAGACATTCCACGATTTAACTGTCTTGTATAGGTTTGATAATCACTTCTTTTAAGCGCTTTTAATTACCTATGATATGTTTTTTATGATTTAGCATGTCGATTAATGCAGTTTTAAGGGGCTAGGGATCTATTAAATACGGATCTCTGTGAGTTTACTGTTGATATCTTCATAGGGAATAATGGTTTTGGGTCGGGATTGTTCACACTTGGAATATAATTAGCTTCAAAACTGTTATCTAATTCACAGTACTAAGTATACAATCATATCCGATTGTTATATTTAAAAAATAACTTTACATTTCCTTTGGATCAGAATATTCGAAGTTTTATTTCTCTGATCAGGGAGGTGTTTTAAACACCTTCTCATATCGTCTGATTAGAGCTATAGGGCATATCCCTGCTCTGATATAGTATTTTTGTATATAATTATCCAAATAAGTTTGTTGAACATGATATATAGCCTTGACTAACTTAGAGGCTGTTCACACCGGCAGAAATAGCGCGCGCTAGATCGCGCTATCTCTGCGGTTTGGAAGGTACAACGTCGTTTCAGCCACCCAACAGCGAGCCACGGCGAGCCAAAACGGCGTGCCAATGGAGCACCTCTTGGGGGTGGTCCACGAGAGATAGCACGGTCTAGCGCGCGCTAGAAAAAACGGGGTGCTACGATAGACCGCGCTATCTCATTGCGGTGTGAACAGCCTCTTAGATTGTTAATATATAGATGTTATACAGTAGGATTACGGTTGCACCATGTGTGAGAGAGGGGATGATTGGGGAGTCCTGAAAAGGACTCTCGGTAATCTTTCTTTCTTCGGTGTGTGTGTAGTCCTGACTGTTGGTAGTCTTGAAAAAGACTGTTGGTAATCTTTCTTGAGCTCATAGTTCTAAGGAGAACTATAGTGCCGGTTAGAGAGGATGGGTAGTAGGAGTGGCTCGACGTTTCGAACAGGTTGACTATCCGTCGTCAGGACTCCCCAACCCTCCCCCCTCTTTCGGCTCATATGGTGCAACCGTAAGCCTACTGTATATCTAAGCCGATACTTATAAGCATCATAATATAGATGTTGTGTTTATTATGGAAATAGTTGTTTCATATATTTCACATTAGATGACGGCAACGAAGCTTTATATATAGTCATGTTTAGTGATACATAATTATGGCACTGTTTTTTTAAAACTATGACCAAATAGCTAAATGGCCCTTTGAGAGCCTGAAACTTTACAAAGATAACGAAGTAGAAATCAGTTACAACTTTTTCTTGTAGCATGGACCTAGATTGACCTCCCATAGCTTAATGAAAAATTTTCAACGTTGCTTTATGTGCATGAGGTATCCCTGAACAGCAAATTGTTTACGGAATTTTGTAACAAAATTGACATACCTTTTTGGTTGGTGACTACAAGTCTACAATTGCTATTAGCTTCATATTTCGCTCTGTTAGATCACATAAGCATTTATAACTACACTTTCTTGAAATGAACAGTATACCTTACATAAATTGGGTAGTCGATGAAGACAAACTAGGTATATGTACTAAACTAATCAAAACTGCACAATTTTTTCCATAAACGTATTTTTCTGCAAACAATTAATGTAACTTAGGTCAATAATACCTAAAGAAAGCAACTAACTTGAATAAAGTTATGATGTTAACAGTGTGTAACGTCCAAAACACCAGTGGTGTGACATATGAAAATTATTAGGCAATGCACTGGTTCCCAATTGTGGGGTATGTATTTATCTTATATCATCGGTTCTTATATTAAAATAAGTTTGACCCAAGAAAAAAGCACTTTACCTATTGAAATAAAAACTTGTTATTGTCAAACCCTAATTTAGAGCTATTTTTCACTTTCAAGGGATACAAAATCTGTATTTTCAAGATAGAAACTCAAAAATTTGCAGGAATAATCTCTGAAACATATTCTTAAAGACAAACTTATTTGTCGGTGTAGTTTAGCAAATGAGTTTTATATCACAGTTATTAGATATGCTATAGTTCAAAATAAAATTGTAAGAACTCAAAGTATTCATATCTGGTGAATAAATATGAAGATAGATTAAGCTCCGAAATTTGCATTTCTCAAAAATATGAATAGCCCTGATCCTAAAAATACACGTTAACAGTAAGTAAATTATAATTTCATTTTGACCCCTTTGTGGACACATTTGGTATATGTAAAAAAAAACAGTGCCATATACTATCTTGAATTTGTGCAATTGTTTTATTATTCCATTTTGAAGATCTAATTTATTTCTCCAGGATTTATTTTGGTTTTGATTTGATTTGAATAACCTCATGTTCATTTCACGTTCCATTTCATTTCAAATTCTAACAAAAATAAATTGTATAGATATTTATTTTTAACCATGAAACAACTTGTCTGCTACCTATAAAGGCATAAGTGAACTTTCTTACCAGTTTTACAATTTGTTTTGATACAGACGTAAGCTCCAACAAAGATCACTGCCATTTGGAATTCGTGTGTATGTTTGTTTGTTTGTTTTATTTTCCGTATAAAAAAGACAACAAAACTGAATTTAGACAAGAACACGATACAACGAATCATATTCTTTCTCTAATAATGTAATGAAACGTGAAACCTTCCGCGCTTTGCGCGGGATGGCCGAAAATGAATTCAGACGAGGATTGAGAGTAATGATTTATTGAAACGTCAAAGTTTCCACGCTTTGCGCGAGATGGGCGAAAATGAATTCAGACAAGGATTAAGAGTAATAATTTAATGAATCGTCAAAGCTTCCTCGCTTCGCACGGGATGGGCGAAAATGAATTCAGACAAGGATTAAGAGTAATGATTTATTGAAACGTCAAAGCTTCCGCGCTTCGCGCGAGATGGGCGAAAATGAATTCAAACAAGGATTAAGAGTAATAATTTAATGAATCGTCAAAGCTTCCTCGCTTCGCGCGGGATGGGCGAAAATGAATTCAGACAAGGATTAAGAGTAATAATTTATTGAAACGTCAGAAGCGCAGCAAGGGGGGGGGGGGAGAACTGGATCCAAACAAGAATTAAGAGTCGAGAATGATCGTTTTATTTCTCTAATATTTTAATGAAGTGTCAAATTTTCCGCGCTTTGCGCGGGAGGGGGGAGACTGAAAAATAACTTAGTTCCTGGCCCCGGGATTATAGGGTTAAGTTTGTAGACATTTGGACATTGGCATTAATATATTTGTTCGTAATTGGTTGCTCGTTTTGTCGATAATCGGTGGCCTCTAAACCCTCCCCACTTCCCCACTGACAAAGATCTTGCGACGCCCCTGATAACGACACAGTTTATACACTCGAGAAAATACTACTGATGAAGTACCGGACCACCGTCTTTGTGCATTGTGCAGCATCAAAGCATATACAACGTCTCAAGACGTGACAGATCACTTTTCTCTAACTTTTAACCAATCAGAAGGCCTCGTTTTTTTTCCAGGAAGTGCCGGTGGACATTAATGCGCCAAATGTGGTTCTCAAATTGCAAAAGATCCCTACTCTTAGAAGGGGTAGGAGAAAGCAATTATTTTTACATCATATTACTCCAGGAAGTGCCTGAAAATGCGACTAATTTGGTCAAAAAATTGCAAATGCTTCTTACTCTGGGAGGGGGCCAGCACCCACTCCCAGACCCATGCACCCACGCTTGGTCGCTCCGCTCCCTCGCCGCTAAAGCCTCGTTCTGTCGCTTCATCGTATTACATATATGTAACCCCATGCCATTTTGTGCCCCCCCCCCGGTCAGAAATTCCTGGATCCGCCACCGATGCCTATACCCCTTGAGCTTCGGGGGCTCCACCCCTTGACTCTTGTTAGAGTGGGGTGCTGCGGATTTTTTTTGTCAGCTCCCCCAAACGTTTTTGCTCATTACGCCACTGGAACAGTGTGTGGTGGAAATGTGGTCGGGTGGTGTGTGTGTGTGTCGCATAGTGGGGAGGGGGGCGGGTAGTAATGTGTTTGGTTGGATGGGGTTATTAGTTTTATGTTACGACTGATTTATGTAATGGAAATGTTTTGAATTCATGTCAAGGAAAAACAACTGTATTTTATTTCTAAAATTAATTTGTATTGTTTGGAATCAATAAAAAAAAACTATTGAAAACAAAAAAAAAGTTTGTGTGATTTCAGTTTTTTTTAATTTTTTTATTCGGGGGGGGGGGGGC